CATTAGCCAATAGGGCATTCAAGTATTAATAATTTATATTGTAAGTGAACAACAAGAGACGAAAATAGTAATTCAATGGGAATGCCAGACAGAGCTCCTACGGTTTTCGGTTTCATTTATCACCGGCCTCATGCATCGATTTTGAAATATCCATTCTATTTTAAGCAGAAAATGAAGTCTGATATTAATAGGGCCTATCTCTACCATTGGGTCCACTTACTGGAAAAATATCACACTGTGCGCTGCATGGGCACGCCCCAAGCCCAACTTGTCAAACAAAACTACAACAAATCAGGAGCAGCAACAACAATGAGCTCCTTTCCATTAACTACCGCAACGTTTAGCCGCGTGTGAATTGTGTGATAAAGTTTGCGATACTATTTTCCCCAAAAGCGTCAGAGCGGACAGACTGGCTGGCTGACTGACTGGCTGACTGACTGGCTGGCTGGCTGGCCGACTGAACGACAAATTCATTTCAACTTTGTGTGTCTTACACAGACAAACAAAACACTGTTCTGTACACAACGCGGCGTATACGTAATCTCGCCAGTGGCCCACCCGCATGCCACTGCCCACTGATTGCTCGACTGACCTCCAGCCCGCTCAGCTGCTCTTGACTTTATCAATTTAAGACACAGGCATTGGAACGTGACACTTTCCGCCATTTCTCAAGATGACAGAAAAATAAGAAAAATTTGATTTGACTTTTTTCGATTACTGCGATAAAGTGTTGTACTTGGGGCGCTCTTTTCATTGTTGCTAATAAAATACCGGCACATTTTTCCATTACTTCAAATATTTGCGAGCATTGCAAGCTGTTTTATCTAAAATAGGAGGTGTGTAGGTGTGGTTTTTTTGGCGGATGGGGGGTGGAGGGGGTGCGGTTTATGCTCTCTGGAACATTGCAGATGACCCTCTCTGTGCATCCGCGTCTTTCGGCGTGCCTGCCTGCCATACAGTCTGCCAATTATAGAGAACATTCCTTTGAAGTTTGTTTACTTTTCATTAAGACTGCAACGACATGCCCCTGGCTTCCCTCCATCCTCCCCCTTTCCACAGCTGCTGCACCGCTGCACTGCGTCCGCATCCCAGTTCCCCATGCTTGCCGGCGAATGCGCGTCCACACACTCGCCAACACGCCTGGCATTATTAATTTTGGCCGATGTTTTCAAATTGCTTTTCGTAATCATTTGGCGCGTAGACAACTTGCCGGTAATTGATTTTCGCCTGTTTACTTACAAGTAAGTACCCGCACTAGCGCTTGCACTCGCTCGGTTGTTGTTCCCACCATTTGTTTTGACACTGGTGATGAGGTGCCTTTCGCATAATCGCCACTTGCGCAGTTGTTTGATCAACAGACATACAGACAGACGGACCACCCACCCAACCAACCAACAGACTGGAAATTGCAAATTATTTCTTCCTAACAATAAACAAATTTGCTTATGGAAAAAAGACCACGACCCAGAAACAGCATGGCTTTTGGGCCGAATAGGACCGGCTAGCCAGCAAACTTGATGATATATGGCCAGGTGACAATCATCCTGTCACCGGCAGCAGCGGAAGTGGAGGCCGGAAGGAAGCAGAGAATCCATTAAATTCAATGGAAGGCGCCGCACGGCTATTTGGCTTGGGGTTTCATCAAAAAAGTTTCCAAATAACTTTCAAAAAATAGAAAAACAATTTAGGATCTTTGGGTTTTGCTATGACAACTTCTGCTTTACGTTTACGCACTATCAGGTGGAGTAGATTGCGGTATTAAATAGGCTTAAGGAGGAGAGTGGGAAGTGTGGACAGAGCTAACTTTCACCAACTTAGCTCTGCTAACGAGTCGCTTAGAAACGAATCGACAAGCCTACACTTACATACAACTATCAATGACTAGAAACGGACAGCTTATTGTTTCATTAATACTTAGCCCGTGCAATAACTTTCCATTCAATGTGTCTCCTTCTGAGAATAAATGTATTCAATATTGAAAGTTTCTAGATCAAGACATATAGTAACAGAAATAGTTATAATCATCATTGTCGATTGGAAGTACAGTTTTTGTCATGAAGTTGAAAAGTTTATTAGCGATGCGAACAAATTCCTAGAAAAGAAAGATTGCAATCCTATCTGACTTTCAAGCATACTCGTATATAAAAACTCGTATAACAAAACATACATACTGTATAACATTAAGATGGATTCAAGATACTTTAAGACTGAAGGCAGACTTTTTGGCTTTTAGAAGAATATCTGGGATTATGCATCAGAAGATATAAAAAATTTAAACAATTTTATACAATATTGCAGTCAATGCAGACGATAGGCTAACCTCGAGCCCTTCGGCGCGAGGATTAACAAGTAAGTGGTGGCTTATGCTTATCTAATTGTTTTGAAAAAACCTAATCGTTTTAGCCTTCGCAAAGGAGTTAGAGGTGCCTTAGACATATGTTGAAGCATAAGTTATTCTAGTGAAGAAAAGTTATGAAATACGTACAATATTGCGAACACAATTGGATGCTGGAAACCCAGAACGGGCCACAATTAATGTCTGAAATTGGAGGCGACAAATTATTGCTGTTTTTTTTTCTAAATAGGCCTGAAATTTGACACAAGTGGACATATAACACTTAAGTAGTCAGTTAACGTTTGGTATTCGTAATAGCACTTTGCCAACATTCCACCGCTGTGTCAACTAATTAGACCGTTAATGAGCTACCAAACAAACTTGTTCGGGCAAAGTTTAGACAGCATAACGTCATCATATTACCCTTATCCTCACAGCTCTATCAATACCAGGGGTATGTCTGCCGCCTGTCAGAAAAAGGTCCCGAGCCACTGAGGTAGTTGTGGGGCTTCCTGGGAGGTGAAGCTGTCATAGATTATATGCGCAAGCCACGCCAGCCAGCGGGCGGTGTCTCATTGAATATTTCCAATAGTGTCTCCGCCGCGTTGACAGCTCCAACCAGCTCGACAACGTTGCCTGCGAGTCATGCATCATGCCACTTAATTTTTACGACAACGGCCAAGGTTAAGTTTTGCATACGAAATGTGTGCCTTCCACAGGGGGAGCTAAGCCACGAACACTTTAATGTCTTAGACTTTGAGTTAAATCGATTTGTTTTCGGAAAAATGGTAACGCAAAATAACCTCACTACTGAGATAGTCGAAATTATTGTTGGGTACGCGCTTGCATCCACCTTATCTCAAGTGGCTGATAAGTGACGGAATGCTCGAATGGGAAAAAAACGAAGGTTTTTAATTTCCACAATTAATGTGCAACCCAATTGAAGAGTAAACATATTAATGGGAATGCCAGCCGAACATTCCACTAAGTATTTGTTAGTTATTGGTTGAGTCACTCAGCAAAAGAACTCATATATGAATTCATTTAATTTTGTTATCCCGGACAGAAACTCCCTGCTTTACGAATTACTTTTCTTTCTTTTCTTAAACTTTGATTTTTTAAGAAATCGCATTGGCAATATTGGAAAATTAGATCGGTCATACCGCCACTATTGGGCAACATGACCTACAATTTCAATTAGAACAACAGCTGTTGAGTATCTTTTGGAGGAGCCCATGAGGCGATAATCGTAAATCAGTCTCCACGCTCAGTCTGTGTGTGTTTGTGTTATATTTTCTATCTTCAGATTGAAATACTCATTTTACGCACGCAAAACAAAATTATTATACATAGGATGTTTACATAAGATTTGAAGTTCAACTTGAAACACGAAATCATCCGAAACTTATAAGCGACCATTAACATACCCTATACCAAAAGAGTAGAAGGGTATACTAGCAAGTATAAAAGGTGTGTCTGTCCGCCTTTTTGGCTATATGAAAAGGGAGCAAGTTTCCTACAAATCAACATAAGGAGAATCAATGCATAGCTGTTATAGAAACGATTGGCCCTGCAAAGTTGATTTTAGTTGAAAGGCTACAGTGTATTCAAGAGTCACACCAGCACGACATTAAGTTCTACTCGTATCGCAATCTGAATTATGTATAGTGGTAACAAGAGTTTTTGTATTTATCAGTCGTGGAGCAACTCTTGACGTATTCGTTTCTCGCTCACTTGTTGCCAATGACGGTAAAGGCGGAAAGTGTATTTTTATCGTCTCCGTATGTGTGTAATAAAAACAAAATAAATGTGCGGAATAATGGGAAATAATGAACTAAATAACAAATCTTGTGCTCGGGTGATTAATGGAGAAACTTTTGGAACAGATTAAAGCTGAGGCAATGAATGGAAAGGAGCCCAAGAAGACTGCGACTCCTAATCAAAGTTAATTTTTAACTTCTTCCCGATGGAATATAGTTTTGTTTTTCAATCTGTACTCATTCGTTCAAAACTTACTTACTTATACGAGCATTTATGTACCTGAGAGGCAGAAAAAGGTTTTAATTAGATTATAGGCGGACATTCTATTTACATATTCGACCTGTGTTATGAATCGTCAAATAGCTTTAAGCTGTGCCTTTCATCTTATCGTCCTTTTTACGACAACATGCCAATAGTCATTCAAATAAACGCTTCACTCACACACTCGCTCAAAGGTATTGGTAGAATGGCAATTATGCTAAATGAAAAACGTAAACGAAAGTTTTCAAGACCAAGTGACCGCATGATGTTTTTGTTGTTTCTGTTTCCGTGGCTGTTGATGCTGTTGTTGCTGTTGTTGTTGTTGGTGGTGTTTTTGGCTTTGCGCTGACAATCAAACAGACCGCAAATGACACCAAACCCTGCGCAAACAACAAATCCAAATCAATATGCTGCAGGCTTGCCAGGATCTTGTTGTTATTGTAAGGTTTTTATTATCTGAAGAGAGCATCAAACGCTTAGTTTTGTTGCTTGTTGACTAAACACAAACACAAATACAATAATAACAACAGCAGCCAAATACAGGAACGTCTAACATTTTAGTTTCGCATTGGCTTTTTGGTTGGACGATCCACAGACAGAACAAATTGAAATGAATTTCTATTCTCACTTGGCATTTTTCCAGGCCCATGACCAAACAAATGGAAACCAAATAACGATTCACACGCATAAAGGGACGGCGACGCCACAATACTGCAAGCCAAACAACTGGCCGTAGCAAAGACCTCAAAGACTACAATGCTGGACTTCGGCTGGCAGACGACGAGCACCACATCAGTGAGCATGTTATCTGGCTACGAGGATTCCGACGACCCCAGCACAACCACCAGCAGCACCCCAAACCCCACCACCACTGGCGGTCTGGAGGGCGAAAGCTGGAACAATTGGAGCAGCTATACCTACGCGCCGGCCATGCTCTACAATGCTATGGCCTCGACGGTTAATCAAACATCCCTCTTCGATTTAAGTCAAGACCAGCTCCACTCGAACAGCAGCGGCAATCTAAGCAAGATGTAAGTATTCGTATAATGCTTAATTATGACGCAAATTGAATAAAGGCACCCACATCCACACCCACATACCATCACCGTCCATCAGCTGTGGTCATCAAGATCTCCCTCCTCTTGGAGTTGATTTGCGTTGATGAAGTCCTGTGACCGCAGCAGCAGTATTTAATGAAGCGACGAGCCGCTCTGTTTGTGCGCTGCTCTGCTATTAGTTTTCAAACCATGCATAACTAATGACGCAGCATTCGTTCATTCACTCACCCATTCAGTCAGTCCACTTGCCATTCAATCAGTCATACTGTCAGCCTGTTTGACTCAACTGCTTCCGTTCGCTGCGCCTGGCTTGACTTTTTATTTCCGTTTCAAATGGATTACGCCGAGGCGGCGCACAAATAAAATACATTTTTCATTCCATCTCCGCATTTGAATATGCTGCCACAAGAAATATCTGTGCATGCGTGTGTTTCTATTCCCAACATTCGAATCGTCATCTGTCTGCTGCAAAGGACAGGGGCATGCTTTTAAATCGTCACTGCAGTGCAGCAACATTTACTCTCAAGACTGCCATCTACTTTATCGCACATATACAAGCTTACACACTCACACACACAGAGATACTCACCCATACATAGATAATTATGACACTCGTGCGTTGGCGTATCGAAGAGACATCGACATCGACATCGAAGTTGTTCAACTTGAACAACTTTTCTGGCGCGTGCCATGCGGTTTTTATAAAAAACATTTTGCAGTCCCCTGCACGCACAGTGGTTGGCTCACATGCCAAAGTAAGCAACACGAATAAAACAACCCATTAAAAGTTTACAAAATGTTTAATGTTATCTCTATGGATCACATGCATATAACCACAATTGAGAAAATAAAATGTTCAGGGTAATTTAATCCTTTTCGAAGTTCTCCAGGTATACACAAGTGTACAACAAAGTAGGGACAATGAGAGTGTTACCTTGTACGTGCACTTTTCCTGGACAGGGGCAGCATTTTAAATTGTACAATAACTCCAAAAAAAATTTGTTGTCTGAAAACCGAGTGGTAGACGATGATTGAGACTTAGCAAAAGCTACACAATAACAACAAATAAAGTATACGCGTATTGTTAAAATATTCAATCGCTAAAGGATGGCCATAACCTATTAACCTGCCTCACACCTTTCAGATTGGCGCAGCGTTGCCAACTGAGCCGCAGCATCAGCTGTTCGCCCGTTTCTTTATATATGGGAAGAAGAAGAACGGGACAAGAGAAAAGTAAAATGGCAAAAGCAGTTAATTTTGAGAATACTTTTGCAGCTAGAAATGACCATGATTGGAAGAATATGCCCTTTTAGAGATTTCTTTATTAAATTTGGGAATATAATGAATAAGAAGTATTAAACAATTATTTGCTTTACTTTTGAAAGATTTTCCCAGGGTACTTGTGCCTTCGAAATTCAATTAGCAAATGTCCTTACATAAAACCTCTGTTAGGTATTCTATGAAAGGCAGTATCCCAATTAAAAATTGGGTTTGTGTAAAGGAGGGTAAAGAAACAGGATACCGCGTCAACAAAGTAATTAACTCGTTAACAAATTTTTTATTATTTTACGTGTACATCATCTTTGGGTGTTGTCAAATAATCCGTGCAGAGGTAAAGTTAATACATCACCCCAATGGTATAGTGTTCCAATTGGCTACAACTATATCACCCACATACATGTATGTATTTAACACAGAAATAACACGATCTGTATTAATTTGGTTAAACGTACTCGTATTGGGTTTACGATTCCCACAAAAAAAAAAAAAATATTTTTCCGTTCACTGTACATCGCATCCGCAACCATATTGGTCAACACGTCCGTTTTTGATTTGAAAATTAAATTTAAAGTTGTAATTGAAAATAAAGGACGCTTAAGGCTCGCCCACTGTGCAGAGTACTGCTGCCCTCGATTTATTGATGTGGCCCAGCACGAAAAATATCATTGCAGTGTGTCCTGAGCAACAGTCTTTCCCCTGCCCTGCGCCCCTGCTCTGCGGCACTCCGAGTCCCTCATCTAGCACTTTGAAGTATCAGCTGCTGCTACTGCTGCTATTTCTTCTATTGTTGTTGTTTCCCTTTTAGGGATGTTTATTTGTTTGTATTGCGGCGCTCAAGTTTATGCAAATCTTCAACAGATCCTTTATCATGACATTTTTCCTTTAGCGGCTTTTCGCATGTGCTGGATGCCTGAGGCCACACGAAATGCTTTTTGGCCGCTCAACGCCTACAAAAATCAATAATCCTCTTTCGACTAAGGCAACAAACAAAGGGCACTGCTAATGTAAATGCACGCACACGAATTGTCCAGCACAAAGGGTGAAATAAATAGGAAATGGAAAGAAAAAACAGCACATCAAGTGGAACTTATGAGCACATATTTGTATGCCCGATTTAATTGCCCCGGAGAGCACCGCCCAGGCACTAATGAGTTACTGCAGTGGCCGGAGCAACAATGGCCAGCGCTGGGGCACTTTGGCACTCCTAAGCAGCATCGTATATCATACGACATACATATTAAATTACTCGTCGCATAAAGGCGACCCACACACAAAAACCACACACTTGCCTCAATACAGGCCATGACGCACAGCAAGACCTCAAGCCATAAAAGTGGCTGATGAGCAGAAACGCAACCTTTTTAATCACCCTTCCTCCTACTGGTTGCACTATCTTTAAAATGTGATACATTTGCCATTTAAGTAGGTATGGTCCTTCATATTTTAGAATTTATGTTCGCAAACGATAGACGAACAAACACCTACGTGTAACCTTTCCCCATTTGGAATCGGTTCCTGTTGTTTGCATGAATGTGAATCTTCAGCTGCAAGTACAAAGCATTTAAACCAAGTAACTTAATGAACAATTTATGTCTTTTGATGGCTTTAATAGACTTAATTCGTTTTGAAAATACATATCTTTTGCAGCTCGTTAAATATTCAGCTGTCGCGACAATTGCGTGCGATATATTCAGGCTTAAAAGTTGAAAACACGCGCCATGTGCTAATCTGGGAAATATGGTTGCCTTGCCGAGATATTTATTTTTTAATTAAACGCCTGTTTCGCGACCCAATCCCCACTGGGTCTCAATGGCGTCAACCTAAAGAGGCGCCATTTTGTGGCTCTTTAAACAGAAAGGAACGCCACCAGCTGTAGGCCGACCAGGGCCAGACCGTGTGTTGCCCATTTGAAACACTTTGTGCCTAAGACAGACACACAGACACACACACACACACATGCATACAAACATGTGCGGCTAAATAAACAAGCTGGGACGGGAAATGTTAAAAAGAAAAACATAAGTAAATGGCGATGACGACGTCATTAACGTTGGTCAACATACATACCCACATTCTTAGACTCAAGGAGGTCAGTTCAAGAAGTGGTTGGTCGTTTTCAGATATTAGCAGGACCTTTAAAAACGATTTAAAAGTAAGACATAATTGTTAATTGTATTATTACTTAATCAAAATTAAAGTATAATTTCCACAAATCTCGCTGCTTATACGAGCTTGGAAATATAGTAGTATTTCCAAGTCATTGCTAATATTTTAATAATTCAACAAAATAAGTTGGTCCATGTTCATGTTCTTAAACTTCCTCAATTAGTTTTGAAACAACTTCTTCTTTTTAATTATACTGTTATATTTATAACTTAAATTAAACTTATAGTTAAATACAAATACAACTTAAACTAGGTGTTCAGTCTTAAATAAAATGTAACATTTATAATTTATATAAATCTGTTGCCTTGAAACGACTGGATACAACAAAGGATCAAATTAAAAAAAAAAAATCGTGGTTTTTGTTGTGCCAGAAAATTTATGAACACCTCTCGAATTGAAGGCATTTCCAACAGTGGGGCGGAGGTTTCTTTTTTGCTGGGTTAGCAGACGCGCACAAACACGGATTTGTGAGGACACGCACAATTACACTCGCTTAATGTCTACGGCATCCGGTTCACACAAAAGCAGACACAGACACACACACCCACACACATGCACATGAACAGAGAAAGAGCGCCATTTTATGGAGCAAAGAGCTGCTGTGCGGTTCTGTGAGCAGTCACTTGACACTCATTTTGTCTTAAGCAAACATGAAACACATAATCTCGATGTCACTAATTTAGTATTGTTGATGTCGCAAACAAGGAATCCACTTTATCTCAGTGCCTCCTCTCTATCTTCCCACGCACAGCCTATCAACGAGCGCACCAGGTCTGATCTCGGGCGAGCAGGAGGAGGCGGCGGGCACTACGTTTGCATTCGTCCTACCCTGGTGGCGTCAAGTGCTCTGGACCCTGCTCTTCGGAGGGATGGTTATCGTGGCAACAGGCGGCAATTTAATTGTCGTTTGGATTGTGTTGACTACGAAGCGTATGCGGACAGTGACCAACTATTTTATAGGTGAGTACATGGGGCAATATGCACATTCAAAGGGTGCTTGTTCATGGCAAACGCTGCGTATACGCAATGCAAATATACACACATACTTGTATGTATGTCACACATACGCACAGTAAAATATTGCGCATACGGCATGTTGACATTTATCTAGCGGACGAAGTGCGGCAATTTATTTTCGTCAAAGACAGCCGCATACATTTTCAACTCTTTGTGGAGTTTGTTTTAGGTGGGTACATTTATAGGACTTTATCCAACTATGTGCGACTATGTATGTGAGAATATGTAAATGGCACAATCATTAAAATGTTTGCTGCGTATACGCAATGCAAATATACACACATACTTGTATGTATGTCACACATACGCACAGTAAAATATTGCGCATACGGCATGTTGACATTTATCTAGCGGACGAAGTGCGGCAATTTATTTTCGTCAAAGACAGCCGCATACATTTTCAACTCTTTGTGGAGTTTTTTTTAGGTGGGTACATTTATAGGACTTTATCCAACTATGTGCGACTATGTATGTGAGAATATGTAAATGGCACAATCATTAAAATGTTTGCTTAATTAACTCGACATTTCCGAGATTCTGCTGCCCACATTTTTGTTTGCGAGTATGTATTTGTAATCGTCCCTTTTTTATGTGGGCCACAACTCTTCGCCAACTCATAGCCCTTTGTGGTAATCAGCTCAGGCAGAAAGTTGCCGCTTCACATAAAATGTGTTTAAAGCGAAATTTCGCTGGAATTTTATATTTCAGCCCAAAACACACATCACTGGATTTTTGAGCAGCAGCGCGAGATTTTCAACTACAATATCCTTTTATGCAAACAAACATTCGTATATATATATACATAGTTGCACACAAAATATTTTATATTGAGTTTTAATTGCAAAAATGTAAGAGCTTTTGAACAATTCGAAGGTAAAGTCAAGTATTCGCCAACAGCTTGCTATATCAAGGACTTTATTTGAAGGTCTAAATGGACAGCTCTGTGCTTTAATTTTGTTTTAAAGTTACAAAGTACTTTGCATACGAAGGTGCCACAACAAATTGATTAAAGTTTGCCTTTTCATACATACTTAGCTTTTTAATAACGTGAATATTTTGTTACCATTGTTTATGAAGAGCCGATATTTGTCGAGTTATTATTATTGAATATATTGAACAAATATGTGAAAACACATAAGGAAATCATATATTCTGATGAAGTAAAGCTCTACAACATCACGTCATATGACTGTGTGTGAAAGGTTTCCTTTATAACTTTTGCTTCAAGTGTAATATTCTAGTCCTTTGTTTGAATCCATGCAATCGATATTATCATAACAACGGCACTCAGTTAAAAATGTTATGTTATAATGTTCGGCAAGGCATTGTACTCTTTGTTGGCAAAGCCTAAAAATTGTGCCTGAAAAATAATTTGAGCATAAACGTGAAACTGTGCAGTTCAGTTCAGACGCCAATGGACCGAAAACAGTTAATTCGTTTTTCGAGAGAATTTTAGGTAACGAACTACCTAGGAAAAATGAATCAATTCATATACAATTAATAAAAACAATATAATAATAGTTGCATAAAATTTCAATTAAATACATAAATTCGTGGTGAAGGTCGCACCAACATTATAAATTTATTTCGTACAACTCAAAAAGAAAAACTGCAATAAGCCAATTATCTTAGAACTTGTTTTCCTAATATTTCTACTATAATTTTTATTAATTTTATTTTTATTAAATTATCAAAGCGGAATATTAAATGAATGAAAATTAATATTGGTATTTTTTAAAGATATAAATACTTTAAGACAAGCCTAAAAGTATGCAATAGAAAAATAATTAAAATTTAAATGGCCTTTCCGCTTGGATGGCTGAAAAAAGAGATAACTAAAGGCGAATATCTGAGAGATCTAATTTATCATTTTAACTTTAACTTTCCCTTTGCGAGTATGCATGGCTTGTCTGAAAAACCATAGAAAAAATGTGCAAAGCAAGCTCAATTGCTAAAAGTTTAGTACACATTTTATTTAGTTTTTCCTTTTTACAAACTATTACTTAGTTCTCACCAAATTTTACGACTTAATTTGTTACCTGAACTGTAAATAGTTCTATAGCCACATGGCAAAAACAGTCGAGTTGAGCTTTGACAGCTACTTAGATATAATTGTAGCAAGGGATGAATTTTAATAATTTAAAAGCAATTCCAGCTGTTTGTCATGTGGAAAGTGTGGCATGCTACACAAAGTTTATTAAATATGCACACATAATACACACACAATCATAAAAGAGAGCAAAACGTTTCCCTTAATTCAAGAAAGTTACAGCATCAACAAAATAATATAATGACATTAATGGCATTCCGCTTCATTTATAAGTATGCCGTCACATGTACCTTCATATATGGAATACGAATGGATTCATACAAGTATGGATGCGTGCTCAGGAATGTCGGTACATGAATGCACATACATATATACGAGTATGTACACATGTATTTATCCGGCTGACATTCAGCAATGACATTGCCAAAACCATTAAAAACAAAGCGCATAAAAATGCACTACAATAGCGCGTCTAGAATAATAACAACAACAAAAACTAACCCTGGCCAGATGGTGCCGCCTCAGTGACTGACTATTGTGACAAACACACACATACACACACACACACACACACATACATACACACACTTCCCCGCATATGTAAATTTGCATGCCTGCCGGCCTTTTCCATGCGCCCCAGTTGACAATGGCAAAATAGTTGCACTGACATCGCTGTCTGCCCCCACCCCTGCACCCTTTTCAGTCCCTACCTTCGCCCCTACTGCCCGCCATAACCCACAGCTGAGACACACAGACTTAGAGATTGAGACAGGCAAGTCACATTGTAGGCAAATGTCTTGGAAACGGATGCCGATGTCAGACCATTGTGCCTCCTACACTCACAAAAAGGTTGAACCGAAGGCAACTAGTAACTAAACTATTAACTAAAAACAAAGGCAGTTTTTATAGATGCACACTGACTTGAAAGGAATTTGGAAAGGTAGGAAACAGAAAGTATTTTCATACAACATTAAACTTTCGTTCTTCCCTTTCCGATATCGGTCCTACACATTCTAAATAAAGGTTCATTGGCTTCTTCGCGTTTTGCCCGCGTTTTCATAAATGATGACAAAGCTGGCGGTCAGTTTCCTAGATTCTGCGCCAGACGTTTGGCAAGCAAAGGACATTGTTTCATTTCGAATTAACCATTCCACATTTTTGCAAGGGTGAAAGGGAGGCCGATTTTTCTGAGTGTAGTCACCACCAGCACGGCATCTTGGGTACCCTTGGCCGTGCTTGAATGGCGAGAAATGTTTATTATTATGTAAAAACTAAATGCCGCTGAGCTCAAATGGCTTTACAAGGCATTACAAATTTGCATTTCTAAATACACATTGGCAATTATTATTAGTTACAACTTTGGCGTTTAAAGATTACTGAGCGCGAAAAGTTGTTGGCCCGCTGCGCCTCAGGGACAGGGACACCACCGCAAACAAAGCAGGTGTGGGATGGATGGGCAGCAGATAATAAGTAAGTCGAGTCCATTATCAACGCACATTTGCATCTTTTGTTTGAGTTTGATGCGCAGCTTATTTTCGTTAATTAAAATAAAACTGAATCGATATTATGTACGTGGCTGGCAGAAGGCTACGAACTGGCCCATCTAGCTGTTGTGGGCGGTGGGAAAAACAAAAAACCTGCACGAACTAATGCTCGAAGGAACATTTGTTTTATTGTCTTCGATGGCTGTTGCCAGCCGTTTCTGCCCCTGCGGATGTGAAGTGTCCTGAGCTCCTTGTCTGTCCCTATGCGGTTGTTATTGCTGTTATTGCTGTTGTCGCCTTTCATGCTTTTTCGGTGCTCTTATCTACATAGATAATGAAATGTAAACAAAGGCACAAGCATGCCATAATAATTTCGGTTCTTTTCTTTTCATTTCACGGAGCTACTTATGTTGCCGTTTCTGAGTCATTGTCTTGAAATCGTTACATGCGAAATAAATGTAAAAAGTGTGCCAAGTAATAAATGATGTCGTCTACAGCCAGACGATTTGAATGTAGGTCTGTCTGTCCACCAGTCCGGCCCTCCTTCCGTTCATCTGTGTGTCAGTCATTCACTTATGCCGCAGACGGTTGCTTTCTCGAGATCAGACATCAAGTGTTTTGTGTCGCGCTTTAATTAAGTGACGACTTGAGCCTCTTATAGCGCATATCCTTTGAGGATGGACAACCCCCCAGTGACATTATAGAACCAACTTTGCTTTATTCTTTACTAATTGTAAATGTACAAAGCATAAATAAAAGTACAACAAGTGGAAAATGATAATTTCCATGGAGCAGAGTTCAGATACTCTTGAAAATTAGGCAATCCAAGCTTTAAATAATTTGACCAACAAGCAATCTCTAATAAAAGATACCAAAAAAAATTGTGAAGAAGTAAACTAAGCTATATTCAGATTCAATTGTTTTAAATGAAAGTACATTAATTGAATAACAAATATTTGAGTCGAGTTTCAAAAGCAAAAGTTCATAGAACAGGGGTATATAGAAGGCGATTGTTTTCAAGGTAGAAATTAATTGCAAATTAAACAGCTAGCCGAAGGGCAAATAATATTCCCCCACCGGGTCGGAGGCGTTAATTAGATATTATTGTAATTTGATTAGGTTTATCCTTTTTGGGCTTTTCTAGCTTATAAGATGCTTTTTATAATATGTAAAAATATGTATTTGCTATGTCGACAGTCAATGTTTGTTGACATAAATAAATGAAAACTAAATTAAAAAATGTAATGCAAAGAAAAAAACAGCTGAACATTTGAAATTCTCGTTAACTTTCGTTTTTCTGTAGACCAACTGGGAACTTCTACCATTTTCTCTGAAGTAAGATTTTATATCTGAATTAAATTACTTTTGTGGTCTTTCCTTGAAATCGTTTATATTTCTTAAATTAGATTTCCATCTTTGTCAAAAATGTAAATATAAATGAAGTGAATTGAATTATTTTTACTGCAGCGATGGTGAGAGCATCGCGATATAAGAAAGATCACACAATAGTCGAAGTGAGGTGCCCTTCATCGTACTTTTCAGAACAATTTGAATAACACAGTGCGGCCGCTTTCTTCAGAGGAAGTGTAAGAAGACAGCTGCCGCTTTTCCCTTACCTTTTCCCCCATTTTTTTGTTGTATCTAATTAGGCAACTTTGTTGCCTTTGTGCTCGAGGGTTGCTCGGCCATTATTCTGTTTGTCTTATCACCTGTTTTACTCATTTCTGTCACTTTGATAAACAAATATACATAAGTACTTTCGCGTCATTGCACATTATTTATTTTCGGTCTCGTTTCTGTGCACCTTCCAGTGAACCTCTCAATTGCCGATGCCATGGTTTCCAGCCTGAACGTTACATTCAACTACTACTACATGCTGGACAACGACTGGCCATTTGGCGAATTCTACTGCAAAGTATCGCAATTCATCGCCATGCTGAGCATATGCGCATCGGTGTTCACCCTAATGGCCATATCAATCGACAGGTAAATAAATTGACTGTAGCACTCGCAAAGGCAAACTGCCACATACTTGTAGGTGCACTCTATACTTGTATGTATGTAGTACGTACAAACAGCTTCTGAACCCATCTAAGGTTAACACACATTGCATGCATCGCATCGCATCGCATAGCTTTGCTTTCCTTTGTTTTGAATTCTCTTGTGTTGTGTTCGTGCGTGGAGAGGGCGCTAAGTGGATCAGACTTTGTGTCTGGCTCGTGTGGAAAGCTTTTGGTCCATCCTCGCACCATGCACATGCCCAGAAGGGCCGCTGCAAGCGTCAGCTTTTTGTTTAAGCTGCACTAAAGCCATAAGGCCATTAGGACCTGAGTCCAGCTGCCCACGAAAACTCACGCCGAACCGGACACGAAATTAATTCAATTTTTTGCGGCGAGTCCAGCAGTCTGGCTAGATCTCGTAACTTGCTGGCCGAACTACTGATTGGCCTAAAGCCGAATAAACAACATATGCAGTTTCATTTTGGATAGATTTGCGTGCATCCTTGCGAATCAGTTTAAATGGCTTAGATGTCGAGCTTAGCCGCTTGTCTTTATTGAATGGATTAAAACGAAAGTACACTTTGCAGATATGTGGCAATAATGAAGCCATTGCAGCCACGAATGAGCAAGCGACGCAATCTCGCGATTGGAGCCATCATCTGGCTGGCCTCAACCGTCATCGCGTGCCCCAATCTCTTGTTCTTTCGCACCGAGGAGGTGCCAGTCGAGAACACCACGCGCATTGTTTGCTACCCAGAGTGGCCCGATGGGACAACCAACTACTCACAACAGGAATCAATGTAAGTAGCTTTAACTATATCCAATTCGAATAAAGTCTTATAACTTTAAAGCGAGATTCAGACATGCTTACGATTTTGAATTGATTTTCATAACAAACAAAAATGATTTCATCTAGAAAATCTGGAAAAAGTTGCTTGTCTTTGTCTGTTTTACTCTGTGGCCTGATTAATTCAGAGATTAACTTCTAATCTCTTTGCTTTGCTTTACCTGACACTTTGTTGATTGGCTAACAGGAAAGAAGCAATCATAAAAATAAGCCAATACGGAATACATTTTCAGTGTACAAGTTCCATAGTATATTAGACAGTTTCTGATAACTTTCTGCTTTATTCACGTGCAATAAGTCACGCCATTCCGCTTTTGGATAGACTATCCACGCCTTGCCGTCTATCAGATTATGAAGGTCCCAGCTCCGTAGTGCATGTCATAAAAGGAAAAGTCGTAACAAACGAATCGTTAGCATTAAATGTCAATACAATGCGTCGTTTCAGTCAGTGAATGGCACACTATACGGCCACACACAGAGAAATGCATTAGAAGATGGTAATCGAGATCAAATCACCCAAAATTTCATGCAAATCTCAATTTAGTTTTAATAACGTAGTAGAAAATAGTTTATGATCAACTTGAGAAACTAACTAAAGATAGCTTATAACCACTCTGATCACTAAACACTAACACATCTGGTGGACTAGATTTAATTAAAGACACCTTAGTGGTTGACATGGAAAGTAACATAATAAATAGGTAGCCCTCTTATCAGTCAAACTGCAATAGCTTTCTGGCATTTTTCGATTCATTAGATTGCTATATATCTGTTTAGTCTAGTGTCATAACGAAATTAATTGCATCTGAGTTGGATTTGTTCAAGTTTTTCATTGATCATATGCATAAGTTATTTTTTAAATGCATCGTGCATTATTTAATCCAAATTTTAATTTGTTGGCCCCCCCATTGATAAAAGTTGCCTACGCCCTTGGTATCAACTATCTAGTTAGTCCGCATTCATCTAAAACATTTTTTATTTTCATAAGAGAAAGCTGAAACGACCAGGACTGGTTCTGGGTCTTCTCTCAATTTCCTAAATTTACGATTATATTCCCTTATGCTTATGTGGCTTCAAATTCATCTGTATCAATACAACAATTACTATATATTTCCAAAGAACATGTGAATGTCTTTGGCAAAATCAGTCAATCAATCAAATATTAAGCAGCTGTTGCTTCATATATGTTGTTTTTGACATACAATTGCAACGATTTCGCTCACAGGTTTTTAATCGAAGTTAATAAAAAGGTAAAAATTGCTCGAACAAGTCCAAACCAAGTTGAAGTTGTGTCAACCTCCTTTTACGCAAGCAGCTCCTTTTGTTGTCTTTCTGCCATTGCCACTCTTAACTCACGAGTACATGCGGTGCAATAACCTTTGTGTGCCAATAAATTAAATTCCATTAAATGCTGGGTTCTTCTGAACAGGACCATGTTGTCAGCTGCACATTTTCGAAGGATAAATTGTATCAGAAGGAGAGAGATCCCATTAATCAAGCAGAGCACTCAAAAGTCCAAGGAGAACACTCACAAATCCAAGCAATTGGAACTTGAAATGACCAAGCAGTTGAATTTAAACTCTCTTTTTAAATGTTTATACTCTGATCATGAAATCTACAAGAGTTTATTAGGTTTGCGCGAGCTGAAAAATGTAACAGGCAGAAGGAGGCGTGGCAAACCCCACAAACTATATATATATTCTTGATCAACAAGACGAAAAAATTGCCGCCCTCCTCCACAATTCTCATACCAAGTACCTAAATGATTGCACTTCTAACTTTTTTTTAATTAATTGGAGTCATCTAATTTTAGTGAAATAATTATAGGAATTTAATAAATATATTTGTGAAAAAAATGCCGCCCTCCTCCGCGATTCTCATACCAAGTACCTAACTGATGACATTTCTAACATTTAAATTTTTTTAAATTAATTAGTCAGTGAATAATTATAGGAATTTAATAAATATATTTGTGAAAAAAATGCCGCCCTCCTCCGCGATTCTCATACCAAGTACCTAACTGATGACATTTCTAGCATTTAAATTTTTTTAAATTAATTAGTCAGTGAATAATTGTGGGAATTAAATAAATGCATTTGTGAAAAAAATGCCGCCCTCCTCCGCGATTCTCATACCAAGTACCTAAGTGATGACATTTCTAACATTTAAATTTTTTTGTAATTATTTAGTCAGTAAAAACATTGTGGAAATTAAATAAATGAAAATGTGATAAAATTGCCGCCCTCCTCCGCGATACTAAGTACCTAAGTGATGACATTTCTAATATTAGCATTTTTTTTTTTAATTATTTAGTCCGTGAAATAATTGTGTAAATTAATAAATGTATTTGTGAAAAAATTGCAGCCCTATGCTATTTTCATAGCAAGTACCTAAGGGATGACATTTCTAACATTTAAATTTATTTATTTATTTTTTAAACACATTTATTTAGTGGTTACTTTTTAATTTTTGAAATTTTTATGAATATTCTATGATTATGCTTTAGAGCTTCCACTTGTTATATTTTCTTCAGTTCGGTGCTGTTTTATTCACGTTCAGCTTTCAGTTAAAAAAAGTATCAGCAACATGGACAATGTGAGATTCAGTTATCCAAATAGCTATGAACATATGTACATGTACAAACAAGCATTTACGTGACACACGAAAGTAATGGGATAAAGCAATATTTTATTTGCTTGAGACTCAAACAGAGATTTGTCACCAGATGCGTCATGTTCCGCACTCCTTTTCTGCAAGTGCAAGGATTTGGATTTGCCAGAAACAGCATCGTGGCTATAAATATAATAGTACTGGTGTTTACAGCCATCATTTTGTATGGCAATTTGCGATCGAATATAACGACCGAGCAGCACGAATCCTTTTTGACATGCAAGAGTGTTAAATTTAAATATAACTGTGGGTGTTGGTTGGCGCACAAACTGCTGTAAAATAAAACTATACCTCATTCATGTGCCGATGACGATGACGATGGCGATGCATGACAGAGATTATTAGTAATTTGAGTTCAATTAAACAGACAATTGCAGAAGACTGATAGGTGTTGATTAAAGCTAGCCTCAATATTGATCTGATTTATTGCAGCAACATACAATAAGAAACATAAAAAGTGTTATACACAAATATTTCAAAATCATTGTTAGAACAGGTTTATAGGTTTTACTATAGTTCTCAACAATGCAAAAAAAACCAATTATTTAAAAATATCTGAAAAAAAAATATGTCGAAGAATAATTAATTAAGTAAATGTCTTTGAATTGCGCGCCCATTTTAATGACGTGTGGGTGTGATCGTGGTATCAACCCTGTGTGCGCGAGATGCGGTTCATGGGAACTGGATCGAGTGTGGTTCTGTGTGTGTTGCTTTGGGAGTTAGTGTGTATAAGAGAAGCAACGAGAGAAGACATCAGAAATTCGCTACGCTCGGTAAAGTAATGCAATGTCTGAACATAATTCCTTAATTCCCCGACATATACATACAAGTATGTATATCAAGACAGACTACATAGATAGTAGGCAATCACTGAACTGAGCTTTTCGGCTACTAAAACTTCTAGACACCACTCAATAATTTTCTCATCATCGTTTATACTGTTTTTCTTCTATTAGCTACAACATACTCATCATTTTACTCACCTACTTTCTGCCCATCATCTCAATGACCGCCACCTATTCACGCGTTGGCATTGAGCTGTGGGGTTCGAAGACCATTGGCGAGTACACGCCCCGACAAGTGGAGAATGTGAGAAGCAAGCGGCGGGTAAGCAACAAACACTCACACACACACACACACACACACACACACTCAGAATGCGCCCAACACTATGCTACAGATTTTGCAAATTTTGTATGTTGAGAGAATTTATTTTATGCATCCCCATTAAGGTTACGCTACAAGTTGCCCGCGACTTATGCTGAATTTTAATTTTCTGGTCAGGTGGTCAAAATGATGATTGTGGTCGTGCTGATATTCGGCGTCTGTTGGCTGCCTTTCCACACCTACTTCATTGTAACATCCTGTTATCCGGACATTACGAAAGCGCCCTTCATACAGGAGGTGTATCTGGTTATCTATTGGCTGGCCATGAGCAACTCCATGTATAATCCGATTATATACTGTTGGATGAATTCACGGTAAGTGCAAACTCAAAAAAAAATTGCTAATATTGCAGAGCTCCAGGCTCTTATGGCATACTAGAGCTGTGCGGAACTGCGTGCGAAATGAAATCAATCTGGGACTGTGTCGGTTTCATAAAAAATGTGGCCGTCGATAAAACTCGAAATTATGAATACCACGACTACCTCAGGCGCCAAGATTAATCCACATTTAATTTAAATATTTTGTTCGCTTCTTTAATATCAAGAAAAATGCATTATTGATTATATACTTATATAAAGAGCCTTGTCTTATCTGAATTAGAGCTGTGAAACATACACAATATATTTGTAATTTAAAAAATTGAATTTTTAAAGTCTAGTACACAGATTTTGTGAACAATTTTAGCATTATTATGGCCAATTGACAGGCAGAGCGTCGTTAGCCAATCAAGTAGACGAAGCGCATTAAGTCCCTTTTTATGCTATAATGCCGCGAAGTAGGTCACTATAAGATTGTTCGAAATTAAATAGTAGTTTGAAAAAATTCTCACATCTCGTGAAGGTAAAGATGAACACTTAAGTGAATTTCTTCTCACGCGCACAGCTCTATTACAGACTCGTATGTCTGTTCCCTTCACACCCCAGACGAGTGGTGGTATGTCGTTTTGGCCACAATTAGTATTGAACGTCAGTGCATCGCCGATCTTTAAGAGCTTCAAGCGCCACTTGCTCCACACAGTAGATTAGTCAGTTAGCTTCAGTTTGTTTGTGGCAGGAAATGAGTTCGTCGTCTTCATTTGGCTCGTGCGCCAGCATTCGAGTAACTTGATGAATATATGTATGTATGTCGGTTAGTGGCAGTAGATGCACACACACAGTATCTCAAATTGACTGTTTTATGCATTCGTGTGAGTGTGCCACATCCGTTAACGGAAAAACGTAACTGATTGCAATTAATTTCGCTCAGTCAGCGTGCCATTGACTGCAGTCGTTCACGTCTGGGCCGAACGGAACGGAGCGCCGACACGGATGGGGAGAGGTAGGCGGAGTCGTAGTCGTAAGTCGCGTTCTGAACTACGTGCAGGAAACTTCAACGCAACAGTAGAGCCAGCCCGACAATAAAATGCCCTGTGCACAAACCCAAAAAAAAAAAAAAATTAAAGTATATTTCAAAAAACTTAATTTTCAAACATTTAATTAATTATCATCATAATCACTAACTATACTTACATTTGAAATCAAAAATTCCAATAATTACGGGAGTTATGGAAAATCATTAATAGCGGGGGAGTGGGTGGGTGTATTAGAAAAAAAGAACAAACTCGATCTGCCTAGGGCTTATGGGAACCTCGATACCAAGTTTGGTTATCTTAGCTCTTATACTTGCTGAGATCCTTGCGCTCATACAGACAGACGGACGGACGGACGGACAGGCGGGCATGGTTATATCGGCTCGTCTTGTCATACTGATAAATTTTTGATCAGCCACGCCTTCTTCTGTGTGTTACATACATTCGCACTAAGCCGGTATACCCTTTGGGTACAGGGTATATAAATATAAATAGGAACAAAAACACGAATATAAATCAATTGGATGTAAGAATCATTAATTTATCAAACATTACCAGCTCGTTGGCTCATCAAAAATTCCATTATTTCCGCTGGAGGAAAATTTGTTCTACTTTCGGGAATTCAACATATACATTCATTCGTAAGTGTTGAATTGAAAGTCTTTAAATGTTACAAAGTACTAAGAAGTCAAAAAGAATCACATATGTACAAGTATATTCAACATTCATAGCGAGTATTCATAAAGAGTATTCGTTTTTATGAGTAAATCATTATTGAGTATATCCAATGTGATTTGTTCTTTATTAATTAAACTACGCATAGTCGTTCCCTCGAAATTTTCTGCATTTTGTACCTGATGTACTGAAGTTTTCATCATTAAGGTGAGAGTTTCATCATAAATTGAATATCACGAAGGTAATGGCCAAGACGAGAGCGAATCAACAACTAACGCAATTGTCATTTAAATGTAAGCATTGCCAGTGGAATTGGCCAAGTGTTTTAAATCAAATAATTAGATTGACTAGGTTTCTATCTTTAAACTTTTGTATTGTATTTTGCCACGCTCCTCGACTAGCATTAATTATTGCTTTCAATTTTGCCAACTGCTGGCATGGACAGCTTCTATTTAGTGCGGTTTTCTTTGTATATTACAGTTTTCGCTTCGGCTTCAAGATGTTCTTCCGCTGGTGCCCCTTCGTACACATTGGGTCCGAGTCATTAAATCGGCGCGACAACCTTACCTCGCGCTACTCCTGCTCCGGCTCCCCCGATCACAATCGCATCAAACGGAATGGTAAGCACTGGGGCTGACAAATGCGGGAACCGCGGAGCTAATGGGTTTTCTTTTTGTGCTTCCACTTTCCATTTTACTGGCAAGCAGACACGCAAAAGTCGATTCTCTATACCTGCCCCACCTCCCCGAAATCTCATCGAGTCTCACACTGCGGTAAGTTGCAACACGTGACATTTCATTTGTCATCCCAACTACTTTTAATAAACCAGTATTCTAAACAATTATTCGTGGTTATTATTGGTTGAGAGAGATTCTCTGTAGAGAGCTTTATCTCAGCTGCAAAGAAACTAAATAAGAGTTTGCGAGACCGCTTCAATACATAATTATACACCTTTAAGTTATCATTCTCAATTGAGTTAGGAAGCTTGATACCCATGACAAATGTTGTTGGATAGTGCTCAGGTGTTTCTGCTGCAAAATTATACTATAATTTGTGGCACTTTTAAAGACAGGGAGTCTTTACAATATTCAAATAGTAATTGTTAAATTATTTATTACAAGTATATTATTGCATGTAAGATCCAACTCGAAGAAATTATACATTTTCTTAAACACAATCTTTGTAGGTGTGCTGCGAAGCTCTACACTGCGCTGTTCTTCAGCGACCAGCCAGCAGGAGGCTCTGCAGCGGCATTCCACGCCAGTTGAGCACTTCAGCGGCGGTGCTGGTGGCGGTGGCGGTTCCAGCCACAAGTCAACATATCAGCATGAGATGCAGGGCCTTGGAAGTGGCAGCAGCGGCCACAGAGGCAAGCAGCAGCGCTGGTGCAGCAGCGTAACCAACGGTCTGTCTGCTGCAACGGAATCTCGCACCACACAACTGATGTCCTGACAGGTGGGGGGAGCGTCGTCGCAGCCGCCGCCTCATGTGGGGGGTGCAGAGCTGAGCGGCGCCGCTGTGGAAATTGTCTGCACTCCGCCCCACAACAACAATTATCGGCGCATCAACAATGGCGACTCGGCCACCACAAATCCAGCATTTGCCGCAGATGACAAAACCTGGCTCTAGGCTAACCACTTGCCGACGGCGCAGGTCTCGAATTTATTTATAGGCCTCATTCAAAACTCAAACCGTTTAATGGGTTTGTAGGATAAGGTTTTATCTGTCAACCAGAAATACACATAAATGTAAACAAACCCACTAGTTAAATAACACTTCGAAGCAACTCATTCCTTCGGTTTCCTGCATTCGCAGCTCGAGACCACTTACAATACAATACTCGTACATTATGGTGATGTTAGGCCAGATCTTTGATCAAAGTAAATGCCAACTCGTTTTGAACAATACTCAGTACAGGACAGATCAAAATCTGACTATATATTGAGAAAGTAATGTTTCGGTTTGATTACAGATTACAATTTACAACTCAATAAAGGCAATGTACAATATAGATTTTTTAGTAAAAGACGTTCAGTAGACGTACTCTAAAAATATCATTTTCTATTTCTCTCACTCCCTTACTTCCTCTATCCCCATCTCTGTCTTGGTCTTTTATTGTATTAACTACTTAACTATCGTTTGAATGGCTTTCCACCCGCATAAGGCTTTCGTCGCGATTAATCATTTGATGCATTTTTTGTCTGACCGGAAAAAAGGACATATAAACATTTATGTAGTCCTGATCCAGATTCCGAATTTTGACCATTTTTGCGCACTTCGGAAAACGATTGAGTGAGTCGGTTGTAACTGCATTGCCAAATATTCCGACATGGTTCTAATAGCTCTTTCTTCAGTCCTATCACTCAGTCATTGATCAGGATGTGGAAATTGGCATAATTTGGTGGGATAGAGTAACGAGAACTGGCTCTACTATTTACATAAACGTGAGGGTAGTCCCAAAAGTGCCGCGATAATAAAGGGTCCCGAATTTCATATGCATATTAATGATTATATAGTCTCATTATGACATATACTCTTCAATAGGAACTATCGGCTCTAAAAACACTCTTGGTATTTCAAAGCCCTTTCCAATAAATGCAGTCAAAACCGTACGAACGAACATCTTAGAGCTTTCAACCCACTTCTCGGACTGTCCCTTTACTATATGTATATGGTAGAGACAATTGAAAAATGGTTGGAAATCATAGCTTCTATAGTTCTATGTATGGAGCTGTAATCAAACGAATTGTAGTAACCATTTCGAGACCGTAAAAAGTGAAATAAATCAGCTGAACCACTACTATTTATAAATATACATTACCGAGCAGCAGAAAACCAAGCACACGATTGTACATAAATGCTAGGCACCCCTTACATATGTATTTACATATATGTAGGCAGTATATATATCTATGTGTATGGAATTATGTAACTTATGTAACACTGCAGACAAACACCTTAAGATTTTAAGCAAATGAAGACTTCTGTAATGTATCTCTGTATATCTATTAACGCCCATCTATAGCTGTATATACTTATATTGTTTGTATTTAGCTTCCATAACACTTCACACATCCCTCCCCCCCACACTCTTCTAGGCTTAGCTCTGTAAATACTCGCATACCGTACATTTCGAATAAAGTGTGTTACTCAACAGCCATAAAATGGTGGAAACAGGTGCACTTCATTCAAATTCGAAACAGTGTCAGCAACAGATTGATGAAATCCCCAGTCCATTAACTCTACTGCTCGCTAGACTCGTGCAGCGGGCAACCTCAACGCCTAGGGTAAGTAATCGTGCACTGCTCAAAAGTCCAATTGGAATTGGAAGCTCGTATTGTCTCCAGATTTTTAATTTTCGGACCTTCAGATTTTCGTGCGACGCGAGGGAAGCGATTGTCAGTAAATGAAAGATTAGTAACCGAAACAAATTATCAATTATTTATATGATTCGACAAAAGAAATACTATTTTCACAATATTTCAAACGAAATCAAATCTCAAAAATCGAAAGCTTTAAAGCTAAAAGAAAAACGACTGCAAGATATTCGTGCTTGGCGCACGATTTCCGGCTTGGCTATCAAAGGTCTGATTTTTTCTCTAGGTGTACAAGTACTTGGTCGCCGATTCTCTTTCCGTTGGCACAACTAACGAAGCCTTGAGGCATCTTTGTGTGCAGAAACGAAGAAAAATTGTATGTAAATATTAATAATCTGGCAGCCCGTCATCCTGGCCTGATGCCTCTGCCCTAGGGCTGTTGCAAATCCTGAAAATGCGAAGCGAAGCAAATCGGCGACAAGCCTCTAAGATACATGTGGAAGCCAAAGCCAACACACGCCCCCATCCATGCCCCCTTGAGCCTTTTTCTTAAGAGTTGTGTGTGTGTGTCATGTCTTCTCTTGTTAGTGTATCAATTTTTTATAAGTAACCATTTTGGAGAAAATTGCATTTGGCTTTATTTACTTATTTTATGAGTATGTCTGTCTGTCAACATCTACATATACATACACACATACATAAAGATATAGATATATACATATTCATATCTGTGTTGCCGTTTTTGGCAGCGCCGTGCGTTCGCCCCCCAAATCGCCGCAGGCCTATGCTAGCAATATTTGCATAGATGTGCCCATATACATACGTATGTATATATATGCTGCATATATCCTTCATGCGAGCACACTGGCTTGACAAACTGGTAGATAGATGTAAGTGTGTCTGTAAATATTTACTATCCATGCCTTTTTGATTTTATGAGCTTGTTTTTTGGAGGAAGTACTCCAAGTACTCGAAGTACTGCAAATGTAGAGGCACTGGTCTGCATGTGTCGAGTCTGCTCTCAGAGGTGCACACTCTGTATTATATATGTATGTATGTATGTTCAAGCAAATATTTGAGTTTAATTGCACTTCAAGTATTTCGCATTAGTACTGATTATAATTCAATGGCTAAACTTCGAATAACATTCAAAAGGAACACTCTTAATGTAGATATGTGAGTATGTAATTTTCAAGGCAATTTTCAGTGAATTACAAATGGCAACATGCAAATGATTTTTGCAGCAAACAAATCAGAACAACTTAATTGACATCAACAGAGCATGGGATGCTTAAAGGGATTGAACACTTATTAGATCTTCTGTAATTCGAGTATGGATTGCCAGGCGGGGCTAGTTAGTTAATTAAGCAGTCTATTAGTAGACATTTCGATACAAAAATACCGTTTTCTTTGCACCAGAAAAGCCACACTTTAGTGTTGACTATTGTTTACGCGGCAGCGCGCTGTTAACTACAGCCGAGGCTAGAAACTGCAGCAGCAGCAGCAGCCATAGCTAACAGCTGTAAGCGGTCTGTTAGTTAACAGAGCGCTGCCCTCTCTGTCTACTATTCTATATTTTCAAAGAGATTCGTTTTTATATATTGCACAAAGGACAAATCGAAATTTTATTTGATTTAGGGCACGAATCAAAATAAGTACGTTGATAAAAGGGAAAAAATACACACGATTCATGTTATAATAAAAAAATGTTCAAACAGAGGGTGCGCTGACACCTTTACACCTATCAATAAGTGTAGACTTTAAGCCTTCAGGTATTCAGAACTGCACGCTTGTCAGTCGATTATTTTTTTTTTTTTTTTGCTCTTGTGTGGGAGATGTGTGAAGCTTCTCTGTTTTCCCTGCTATAAAAATATTCAGCATTAATACAAATGAACAATTAAAATGGGTCTGTAGCCAAAGTGTGCGAATGTATGTACATATGTAACACACAGAAGAAGGCGTGCCACACCACTAAGACAGCTAAGTACTCTCGTATATAGTATATTCTTGATCACCATGACAGGACGATTCGATTTAGCCCTCTCTGTACGTCCGTCCGTGTAAGCACGTAGATCTCAGATAATAGGTATGAGAGCTACAGACACAACATTTGACACACAGATGCCTAAAATGTTCAAGTGTATTTCAAAGCAAGTGTTGTTGCTGCTGCTTTGGCTCAACTTTGTAGTGCTCACATACTCACACACACATTCCAGTTTAAAATTGCATTCATTCACCATTTACGTTCTAATTTCTTCAAATAGAGTATTTTAAAGTTCGGGCTTTAGCAGACGTGTTTCGCTTAATCAAAGCTCTCATTCACAGAAGCATTGTTTGTTTATTTTTTTTGTTTTATATATCATTGTTTTTATGGCCGCTGTTTATCAGCTGGTGGTTATAGACAATGGCTTGGTACAAAAACTGACAGAAACAGGCAAATCCCACGAATGACAATGGTCGATCCATACTTTTCATATACATACCATATGTATGTTAAGCACTTTGCCTATATAGAATACCTTCAATAAATTTTGTGTATCATTAAATTGGATGGCGGAATGGTCGTTTCTTTATCGACAATTATCGAAATAAGCAAGAATGCTTCCTGCTTCTTTAACGCCTGGCTGTTTGCTCAGTTTTTTGTACAGTACAAAACCGTATATAAAGTGTATAGTATTTGGTATGTATGTATGTTTTTTTTACAGTTATTAACATTTGTTTTATTAACAGATCTGGACAAAGTGAGCAATCAATTTTCAAATAGAATAAATTGAAACGAAAGTTTTGATGAATCTTCTACTTATCTTACTACAATACATTACCATCGACCCGACCTTTTTTCCCCGAACTGAGCTATTAGTTTGTTTTAACTTCGTTCAATCAATTTCAGGCGATTGCCTACAAGAAAACAAATATTTGGCCCCAATGACTTTTGTGTACATGTTTGTATGTTTGTACTATAAAATAGTTCTCAAAATCAAACATTTGTACCCACACACTACGAATACATTTTCAGTTTCCACTGCATACTTTTGAGCGCAAATGTGAAAAATATACAATTAGTGTGTTCGCTTTAAAGTGGAAATGGAAATACCAATTTGTAAACAAACAACTGAGCGAACAACCACACTACTACTACCAAAATCAGTTTTGTAATCCTCTATAAATTGCAAACAATACCGGAACTTTTGGACAACTAACAGCCCACACACATTTTAATAGAGATGTGTGTGTGTGTGTGTGTATTCGACCAAAATAAACGCATATTAAAGGAGCCAACTTGTGCGGGCATAATTTGATATTTGCAGGTATGCACAGAAATGGTTGCTGTGGCCATGGAGGGGCTGTGGCGATGCGCTCCAATAATTGAATCTGTTCGGTGGGATGCACATGTTCGCGAGGCCGTTGCAGTAGCGATGCCAACGGGCGTGGCCCAACCACCACTAAAATTATATTTAAAGCGGCAGAAGAAAAATGCGAAGTATATGCGGCGGCTTTTGCGGGCGACAAACAAATTTCACGAGCAAGGCATTTACTTGTTTTAGTTGTTGTTTGCGTTGGTATTGGTGGTATCGGGCCTTAATGCAGCATCTTAACTCAATTGATTGCAAATGGGTATTTGTGCGCCTTCACATCGTTTTATTGTTGGCTTGCGGCTGGCCTAAGCTAAAATCAATTTCATTATGTTGAGTCCTGTGGCATTGGCATGCATGTGCAATGTACCGGGGTAGCGCGGGCGGGCTTTGAGAGCCTTGACACGTTGCGTTAACCGGAAATGTCGAAGAGGTTGCACTTGGATTCTGTATTTCAGTTTTGTTTGCAGCAATGCTTATAAAGCCTTTCTTTTTCTTGTCATTTTCGTTAAAAATAAATTACGTCATAAGTCAATAAGAATATCTGTACTTAAAAATGTGGAAATAAAAAAGAACTCGCGTAGTCTGGGGATAACGAGAGGACCCAGCCGTTGTCAAAAACTTTGCTATATGGATTCTTTCGTCATGCTTGTGTTTGTGAATATATGTTTATACTTTGTGGCACCCTTTTAACCGATCTAATTCAAATAAAATAAAATCTTTTGAATAAGTAAGTAATTTTATTATTATATGTTTTTTGACAGATTAAAAAAGTACGTAAACGTATCACAATTTAATTTTAAAGTTTTTATGTCATGGATGTTTTTCCTTTTTATTATTATGGTTTGAATGGATAAACATAATCAAATTTTTGTATGTATAATATTATAATAATCAGCTTCATTGGCACTATTTATTCATTGGTCAAAATAAATTCCATGATTGTGCGAAGTCTTTATGTACGTGTTGGTCCAACGCTTCTATAGGAAGTACAGCTGGTTCTCTAAGCCGGGCGAAGGAGCAAGATTAATGCTTTCGGCGACGAGAAATGCCAGCTTGTGTGCATACTGGCAGACAGATGGTACTCTACAAGCTCCCGAGAAATTATAGTACAAGTGTGTCATTTTGTAGGACAGCATTTGCAACTTGTCGGGTGAAAGTCCCATATTGTCATGAATAATGCTATAGTGCGTTGGTGATACGGTGCCTTGGCGCACGGACTGCGACACCAGGAAGAAATCGTAGCGCTCTGGAAGGGTTATAATGTCATCTACAATAGTGCCTGGAGGAGGGTTGAGGTTGTTCACAAAATATCGAGTATTGATTCTCTTAGATACGATCATAAACGCCAGGCGGCAACCTTCCGGCTTGCCGGCTGACCTGTAAATCTCGTCCAGTTTGGTCTTCAGCAGTTTCACTTCGATGTTGGCAACCTGATGGATTTGGCCATCACCAACGCCATCGCGGTAGAAGAGAATGCGTTCCGGCAACAAACCGTGGTGTTCCCGGTATGCCTTTAAAGCCAGTGTCATGTTCAGAGCCATCTGATCCGACAACTCCTGACCCTTCACATGCTCAGTAACCGCCGAAAAGTAACGTCCTGAGGTCTTCATATCCATGGTGGTCACGAGGGCGCCATACGACTTGTTTTTCCTCGTTGAATGGCAGACATCGAAGCCGGCAGTCATTAGGCCGTTCAGCGGCAAGTCGATCATCCACGGGGTTCCCATCAATTTTGCGTTCATTTGAATTACGACTTTAGTGGCGATTGACATGAGCCCGCCTCTTTTCTCTTGGCGTGGGGCAATAACTTTCAAGGTGACTACTTGTGATGGCACCGGACGATCCACACAAGTCCGTCTTTTAATGGAGGCATACCTACGGAATAGAAATCAGTTGGCAACAAACAACAAATTTGAATGTGAAATTGGTTCATACCTTTGCTCGTTGCTGGTCTTCAGCACTACCATCACAATCTGAGGGTCCGCCGATGTAGCTCTATCGAGTGCCTGGGTATACGACTCATTACAATCTGCCCATGCCTCTTCGCTGCAAATATTAAAGAACGCCAAACTGAAAACTGTGAAGGTATGCTGCCTTTAATCTCGATACGTACTAAAAAGGTTCGCGGATTGACATTTTCATGCCGCTACCTGCACGAATGCAATAATTCACGAACTCTTTGGTTTCGCCAATATTCCGTCTTGGTGTTACAACCGCCCAACGCGTAATGTCGACGTGTCTATACATCATGTTGTTGCGGAACTCGCCAGTCCAATCAGCGCGATTATCGCAAGTGTATTGCTTATTGTTGCCTAACAAAATTATCTCTGGGTGCAGAACGCGAGCGGGTATCTCCACCAGTTTCTTGTCTAGACTTAAGTCCCACGATGTCAAAACTTCAAGACTCTGCGGCGATGCCTCCAAGCGGTTATTGAATTGAAGCAGGCGCTCAATGCGACGCCCAGGTGGCAATCGGGTATGTTCGCTCATTGCTTTCATCAACCTGTCGGGTAAAACAAGCACACATTTATAAGAGGGGGCTGATAATGGGTTCGGACCAATTCTTCAAACCTGAAATTAGACCGCATTGCATCGTTCATGCCAGTAGCCCGTGCCAGCTCTGGGATCAACATAATAGGTTGGTCCAATCCTCCCCGTATGTTCTTATCGGTGGGACGAGACACAAGAAGCGGTTGTTCATAGTGGCGTATGGTGATGTTATAGCGCTGCAAAAGATGCTCTTTGTGTATTTGTGTAAACTTACAGGACAAATATATGAAGAACTACTTAAGAGCTGTTTCATACCTTATCTATGGCGACTCTAGGTATTGGAGTAGAAAATCTAGAGTCGGGGGCTCCAACTTTGAGGTACTCTGTACCTTTGTGTGTAATTACAAAATTGGACAATTTTACAAAATTAATAGAAGAAAAGTAAGTCTAAACTTGACATACGGATGACATACGGATGTGGGGGGAAGATATTTTGAAATACACTTGCAGCTGTAGGGTCTGCCACGGCTCCTTCTGCCTGTTACATTTTTCACTTTGCACAAAGCTAAAGCACTCTTTTAACTGTCAGGTACAGAGTATAATACCTTTTCAACAAAACTATTACTATATAGTATGTATAAGTGGTATCCTTTTTTGGGAGGGACCCCAGGTAACCAAAACAGAGTGAGTATATAGAGGCGCAATGAATTCGTTACCTTTTTATAATACTGAACATATGAAATATCTCCTTCCTTACTGGAGAACGTGGACAATGGAGTGGCACCGTATTCCACATCGTCTACACGATACGTCTTATTATTGTAGTCCGTCAGCACCACCATTCCTGTGATGAATGTGATAAAATGAAAAGTTACATGAATTTTCTTTTGAAATTTAAGCGTGAGAAATTGTGAATTATTGACTGCAAATCAAAAGACCAAGTCGGTACGTCATAAATGCATGTACTGATCTATCCACAAGTTTTCTTTAAATTTAAATTTAAATAAAAAGACCCTAGCACCAATCTTAAGCAAGAGTAGGCAATATTGGGGAAAGTTGGGGAAGTATCTCAGCTGGCGGAGCACGCATATGATATTTTACAAGTAATTATTACCCGAAAGGGATAGGTTGGCGAAATTTGGAAAACCATACATTAGTCACTTCCTCAGGTATATCAACGTATTTAAACACTCACCACATACTTCATCACGAAAAAGCTGTTTATGATCTTCGCAAGTGCACGATAAATTCGAATATATGTCGTACAATGACTCAGTTCTCATTACTTTATGAACGATTTCAGTGCACAATAGAATGTCAGTTTCGTGCTGACGAATAGAAGTTTGAAAACCAGGCCAAATCTCCACGTTGTAGTTATCCAATTTAAACTTTAAGTACAAAAATATAAATTAGCGCGACTCGAACGGAAACTGATATCCCCAGCTTACCTTTGTCAAAGGGTCGAAAAAGTTGCGCGTTATAAGTTCTAGCTTCAATCCCTCCATAGCCCGACGAAGAATCAAATTCAGGATTTGGAACTGCTGAGCATCGGCCTTTTCAACAGCGCCAACTTTCTTGATTTTAATCTGGATATGTTCGAGGGCTCGATTTGTTGTCACAAACTCCAGGGCATAAACATTGTTCGGATCGCATCTAAACTCCCTGGTGCAGAACAGAATACTTCCGTCATAAATGTAACCACCTAGCTTGGTGCGATGCTCGTTCAAATAGGCGCGACGCAAGCGTGTGTTATCAATGTCCGGGATAAAATCAACGTGGTATTTGAAAATAGTCCATTCAGGGCGCTTCATGACCTTAAAGTAATTGGCTTGCACCGTTATTTTAGAGCCAGAAGTGCCCGATTTATTTCCAAATCCTCCGCCGATTTCAGTAATTACCCGATGGCCACGTACGAAGCCGTGATCACCTGCAACTACTGTTCAAAAGAGAAGAAACACTGGGTTTTAAATCACGCCAGGAAAGAAATATCAACACAACTCGCCTTCAGAGCGCTCAGGCTCAGGTGCACGAGCTGGCGCATTTTTTGAACAGCATGAACCCTGAGAATTTTCAGTCCAACTTGTTTCTTTGCGATCTGAAATAGTTTCTCGCACGCTCTCCTCAGATGGAGAGCCTAGTCCCTATAAATAAAATTCCCAAAGTAAATTGAATTGTTATAAAGTAAACTAAAAATAAGAGCGCCATTTTATTTTCCGTTTTTTTAGGCACCTCTTCACAGCTGTTACTATTCAGACTCTAAAAAATGTTATTTTTCAAATCATACGAAAAAATAATGCCAAAAAAAAAGATTACAAACATATATGTACTATACTTTAACCAATCCATTTTTATTTCTAAATTATTTGTCATTTGAGGACCGCCATTTTGCTTTCGGTTTTCACAACTGTCACTATTCGGGTACAACAAAAATTCGTATTTCCAAATCATGCGTAAATTTTAAGCAAAAAAAGTAAAACGACAAAAAATAGATGTTGACAACACGCCGTTCTACATTGACATTTAATGTAAGTTACGGTTTATGGAGCTGGCCAATTTACACTTTAAGCAATCTTTTTTAATTTCTAAATAAATTGCTGAGATTCTTACCAATTGACTGGAAGGGGCACTATAGCCTTCCAGCAGTTTCCTTATTCCGCGACCGCGACCACGGCCACGCACATTTTCACTCAAATTTATTTCTTGGCGATCTGAAATAGTTCCTCGCACGCTCTCCGCAGATTGAGAGCATAGTCCCTGCATAAAAAACACACAAAGTTATAAAAATTGTTATAAAGTAAATTTATAATAAGAGCGCCATTTTATTTGCGTTATTTGAGGCACCTCCTCATAGCTGTTACTATTCAGACTCTAAAAGATGTGATTTTTCAAATCATACAAGTTATGCAAAAAAAAATTACGAACATGCACGTTTATCCATTTTTATTTCCTAAATTTTTTGTCATTCATAATTTGTGCCGTTAAAAATTGGAGCTTTCGTGTAAGGGCATGACTGTGAACGGAAAAAAATTGAAAATTTTGCAATTCATGTACATGCATGTGTCTCTCATTTGAGGAGCGCCACTTTGTTTTCGGGTTTCACAACTGTACACTACTTGTATTCAGGTACAAAAAAATTTGTATTGCCACGTCATTTGAAAATTGTACTCAAAAAAAGTCAAATGCTTACCAATTTTCACTTTAACCAAACTATTTTAATACCTAAATAAATTGCTGAAGATGCTTACCAATTGACTGGAAAGGGCACTATTGCCTTCCAGTAGTTTCCTTATTCCGCGACCGCGGCCACGCGAAAGCCCTAAATTAATTGGTATATTTTCCATTTTGTCCAAAAATTGTTCATCAATTTTGATAATGACACTGCACGTTCGCACTTCACAATGCCTAAAATATAAATGACAAGAGGTCCCGATACTGACTAGCCGAGTACTTGCAATACTGCATCTGATTTTCCACCTGTCAGTCGTACACTGTTGTCTTTATGTCTTTATGTAGATGACACTATTTTTTAATATATGCCAATTGGTATTTTTGAAAGTGATTATTTGAAACATGTACATGATCTGCGGGAATACTGCTAACATCAAAAATAAATAAAATCAGATAGTTTTTTAAATCAATAATAAATAAATACATCACTTTATTTATATTGAAAACCGTTAAATCAAGGCAACTATTATTACTTGATGTTTGGTCACACTTGTTTTTTGTCCTTTTTGCTATGTGCTATGTATGTATACTAGGGATGTAAGTCGAAGGGAAAACATCGATGTTGATGTACATCGATGTCTCTTTATAAAAAATCGATGTACATCAACATCGATGTTTTTAAAAATTAACTTTCCATAGAAAAAAAGCTATTATTAGGGAGCTAATCAACATAGATGCTTGAAATAAAAAATGTTTATATATCAAGAGAGACTATCATAGCATTTTACTTAATGGACAAACATCGATGGATCGACGATGCATCGTTAGCAAAAGAACATCGGAAAACATCGATGCACCGTGGTAAAAACATCGTCGATGTTTTTTACATAACTAATGTATATCATGTCAGTTCTCATTGATTGTTTGCCAAAGAAAGAACTCGCGGATAAGTGCACAATAAATATGTATAGCCTTTAAACACATTAAAGCAACTGCGTCTCATTTCTTCCTGCAACTGCTCTACGAATATAGCCACCAAAAGTTATAATTTACAACAATTTATACACAACATGCTTTTAAATATATTTTATTCTTATGAATGCGTCCTATCTACAATCAATTTGTTTATATAAAAAACTTCAATGCACAATTATATTGTACATTCTAATTTACATTCTAATTTAGATCTTATAATTGGTTCGCCTGTTGGATTTAGCCAAGCGAAATTAAACTACTTTACTCTTACTCATTCATAGAAAATTTGCTCCATTTATTTGTCAGCTCAGTGGATTACAACTTTAGTTTTCAAAATTAATTTTTCCGTTTTTTCAAATACATATAATACATGTTTTATGTATATACTCTCACAAAATACTTGGCGTAATTTTTTTTTTTGTTTTTTGTCCAGCTGAACTGAAGCCAAATCGGAGGTGCGAATGATTATTGTGATATGACAGCCAGAGAGGTCTTCAATTGAAGTGTCTTTTTTATTTAAAAATTTTCAGTCAGATGCCAGAAAAGGACTGGCTTTTGCACAAGACGCAAAGCTCCTTAAGATAACCATTGTACAACACGACACGAGGACCTTCCAATATAACTAATGAATGTCAAAAGTATGGACTGTAGTCCTGCTAATGACCTTCAAGTAGTGCACCAAGTGTTCGCCCACATTCTGCTTTATGAAGAAGACACACTGCGTTTGCCGCTGCTCGATATGGTCGTCGTGCACGTGCAACAGATCGTTCAGTGAATCTGCCGTGATTTCTAGCATCCGTGAGCTATTCAGAAACTTCATGATGCGCTCGTTCGTAAAGCTCATTTGCTGAAAAAGATAGACATTGGAAAAAAACAGTTAATTTGAAAATCGATTAAGTCGGTCTTAGCTGTTTTAACTTAATTGGTAAATTTTTTTGCTACATTTTTCATCTTGCTCTCTTATAAAGCCCTTGTAATAAAAGCATTTTGTTAGTAACTCTTCTTACCCCTTCAATGTCATCCACGTCGTCTGGCTTAAGATTTAAGAAAAATTTGGTGGGATCGTCACGATCTGCTGCCACCTCCACCTTGGATACTGGCGATACAAATGTCAGATCATCGTTACCCGCCTCCATAATGGCTAGTACCGATGAGGTCAAAAATAGCAATGCCGGGCGCAATTGGTCGTGAACCAGGAGAGTGATCTCATAGAAAAACAGTATTTGATCGCGACTTAGCTCTTCCGGCAAAAAGCGCCAGATGCAGTACGAGCCACGATGTAGAGCTACATTGCGTGTCACGCTGGGCTCCACCTGCTGCGGCATAGTGTTGAATCCCACTGTATGCAGTACTCCCTGCCCGGTTAGCGCCAGCATTTCTGCCGCACCGCTAATTGGTTTAGTCAGCGCACCTACAATGCCTTTAGTTAAGCCGGCGATAACACCCACCGAGGAGCGTGCCTCGAGAGTGTGATGCGCCAAGCCACCCACAGCTCCAAGTAAACTGATGCCCAGGCCGGTCATGCCTTGTGTGAGACCATCAGCAAAGCCCTGCGGCCGCGCACGTCGACGTGCCTCCGTCAACTCAATATGCTCAGCGTCTAGCGTAAGGCGGTCCAAGTTTCGCGCCACTGATCCAGCAAGTTTGGTCACCGAATTGACAGTGCCAGCTGTAACATTGCGTAGCAGCGAAGCGGATCCCTGGGTGATACCCACAAAGAAGCCCCACGGTCCGCGAAACAGGCCCTGTACTGGCATGGAGACGAAGTCGCGTAGGCCCGTGGTGAAGGAGCGAGCGAGTCCGCTGGGACTACCGAGAATCTCCAGCGAGCCCACAACCCAGCCCGCACCGAAAATTGCACCCGACAGGTAATGCAACCCAAGCGATTGACCAAAGCGCAGCGGCACTGTGAGTATCTGCTGACGCTCATAGCGTGAAAACGAGAGTGGGGAGTGGTCCAGCGCAATATACAGTCGCGACGAAGTATGCACCGAAAGCAATAGGCTTAAAGGTTCCACACAAAAGTTGTTAAGGCGCAAGGGTTCGGCTATGTACCGCGCCTGGGCAACCACCTCTAAAGGTAGCAATGTCTGACCTTCAGAGAGTTGGATGCGGTCGCGCTCCACACTTGGGGTGTGCACGCAATTCGATGGCTCACATTCTACCAATGTTTCCAATAACTGATTCAAGTAGGCATCTTCAATATACACGCGAAACGGGTGGAAATTACAGCACACGGCGTTTAACTGCAACTCGTCCTGATAGAAAATGAACGTGAACAGCGCAATGGGTCCGCGCTCGGTCTGCTGATGATAGATAGCGTCCAAATCATATACTGGTGGCAAACAGGTGCTGCGTCTATACATTTGCTCTGAGCACAGCAGCACCGGAAAATCAAATTTCCCGTTGGAGTACAACTGATTGTCCACCTGCAGATTGGGTATCTGGAGGCGCAGCACTCGCTCATCGTCATCATCGTTGTAGGCAACCATCATGTCGTCTGTGTAGACATTGCACACTTCTGTCTTAAGGTAATCGCGCTCACGGCCGTCTGTTTGCAGGCTAAAGACAAACTTTTTAATAAACAGCCGTATCTTCATTCGATGCTTTATTTCGCATGAATCGTCGAAGTGGGCGCAAGTGATTTGCTCCTTGGTGGGAGTCGGTGAGGCGGGTTTGGTCGGAGAATTATGGGCCGATTTTTCAGTCAGCTGCTCCGGCATCGTCGCCCGTACCGCATCGGACTGATTCAGTCTGGACCGCAGATCCTTAACGGAAAACTCCATTTGCTCTGATATGTAGTAAATAGTCACGCGTATTACGCGATGCTTATCACAGACAACGACTTTAACATCGCCGTGGTTTGGCACGTGCAGGAACTTCTTCCACGACTTGTCGGTGCGTATAGGCTTTGACCAGCCTATCTTCTTTTTGCCCCCTGCTCCTTTTTCTGTAATCGGAAATAAGAATATGCGTAAGTATAATGCGTTTTAGGCCCGATACCACAGGTACTCACCATTGTAAACTGCAAGAGATAGATTGCAGATGGTGAACTCGACGTCCGGAAAATTGGAATACATTTGTGGTGGTGTGTAATAACATTTGCTGCGCGGCGACACCAGTTGGTTCCACTCAAAGTGCTTGCCCGCAAACTCCGCATTTGTGCTGGTCACATTACTATTTCCCGAGGCGGTCGTCTGGGCGACAATAAATTTGACATTCGTATGATTTGAAATGATAATAGCGGGCGCCGTATCACGAAAAACGTTTAAGTAGTAGACATTGTCCTTCTCGATCAGCGTCACCACCAATGGTATGGATTCCTTGCCATCCTGTAGGCTGAAGCAGCGACGCGCAAATGGTATAGCCAATGGTATAGGTATAGATATATCCCAGTTGCCAGCGACGGCAAAACAGACGAAGTATACAAAAGCCGTGTCACTTGTATGCTTTGCTTTTCGGGCATTCAGATCATAAAATACATCCATTGTCATGCCAATGCTGCTAGGGCAAAAAAATAAGTATATTTTCATAGGAATAAAGAGAGCTGTTTGGTTTAAACACACACCATTGTTGCGACTTTTCTACTGAGATAAGGTTGCGGTTCTTTTTGGCCATATCCAACGCATGCACATCCTCGCGACTTGACGTTTCCTTGTGATCCATAGTCAGTGGCAGTGCGTGAAGTACCACATTCGTGAAGTTTGTCACAACAAACTTGGGCCGCAGTTTGAACACACGGCATCCATCTTCGATCTTATACTCAAGCAAAAATCTTAGAACATCCTCGTTTCGAACCACCACAATATCAATGAAGGAGTTGGCACGCAGGACAGTGTAGCGAGAGTTACCGACCGTGTCTGTGAGCTCGTCCAAGCACACAGAGTTCGAGGCTATCCAGCTAGTCCCGTAGGGTATATCTACGCTGAACAGGCCAGTTAGCATCGGCATCATTTCAAGGCAGTTAGCCTTCAGGGAGCACCGTGACCGCGTCTTGGCCTGAAATATACTGACCTCAAGCCCTGTGGCATTAATAAACATACCCCATGCGGCAACACTCAGTCCTAAGGTGCAGGAGAACTCTCGCGTGGCCTGCGCCTTATAGATGATATCGAAAGTATTCTGTTGCATTGTGCAGCGTCGGACGCGTAACTCTTCCTGATCATTCATCGGCCACTTTGGCTTTAGAGCTTTTCGCAGATTTTGCAGCGTTGTTTCAATAGTCCACTCGTCATGATCGTAGTGGAAGAACTTTTGCCAGTCCATGGCCTTTAGCATAAAGGTGTAATCGCTTTGGGAGGCAGATCCGAGCTCAGCTCTGTTAAGAAGAAAGCATAAGAAGTTCCTCAACGACCTTTTTATTATGTGTACACTTACGGAATTTCGAAAGAAACCTTATGTTCCGTGACGTGAGTGGTAGGTGTGTTGAGGGGCATTCGTCCGCCCTCGCTTGCTATTTTGAATCGCTCTTCTGTGCTGCTTTCCGTGGCCATCAGATCGCAGCTTAGCATATTACAGATTTCGAATATAGGCCATATGCTAACTAGAATCTTCTGTGGATAAAAGTCATCCCCCACATTATCCAGCACAATGTCTTCACGCAAAATTCGTATCCACAAGCTGATGAACTGCTGAGGCGACTGAGTTGGCACCTTTACCAACCATGGCAGACTATTGTTGGGCTTGAGTGGGATGTCCCCGGTGCGTCCTTTTCCACGGCCCATGCTTAGCTTAAGACTAATAAAAAATGCGATTAACTAAAATATCAAACTTCAGATCATTAGAGCTTACCGCATATTTATGTCAGCGTTGCGCACTACCGTGTGATAGAAGGATGCACGTCCTTTTGCAACCAGCACATGTTCCAACAGATTTTGTTCATCGTAGTTCTTGCCCTCGCGCCGAAATTCGGCAATAAGCTCATACGGCACCATGCTCATTAGTTCTATCTGGCCTTTGACAAGTATGTACACCTGAGTGGCTGATAGTTTGCCAACTTTTATAGTTATACAGCGCTTGCCCACGCGCAAATGTTTCACTGTGTGTTCATCGTCAAATTTGAGGGCAATGTGCACAGAATCGCTTGACTCGATTTGCTGAGTTGTTGGATTTTCAATAAAGAAGGTCAACTCCTGACTATGATAGTCGCTGCGAAAGTGATACAGCTGGAGCTCATGGGGCTCTACGAAAATGCGTTCTCCCGTGTCCGTTTGACCAAAGCTAAAACGCGCGTGCATGCGATTAACCACAACACATTTAGGCATAAGGGTGTGCAAGGCGGAGCGCTGCTCCAGCAGCTCCTGCCAATGCTGTTTAGACGAGAGCAGCGTGTGGATGACGCAGGGGCCGCAATTAAGACGAAGCTTGTCGATTAAAAAGTTGGCGAGCAGCAAACGTTGCCCACCGTTGAATCGGAAATAACTTTGGAATGATATCGGCTCCACAATATCGATCATATTAATAAATCCATAGTCCAGGCACTTAACTCGACTTCGGAAGTCCGTTTCCACACTAAAGTCGTTATACTGATGGATGACTGCATACAGATGTAAGTCCTGGACATCCAATGTCGCGAATGTTTGGCTTATTGTGGTGGTTCGCTTAAGGTTGTACTTCTTTAACAGCGGGGGCAGCTCGTTGTATGCATCCGGCTGGTTGAGGAAATTAAGTTCGATATTTTTACAGCTCAATAAGAGCTGAACCTTGGGCACAAATTGTGCATTGAATGTTGTATCGATGCGCATGCAGCCAACTAGGACTTTGGGGTGGAGAATGAAATCGTTATCTGCGTCGCCTTTGAAGTCTTGCTGTATCCTGCTGCTATCAATCTGTATAGCATAAAAAGACATAATACAAGTAATTGTTATGTTGTTTGTTACATCCGTCTTCTATACTCTTTGATATAAAACAGTTGATCTTGACTGACTGATTGGTGATCAACGCACAGCCCAAGTATTCTTTCACAGTGTAAGTGAAATTGGAAAATTAGAACTCCAAAGGGGAGAACATACTATGGACCGATTTCGAATCAATTTCAGATTATGGGGTGGCATTATTTCAAAACTATACATTTCTTTGCGACATCTTCAAACTTCAAATTGTTGTGAGATATTATAAACTGACTTATAAGTACCAAGATATTTAGGATATCATCGATAACATAATATGTATTCTAATAAGAGTGATGTTTGCGATGAATGCTGGAATGCTATGGAAGCTACGTAAAATGATGAGGATATATATGATTTGTCTTAAAATTGCTCGTCATATGGATGCAACAAATCTACGACACCAAGTTTAGTGCCCCTAGATCTAGTGGCTTAAAAGTCACCGACGTTCCTACAGACAGGCAGTGAGGTCGTATGTCTATATCGATTCGTTTTATCATGTTTATTATAAATGGACCGACCTATAACATGGCTTCTTCTTCCCTATAGTCTTTCTAGAATAAAAACGAAACTCACTGATTGCAGGTCTTCGTCCTCATCCGTTTCAAAGCATGTTCCGTCCACCGATATGAGCGACTGCATGATGACCACGCGCCAAATGTTTGCACAAATGTGGCGTTCGGGAGGCTGTATTTCTTTACTTGTTGTTTCGGAGAGCTCAAAATCGCAGTAGTGTAAAAAGGTTTCGTGAGTCTCGCTAAAATACTCCATGCGGCATTTTATGTGAATGGGATTATTGACCTGGAAAGACGGAAAGTTTAACTCTTCCTTTCGGCATGCAGACATGCTAATGCTCACGGGCATGGGAACTGGATAAATGTGTATGCCACTCATCTGGCGAGGCTGAGGGTAGCGCCAGCATATGATCCCGTAATTCTTCTTAATGATTTGCACTTGGTAGGGCATCGGCAACACCGCGTCCGTGTTCAAGTAGACAAATTGAAAAGCACCCGCCCTGGAAAGAGGAAAGGAGCGGTAACAAACGCTCAACGGAACATTGATTATGGCATAGCCCACCTGAGATCATCTTGATAGAATTCGGTCTTTGGCTCCGGACTCGTCTTAGAATGCACAATGCGGTCGAAGGTAGGCGTGTACAGCAGCACCGAGCCAGGAACTATATTTGTTGGTTCGCCTAGCATTGGTCGTTGTTGCAAAAATGTCTGCCACTCCAGGGCGACGTGTTCCCTAATCCTGGTGAGGCCTGCGTACGCCTGTCGCAGCTCCAGAATGTTAAGTATGCTAGCATCTATATGCAATAGATTCAATTTTAGGGTGGCACCAATAAGCAACTGATCAGGGCACCAGGGTTCACTGCGCAAATCGGCGGATAAACGCATTAACAATGGATGCAGTAGAATTTTCTCGCCAGCCTGGAGATAGAAAGTCCCCAGCGCCGATTTCACCGCAGCTTTTTGGGGTCGCGAACTGAACTTAACGCGAGCACTGAAGTCCATACAAACAGCAGTGCAGGTATAGGAGTGCATCTTATCGTAGAACTTTATAGTAACCAGGTCACAGGCCAAGTGCAGTCGGTCTGCGTCGTAGCATTGCAGCTTTAATTGGCGCATCGGCGTGGTACGCACCACGGGTAACTCACTACGCACCGAAAAACATGGACTTTCGTTTAGTACGGAATATATACGAATCAGATCACTGGCTAATTGCTTGATACTATTTTCGCACAGACGCAACACGATAGGCTTACGCAGCTCCACATCCACTTCCAGCTGCTGCGCACGATCCAGTTGCGATTTTATAATCAAGAGGGGCGGTGGAATTCCTGAACTGCCAGTGTTTCCCGGCAACGTATCGAAGATCACCTCGTTGAATTGTTTGTGGTGCGGGTCGCTTGTGCCAGGGGGCGGCTCACCTGGACAGGCCACATGCACATTAAAATTGAAGATCGAGGCTTGGGTTATGGATTCACGCAGATTTTGCGTGGTCATGAAGCTCGGCTGCGATACAGTAAGAAGAATGAGCGGTTTTAGGATCGGCTGCGGTATATCAGGCAACTCGATCACATCATAGACTTTTAATACAAATATGCCGGCAACAAAGGACACGGTCTGCGGATAACGATGCCATGATCGCTGCTGTTGTAGGGATTCACTAGCAGAAGAGCGCAACGTTTCAGGCGTTATAACAATTTTGTTCACGTAAATACCCGAATCACTCTGGCAAGACCCCAGGAATGTGTCACTAGAACTCTTGGCATCGAAGAAAGAGGGACGATGTGCTCGACTATTTCTGTAGCTGAGATACGTCTGTACGCCAGGATTTTGCGAAGCACGCTTTATTTTGTTTACATTTTCAGATCTCACCGAAATCCTTTCCGTGCTGTTTTGAGCCGTTAGTGCCGTATTAACTGATAAACTATCCCATGAACGACTGCTCATGTCATAAACTGGTAATTGAGTGTGGATATTGCGGGGCTCACCTCTTGTACAAACACGATTTACAATGCTGCGAAAATAACAGAATTTTAAAATATAGTGTCTGTTTTTATTACTTCAATTATTTACGTGTAATTATTTCCCACAAAACCACTCACTCATGGCCTTTTATGTATATGCATATATCAACATGAAGTCATTATTAGCTTACCTGGAAAGCCGCTGTAGTCGCAAAAGGATGCAGGATATCAAGTTAATCTGGTGCGTGCATAATGTCGCGACAAAATCGGTTACACAGTTATATTCCACATTCTGCCCGCAGACAAGTAAATTCTCATATGTAATGGCCGGTGCATAGATGGAGATGAAATCGAAATCATGGAAAATATCCATGTGCTCCAATTCTGTTCGGCGCTTCTGGTTGTTCCACTCAAAAGCAGGATTGGTATGTGGGCTGTCCAAAGCCTCCATGCGGTACTTTTGTGTTTGCGTCCAGTTTCCAGAAGACAGCGAAATTTTTCGTATACTTAGCTCGTACTGGCGATCCTCGACCAGTGAGCCTGGCGTTCCCAGTATATTGAGCTCGGCGGCCTTATGGTAGATATCTTGGCGTATGGGTTGTCGCACAAGAGGATTCTCCAAGTTCGGCGTTAGATTAATGCTCTCGATCTAACAGTAAACATCAATCCAAATGGATTATCAAAACATAACATTTGCGGCTACTTACCCGCAGAAGCAGCACACTGCAACACTTTTTTTCGGTCTGCAGCGGCACGTATACATAGATTCCCTTGCTCGTCAAATGCACCATCGGGAGATCTTGGGCGGTTTTGATGCTAGGGGGTGGGGTGCGGGCCACGATCTTTTTTTCGTTATAGCTGCTCATAATTTCAAGCACCTCGCACAGCGGCACTAAAAATTCGGTGATTTGATCCAAATCCACAACGATCTCGATAGGCTGCAATTCTATGAGCAGTTCGGATATTGTGTGCTTCTTATTGTGTGGATTGCGGGCGCCGATCTTGGTGTACAGATCCTGTAGGTTTACTGTGGTGACAACCACGCTAAGCAGCGGCATGTTGCTGCTATCCCCAAGCATTTTTATGCGCAACCCGTCCATCTGCTTCCACTCGCTTTGCAGCGTTGCTTCAAAATAGTCGAGGTTCACGTTCTCCACTTTGGTGGTAATTTTTGTGAAATCCGCATGCTTGTCAACATTGAGCAACAAATCCTCGATACTCAGCACGATCTTTCGCAGCTTGTGGTCCGCATAGCTTTCCAGGACGAATGTTATGCGTGGAATCGTCCATTGGCAGAAAATATTCACTATAACGTCAGGTTCCAGTACTGAAAATTGAATTAACATATATGATACATTTAGAGACATGTAGGGTATTCACGGTCAGTGGTGGAACAGGTATTTGTTTCAGATTGCAGATGCTTTAACCGGATAATAAAAAAAGACTAACTTTAACTGGCAACACTAATTAAACAAATTAACTAGATAATCTGAGTCAATAAATATATATTCACCTACCCATCAGTTAACTCTTATTAACTCTTATTAAAAAACATCAAACCCACTAGAAATACAATGTCTACAACTGTCTATATTTGATGGGTATAGATAGATTCTGTCAATTAGTATTGTTTCATTCTCATTTCTATTTGAATTAACAATTATTGGTATATTTCACTCACCATATTCCCGGTTTGGAGGCTCGAAATTCGGGTCTAAATCCAGAAACTCTTTGATCGATGGATAATTTTGGGCGCTACCCGTGTATATTTCCAGCTTTGGTTCTACGGTGCGTGACTCAGTTTCGTTAACTTCCCTAAGACGCATTGATTGACAAATATTCGAGAGTATCTGATAGTGTTCGTGCAGTAATTTGATCTGTAAATGTTTAATAATATTTATATCTTTAGACGATACATTCCAGGTAGATGTGTCTACACTTACCCTCTGGCAAATGATGCCGATAGCCGACATGTCTATATGCACATTGAAGGAGTAAACACCCTTCATTTGTCGCTCAATTTCTTCCTGTTCGTCCAGTCTTTTGTGTTCATCATCTAACCAGTCCACTTTCTTTGGTGCAGAGTCGACTTGGTTGAATATATTAATATCGGACGGTTTATTCTCTTCTTCCAGAAAGTCTCGTTGCTCAACTATATTCTGCTTCTCGGGCAGCTTGCGAGACAAAGCCACTGTTATAGTTGTACGGACAGGTGCCAGAATCTCTTCGGACACAGGACCCTTGCGGTAATGCACGCTTAAATTGGTTAACTCGATGATCCAGTTATATGTGCTCACGTTGGCATCCAATTTTATGACGGTGCGTAAATTTGCGCGGCTAATGGCTTCGCTGTTACGCGACTTTACTTTAACTTGCGGCAATCGAATCGACGTGTATTCAACAGTAGTTTCCTGCGTTAATTTTCGATTCATGATCTCGCAGACATCAATCCTCACCTGAGCCATTTCTATCAGTATTATCATGGTACACAATCGATACAACAGTTTTCGACTATCAAAATTATCTGCCTCCACCTCTTTTTGAGGCGTAACGGTTTTGACTTCAAAGTACACCTTCTCATCGCGCTCAGAACTCAAATGTACAGTCTCCTCGGGGACTGAAACCTTGCGACTATTCCGACTGGTTCGCCGACTAGTAAACTGTCCTGACGGCAGTTGCGATTGCGTGAGTGTCGTGACAATAGACTGAGCCGATATCGACGGTAGGCGCTCCGACTGCGACAATGACTCCAAGTCTGGATCCAATTCTAAAAGAATAAAATTATCAATGAGTATAGATACGTGATGAAATTTAGGAATACTACACGCTCTAACCTTTTTCCACCGAATTTTCACTTTTTTCACGAAAGTTCAGAAACTGCAGCAGATAAATGTCGAATGTTAGGCGTACCGGTTCAATCCAGAAGGCAATCACAGTGGCCGGCTGTTCAGCAATTGGCAGCGTTTGCTCACCAATCGGGATTTGCAGCTGCATCTCTAACCACTTTTTCTGACTGCCTTTCGTTGTCGACAGAACCACATTACGCATATTCATCATTGTGTGATGGGTGTCCGTGTTTATGCTCCGTAACGATAGGAGCCCGGAATAATGTGTGTTATACTTGCGGTAGTTTAGTTTCAGCTTCGATGCCAGCGTCTGCAGTTTGATTACATCAGAGGAGATTGTGGCTTGCGCCACCAACTTTGCCAATGCAGTCAGCTCTGCACTATTATAGCCGAGGATGAGTGGAATCAGGCGCGTGACCAGAATGAGCTCGCGCTTGGAGAACTCTATGTTTAGAATTTCGGACTGTATCTCGGCGATTTCCAGCGCCGTCTCATTTGGTGTCCACAGGTGTGGCAGCAACAACTTGTAGAAGTTAACTTGCATGCGCGGTATATTCAGCAACTTTGCCTTGCCCCTTTCAGGCGTGGTGTTTTGCACCAGGAATGTTAGATTTTTTACATTGAACTTGAAGTAGTTGTAGCACGTGTCGATTAACTCACGCGGTCTGTCCTGAACCTGTAGAACCATTTGCACCAGTCGCTGTGCATTCACTGGACCGCACAGAGTCCCCTCGGCGAGGGGCAACTTCAACTGAAGATAGGGGAGCAGTGACTGCTTGATTGTAGTCGAGAGGCGATATTGATTCACTCCAGTCGTGTCATCCATCTGTAGGCGCGGATAGAACTGCACGGTCATGTTGCGGAGCTCGAATCGGTAGTTGCAGGTCGGTAGGTAGCTCTTCAATTTTTCCATGTCCGCATACGTTAGTGGATTTGATAGCATTTGCTGTGAATGGTCTGTCTCCGCCTTTTCCTGATCGCTTACGTTTTCTGCATGATATCCTGGGTAATCGTAAGGTCGTAATAAATCGCTAATGACATTTTTAACCTGAAGGAACGACTGTGAGAAATGAAAGGTGATGCCAGCAGATAGCAAGCGATACTGGGCTCGCAAGCCGAAGTCTTTCAGTTGCCCAATCGCCGAGCTGGATTGTTTGTTTGTTGAAGCCACACGATATTCGACAATGTCAAAGGCGAGCACAGGACTGCGAAATAGCATATATTCATCTGTATGGCGGGCAAAGTAATCATCGTAGTTCGTGGTACACCATGTGTTATCCGAAAATTTGTAGTTTTCATCAAAGAGACTTTTGTCGATAAAGGAGCGGTCATTTTGGAACTACAAAGACAATCAAAAGTAAGCAAATAACGAGTAGAACATTAAATTTGTGTGACCCCCGACCCTTTCCCAACGTCATACAAATTAAATGAACTTCATTTTACCAATCATTTCAACGAAACTTCATCTGCATACGGATATCTGTGGCGTTCTTTTTTGTTATAATTTAAATGTGTTAAATGTTCATACGGACGGACGGATAGACGGATATATATATCTACTATATGTATATCGATTCTGACTTTATAATATATTATTTTAAACCGTCCTGATTCAGGGTACACAAAAAAGCAAAGAGTAATATAATATGTGTTTTGGTTTAGGCTTTTCAGCGAAATTACCTATTTGTTTTTTCAGATCAAAGTATAAAAGTAAGGCCAGTCACTTACCTCTGCCGTGTTGACCAACGTCCGGTCCTTGGGATCCTCACTACGATACACGCCCAGAGGTTCCATGCAAACACTCGACAGGCCCGCCTTCACATTGGTCCAATCCGTTTCTTTGAGCTGAGAGCGCTCGTAGTAGATACCACCAAGACTTATTCGCAATATGGGCGTATAGCGTATGCGCTTAATGCCGCCCATGGTCTGGTCGGTAACGTATTCAGAGTTTTTCAGCTGAAAATTAAGCTCTTCTGCATAGATGCCAATGTCAAATGCGTGACCAAACTGCTCCTGCGTGCTAGGAAGTGGCGGAGGTGCCTCGAAACTTGGCAGTAGATTCCACGCCCAACTAAACATGTTGCCTTGTCTTTGAGCTTCTTCTTGGGGCACTTCTTCCACGGCCGGCTCGTTTCTTTCATCGAAACTTATCGTGTCGTCTTCCATATCGGCCGGCTTCAGTTCCAACAACATTTTTATCAGGCGCACGACCATTGGGAATTGAAGCGACGACACATTAAAGTCCAATGACTTTGTGAATACTCCAATTCGCGTGGTGCTTGATGTATTCATAGTGGTGGTGTTATATTTGCGTAATACGCGGCACTGCAGGGTACATCGATAAAGCACCGGCTCCTGGCACACCTCAATACGACCAGCCGTATTTCGTCTGTCCAGACATATGGTCAAGTCCGATATTTCTAAGATCTTGCGGATAAATACATTTAGGGGGTTTACATCCACCATGGCCGCATTCCAGTTTTCGTCAGCGGAATTAAAGCTAAGGCATTGCACATTCATTGAAACCACAATGTCGTCCTCTACATACTTCAGTATGATGTTATTGCACTGTAGCGTTATGTTGTTAATTATCTTGTTAACCACGCCCGACCCAGTACCGCCAGCCTGCTGCTCTTCGGGAAGCTCGGACAGTCGCTTGGATCGGCGCCGTCGCTCACGCATGTTCATTGCACGCCGTTCCTTTCGATCCTCGTCGGGTAGCTTAGCCACAAACTCAATTGTGTTAATTACAATGCTCACGGGCTCGGACATCAACTTAGTCCATGGTACCAGTATGCTCAGCTCGTGTATGTGGCCCGACACTAGTTCAACGGGAAGATTTAGTTCCTCCTCAAGAACGTCGAGCCGCATGTCCAGATTCTGGAAGGTCACCTCGCCCTCCCACAGCGACACCTGCGCATCCTCATCGCGAATATTTTTCACATATTTCGCCACGTAATTCAGTAGAATTGGCGTAATGTAGGACTCGAGCTTGAACATTGTGCAGATTTACGGGGGTGCATTCAACGCACACACGCAAACGTCAAAGGGCTTCGTAGTCAATTGGCTGTCTTCGTGTCTAATTTAATGCACATTCTGTTAATTTTGTTTTAATTGTATGCCGAAAAACAAATTTGCTACGACGAATTGTAATCTGTATGTTCTGTTTTCTGTTGTTTACTTTTTGCCCCGGCTCGCAGTGTTCAAAAACGAGCAATTATGTGCTGCAGTTTCTTTGAGAACCTCTACACCAGTCGCAACTAATGATATTCCCATTGTGCAAAGTTTGGGAAATACTGGCAATAAGTAACCGCAAATAACTTTAAAAATGAAAATTATTGTTTTATTGCGAGTATGTTTCTGTTCCACTCAACAGAAAACGTTCTTAGAAAAAACCTATATCGTAATTGATTGAAAATGGTTGTAAAGAGTAATATTCATGTTAATTTGCAAGTAACCCCAACGACTATATACATATATCCAAAAATGTATACATAGATATTTTCATGGTTTACATGTATGGCTTTAGATTTCTAGTGAAATAATCTAAATACAGACCCCTTTTGCTTTTCTTTCTGGCCAACGAAAGTAACTGTCAGTGTAGAGTGCGAAAGCCGCAAGGGCCAAAACAGCTGTTGCAATCATTTGTTGACGACGCGTGCAAAACAGACTTAGTTTAGGAAACTTTCTTAAAATGCCGGAGATTGTAGAAAAGGGCGAGGAATTCGGTAAATAACAAACCATGAGTGATGCAAAGCGTAAGCCAAATAATTTCCATTTGCAGACGTGGTCACGTATTTCCTCCAGTTGCTTGATAATGACAAAGACATGTCATCGGGAATAGCGGCCATTAAAACGCTGTTGATGATCCTGGAGAAGAAGCAGTGTACGTTGGAAAATTATTACAGCTTCTTAAAATAATTGCTCCACCGAAATTTTATTTGCAGTTGGCACCATACATATACTGCACACCACAATGCGGGAGGCGGTGGCAGCCATGCGCAATACTGATCTGTCCATAGCGGCGATTGTCTCCGCCGGTGAGCTCTTCTGCCGCTTCATTACGCTTAGTCTGGACGACAAGCATATGGAGGAGTGCCGACAAATAATGTTGCACCGTGGAAAAATCTTCCTTACCAAGCTGAATAATTCGCGACAAGTGATTGCCCAGCAAGCACAGCGTTTTATATGTGACGGAGGCCGCATTCTCACACATTCACGTTCCCGCGTGGTGCTTAAAGCGTTGATAACAGCGTCGAAAAATAAAAAATCGTTCCATGTCTATGTGACGCAAGGCGGCACCGAAAACTCTGGGTAGGTAGCCAGTTATATTCCAACATAAAATATATGATAAAACTTGTATTGGATTACAGGGACGAAATGATTAAGGATTTAAAAGCTGCCGGAATTGAATGCACTTTAATACTGGACTCTGCCACGGGATATGTTATGGAATCAGTGGATTTTGTTATGGTGGGCGCGGAGGCTGTTGTTGAGAGTGGTGGCATCATCAACCGTATTGGCTCGTACACAATGGGATTGTGCGCACGCGAGATGAAGAAACCTTTTTATGTGCTTGCTGAGAGTTTTAAATTCTCCCGTCTGTATCCTTTGAATCAACGAGATCTGCCAAATGAATACAAGGTATGGATTTAATATATAAACTTTTCTACATGGGTTTCTCCAAATGTACTTATGATTTCAGTACTCGCGTAAACACCTAAATGATGTCGCGAAAGTTCATCCCCTGGTCGACTACACACCGCCCGCCTATATCACTTTGTTGTTTACCGATCTGGGCATCCTGACGCCTTCGGCTGTGAGCGATGAATTAATCAAACTTTATATGTAACTGGCAATAAAAACACAGGAAATGCAATTGCACTCTCTTTTAAATAAGAAATTTAGCAAATTATTTCGAACTTAAATTTATATATGCATACTCAATGCTGGGAATACACTACACAAATTCTAAACTATATTCTTGTGATTTGTAACTATAAATTTATATTTTACGCTTAGGCGTTTGTGTCGTTTGACCAGTAACAATCGAGTTCCTCATCTACGTCATATTCTGAGCCCATATCATCGTAGACATCTAAACTATAACGCGAGGCGTCGCTGCTGTTGCCCTCATCATTTGTATACTCCTCTAGATCATCGGAATAAATGTCGCTCTCCTCATCGACATCATGAAGGTGGTGTTCGGCTAATCGTTCTTCAAAGACCTCGTCCTCCAAATCACTAGCATTCTGAAGATCAAAATAATATTAAATGTTTATTTGCCCAGTTGCACTTTCATACACTTACCACTTGTCCTGATTGTATGTTAATTTCGATCTGAAGTCGTATGTCCATAACCAAGAAAGCTGTGGTCACCAACACAGGAATTGTTAGACGGCTCTTCCAGGCCAAGTCGGTAAGAAACAAAAACACATTCCCAAAAGCTGAATTCATGGTAACTTATTGTGATGCTTTCTCCTCTTCAATTTGATCTTCGAGTGCGTCGTGCTGAATAATATGGAGCTTTTCGCCGGCAGTCACTGCCTGCACGGGTAACAAATGGCGCTGTAATCGTCCACTCTCTATGGGTACGTCAAGCTCAAGGAGCTGCTCGAGCGTTGTTGCGGGAACACCGTTAGAGCCGAGCAGCGATCGCATGCAATCCTGTCGCTTTTCCTGCAATGAGTCCAACAATTTGGCTCCTTTCTGCACCTTAGCCAGTTTTCGTTCTGAAATGGAAGCAATCTCAAGTCAATTCGGCAGTCTTACTCCCTATGACACTTTGACCTCACCTAGCAGTTGCAAGTAATTGGCCGAGTCAGGAAGATGCTGTAGTGGGCAAGTTGCATTACTTTCTTCGTCGTTGTTATTGTCCACTGGTGAATGCGTCACAGGTCTACTGGGTGGTGCGAAATTATCCTCGAAATTGTTGCAGGCGTTAGGTACTGCTTCTGGACCACTTTTGACAACTTCACTATGTTGATCTTCAATTTTAGTATTAATCATCTGCCAAGGATCGGCATTGCAAACTGACATTTTTTTCGAAACTCTTGATGAAATTGTATAGTATTCAGCAGGGTATCGTTGATAATATTGCGATGCTGGTAGTCAAAGTGCTACCAAAATAAAAGAAACATTTGTTATTTTCATCTATTTACCAGAAAAGCTGCCACCCGTTAGTAATTGTAATAGCGTTGCCACATCTACAACTCAAACAATAATCCTTAAATAGCCATAGCGCGTTACTATCCATACCGTGGCAAGATTGCAGGTTGTAAAATAAGTGTCGCGCCAAACCAGAAGTCTTCCGTTTCTATTAACGCTAACAAATGAGGGTCACAGTGATAGAGACACGCCTACAATTTTTTCCAATCCGCAATATTTATTGTATATACATATGTATGTAGAAGTTTGTTTTCGCTATTTTAAATAGTTTCGGGTATTCCATTTCCAGGTGTAAGATTTATTATTTAGCTAATCTTCTTCCAATGCAATATTAGTGACTCCTACTTCTTGAGCCATTGGACCGGCATTGGCGGTTCTGGGTTCTGGTAATGTCGTCTTTCTTTTACTTTGAGGGGGTGGCACAGGTGCCAAGTCTACTGACTTACTGGTACCTGACAATAATAATGTTTTGTTTTTATTTATAATATATATAATAACGCTGAAATGATAAGACCAAATAGAAAATACTTACTGCAACAACCACCCATTTTTATATGAATTTATTTCTGCAGCCGATACGTCCACTACCATACAGCTGAAACTTCTTTTGGTACTAAATCACTGATGGTCACCAATCGGTAGTGGTGTACATGGCTTTGTGGTATCTAGCGTTGACTGGAAACGATTCATGGCTCACTGATAAGATTTTTTGTTTAAAATGTAAAGTGGGTTATTTGCGGTAAGGGTATAGTATGGCACCTATCAACTGCGTTTACTTCATTGGCTGTAGGCATAAAATTGGCCGTAGCAGTTGGTTTTTAGCGAATACACTCAGTCGGCAGTAAGGTGACTAATATACATACATACGAATATATTCCAAAGATAAGCTCTTATCAAGTGAGCTCTCGTTGCCATTAAAAATTCCATTATAAAAAGCGTAACGTTAATAGCATAAAACTTTATTAAAGAGGGGTGTTCAACGCCAATGAAATGAATTAATAGGCAATTTCTTCATTCATTATAAACTGACAGGTTTTTCAGAATATTGTAAGGAGGTTATCGCAATTAAGAATTTGTTTGGACGAGTTGTTGGCAAATGTGAGGTTTGATTATGTTTATGGATGTAAAACCAGGAGTTGAAGTTGCTCGTTCTAGCCTGTTAGCAATGATACTAAAAAAATGTAAAAAAATGAAACCAACAAATTTACAGTGAAAACTCCCTTAACGAACACCTCTTTTATCCGGACACTCTATTAGGCGGACACTTTTTCGGTGATTTAAGTATTTAAGTACCCCTTAAGCGGACACTCTCCTTGGGTGGACAAAAATTGGCCGACCGTGAGTGTCCGGCCAAGAGAGTTTACACTGTATAATACATGTGAGGATTTAGTCCAGTTATAGCAAACCGATTTCAAATCAAGCGCCATAACATTTATTGTCTGTCAAACGTCGCTTTACAGCACTACATTGAAATCAGCTGTGTTTGTTGTGCGCATGCTTCGATATTCCTTCCTGCTCGCTCTCTTTATCTCTCTCTTCCTCTCACACACACTCACACATTTGCCGGAACGTAAACATCTCTCGCAGTCAACGAAACATTCACGCTTTTCTTGTAAAAATGTTTTATAATTGTAGTAAAAAGTGTTAATCAAAGCCAAAATCTATAGCCGCATTTCAATGCGGACGTAGTCAATGATTTGATTTAGGCGTTGACGGTTCGCTGGTATCGTGCGCGCATGAATTACAATTAATCTAAAGACAGCCAGCCAAGCAGCGTCAGCATCAAGCTAAATATTCCTACTAACAAATAAGTATGTAGGTTTTGTGTTGGTGTCAGCAGCAACGGCAGTGCTCGCGAGAGTTCTTTTGCATATTTTTCGTGTTTATGTTCTACCTGACATTCTATGGCAGTTGTGAATGTCAGCCACAAAGTGTAACAGACAAGAAATCAGGTTGTAAAGCGAATAAACAAGAATCATTAATACGGCCATAAAAAACACAGACTTGCCGAGGAATTATCTGAATTTTGACATTTTAAAGGCATAACTATATACATAAGTTGGTTCACGTCCTACGCACAAAATAAACTGCACCACCGCGTGGCCAACAATAACAGCAACAGTGTTGCCTGGCGGCGCCGCAAATTGCTAACAAACCCTTGGAGGGGGAAAACAAGAGCAGGAAGACAGCGCCATGGACGACGAGTTCAAACTCTGCTGGAAGAACTTCCAGGACAATATAGCGAGTGGATTTCAAAATCTGTACGATCGTGGCGACCTGGTCGATGTGACACTGGCGTGCGACGGCAAATTACTGCATGCACACAAAATTGTCTTGGCCATTTGCAGCCCGTACTTTCAAGAGATATTCACAACAAATCCCTGCCAGCATCCTATAAGTAAGTAGACTATCGTACTACATTCATGTACATATGTATGTATTTATATGTATCTAGTATATATAAGAACTTGTAGAGAAATTGCTTTTCGTTGTTTGCTCATTTCGTTCACACCCAGGAAAAAGGCGGCACCTGGCTAGTCGTTGATTGTATTGGATTGCTATAGCAGCTTCAAAGTTTAGACGCCAAGTTCATTTGGCATGTGCACGATATTTATGCAAAATTATTCGGCATGCACATATGTACATGCACTATGTACATATGCACATACAGGTATAGGCACATATAAAGACACTATTTCTGAATGTCTTAAATTAGAGCTACTTTATATTACTATCCTGGAGAACCATATCTTGCTGCCAGGCACATCTAGCTTGGTAATTTATCATGTTTCTCCTCTATCTAAACACTTACCATGCGTCAATTTGTCTACGCATACACGGGCTGTCATATGTCTGGAAACATACATATAGTTTGACCGTATTTCTATTATCGATGGAAGCTACAAAGTGATTCTTCAGGCCAGTATACTGCCACGTGCAGGCCAAGCTGTCTGTCATTTAGTTTGATTTCCACTTATGGGGCTTGCAGCCAATGCACATTTATCACAGTGATCTCATTAAAAGTAACACATTGCCTTTAACAATAACCATTGACTTTACTGGAGAATAAGCAATCCATACCATTTATTTGTTTCAAGACTTTGCAAGATATGCTTTATCATGTTCTGTTTTGCGTTTCCAAAATTTTCGGTACGGAATCCATCGGTACACAATTATCTGCTAAGCAGTAGGACAAGTTTGAAAATAATTTTTAGTAACTGAGAAGAAAACGAAAGAAGCTTAAGGTTCTTTTAAGAAGTATGCATGTTTATTGTAGTACTCACTGTTGAACCATTCGAAAGCATCCAATTCAAATCAAATACATTTGAGAATTTAATTCAAGAAATTGAACAGCGATTTTATATTTTATTATACATATATTATTACTAGTTTGGTGCGAATGTATGTAACACATTGAAGGACGTGTCCCAGATCTCCCCAAAGTATACATATATAGTATACTATATTCCGTCCGTTTTCCACTTGTTTTAAGTTTGAAATCATTTTATTTTATCAGTATTTAAAGGGATATTTTCGGTCATGATTTAATTTGAAAAAGGTGATTTGGAGTGCTCACTGTAGAGCCGTTACAGAAGCTTAAAATTAAATCATAACATCTGCATATGCGGCGCCTGCCGCCACCCTGTCTCTAGCAGCAACTCCCTTTCTTTTGCCATAGCATGAATATTTACACACAACACGCACCGTTGATAAGAGTTGTCATCATAGACTTGGGTTTCGACTCCACTTCCACTTCAGGTTGGGTGCGTTGCTGACCTCATCAAATGTACTTCAAACGGCCAACCTACATATCGAATACAGACACAAACAATCGTGCTTACAATCATACACTCGTATGCATGTCGAGTACATGGACTCTGAAATTGTGTATGGATATGATATCGCCTAGCTGAATAACTGACTAGTTGACTGCCTGCCCCGAACCGTGTCTGCCCGCTCTGCACGGTGGCTTTATCAGATCAAGTCGCAATAAAAATAATATTTTATCTTTCAAGTAGCAGCTGAATGTTGCTACCTAACCAGCCAACGATCCAACCAACTACCCAGCCATTCTGCCAGGCTATAACCAATAACCACAGCAACAGCAGCACCAGCAGCAATGAAACACAACCATAAGCGTATATTCAAAAGATAAAGAATATTAATATACCCTATAAATAACGACAAGGGGGAACATTATTAAAAATAAACTAAGTCATAACACAACAGCAACAGCAAAATCAACTCCAACAACAATATTGGTCACACAACCCAAATTGTTGCTCACGTCTTGTTATTGTTGCTTCTGTACGGCGAGCGCGTGTTACACCGAATAATAACAATGAAAACACAGAGCAACAACAAATAGTCGAACATTTTATCTTTTTATCGCGTTTAACAATCATTTATTGCCCAACTTCAGGCGCAGTCGGGCGGGCGGTCCAACGCACTTCTTTCTGCACACAGCACTCCAAAAATTTTCGAGATATTGATTAGGCAGCGACATGTTTGTACCACTATATCTATGTGTTTATTGATTGTAGTACTGTCGCCGATATTTGGTGGTGGGCAGCCACCTGTGATATCTACGCCATTTTGAGAATTCCGGGACACTATCGAGAGCTTAACCTAATCCTCATATATATTATCTAATTGTAGTTGCTGACCAGTTGAGTTTTATGATTGGCATACAACGAGCGTCACGGCTGAAGTGTTTATCAGCATTATGTGTTTAGTGGCCACACTTTACTTTGGGTATTCTGTTATTAATCGTAAAATAAGATTTTGAACTTTGCTAGATAACAGACGGCCATTGAGCGATACTGCCACTTAACACCAATAGAACACAATTGTTTGGCTAATACAGGCTACAGCCATTTTTATGTGTCTATGTATGTATGTCCCAAAACTTAGAGCCATCGAGTGGTGCACGGTAAGCAGTTGCTCCTCAACTTGCTGATATTCAGCCGCCATAAAATGTTTTATGAACGTTATGTTATATCGACCAGTGGACTAGTCGTAAATATCAAATATAATGCTATGTTATATTGCTGCCAAGTGGCAAGGGCGTATCAGTATTTCTTCCAGAAGAAAGGGGTCTTTAGTTTAGGGCCAAGTATTTTCCTAATCAGCGTGTCACAACGAAGTAGACAAGTCCGTTCATCCATCTGGATGGACGACTTGACCAACCACAAACCCCCATTCCCCCGCTTTTAAATTTCGATGTACACTTCTTTGAATTCCATCTAATTTGTTTAATTCTGAAAAGAAAATATATGTTATGTAATGTTGAGAATAGAATTTTAATTAAAATTATATGATCCGTTCTTCTTATTTGTCTTTCTTGTCTGCTGTAAATATGGTTGCAAAAGATTTAAGTTCCTTGATAGCTTACATCTTTATAGATGACACCTTTACATGGTTGTTGATCTTTCCATTAAAGTGCTTCCTCTGTAATAAATTGAAAATGTTCATAATACACATTGTTCTTAATCGAAAGCAAATATACACTAGAGTTTAGAAAAGCTTTAAATTATATTGGTAGTTTTCTTAGGTGTTTCTTACCCATTCTACGCCGCCTCTGCTTTCAAGTAGCATTATTGACTGCTCATAATAACTCTTACGTAGCGGAAGCGGAGTTTATAAACCCTATCGTATAATATCAGACTTTGGCATATGACTTTAGGGCATTTGAACATTTTAAAGTTTTATTACACGTACTTTTTGTTTCGGACATATAATTTATTGGCCAAACAGCAGTAGCAAATGGATTTACACGTACTTATCTGACCAATTTAATCCACTCTGATATAGTCTTATAGAGCGCCGGCAATAAAACTCACCGAGCATATCGAATGAGACATGTTCATACCAAGCAAAAAGCTAAGTGCCCTGTTCCTTTCTGATCGGTTGTTGGGTGGGCCGTCTTTGGTTTGGCATTTTTTTTAAATTTATCAGGTTATACATGGTTATAACCAACACAACTACTTACTACTCGACTATAGCGTCGTTTACAGATAACAACGACTTGTCGAAATGCGACGGCCACTTCATACCAGCGTTAGACGACGACGACGACAGCTATGACAAAACAGAAACCTATTGGCGCTCTGATTCGATAAACATTTATCATAATCATAAAATAAAAAAGTGGGTTCGAAAGCAATTGACTGCAATTCTATTGGTGGAAACCTTTAGAGTAGGCGTGTTCTTCTGCGCCAACATGGTAGAGGGGCGTGAACTAAACTACCAGGTAGCACTCGTATTAAAGGTATCTACACAATTCCCAAAAGTTTGGCTTTGCTTATTTGTGGCCAAATTTGTGTCTGCAAGCTAAGCTCAAATGCTGTCGAAATGTGAAGCATTACCTCACACCACAAATGCCCCATTTTCGCAGAGATCTTCGGATCTACAGCTTTGGTATCAGTGCAGTTCACCGCCGGGGTCAGGCCTATTAAAAGCGAACAGAGAAATGTCCGAGGCATGTTTTAAGCAAACAACCAACCAGTCTGTAGATCATCGATGCTTAAGCGCTGGTTCGTGATATGCCCGAGCCGCACACTTTGCTTGTATGAGCTGCTATGGTTATCAACGTCCCTCCGTGGATTTATCACATTTTCAATGAACTGTAGTCAAAGTTTATCTACAGCTTCTCACACTCGCACACACATCGCGCCCGTTTTATTGATTTGGTTTTGGGCGTTCTGTGGATCTCTTTGTTGTTCTTCTTGGGCTACTATCGCATTGTCTGGGTCTATCCACTGGGACCATCAAATATGTGCGCCTTATTTGATTTTTATTATTGTGCTTGTATCTGTTTGAATACAAATACTGTTGCTAAATAAACTTGAGCTTGTGCTGTATAAATATTGTGCACATTTTAATATTTATCGCTGATTGGAGGCACTTGTAAACATCCCTTAATACTCGCATATAGACTGTGGACTATATAATCTATCTGCCATGAGACAGCTAGACACGTTCATCACATTGTATAGATCTATCTAGTAACGCCATATTTGTATACCTACATAACTATATATAGGAGGAGATGTCGAGATCGTGAGGGTTATATAGTTGTCTGTGTAGTGTCCGTATTTTGATCTTCGAGCGCGTGTTAAGCTCAACGCCTAACACGAACACAGACATATCGACACCCTGATCGACAACAGCGACGACAACGTCGGAGAACACGTCGTCCCGTACAGTCAGATTAAGCAACGGACAATCGGTCGGCCGTCAGTTGAGATTTCATATAGAAATTGTTATTGAGAACAAGAGATAATATTGTTTTTAACTAGATGTTGATGCTGTGTATTTGTTTGCACATTGATACGGCACTGTGGGTCGACTCTTTGGGCTTAACCTTTCACAAGTGTCCTATATTCTGTAAGGAATAGCAGAATATATCATTGCAGAATATATCATTGAATTTTAATAGTTTGAGCTTTGTGGTACATTTTTAATACATCAAGAAAGGTACATTTGAAATCCCGATATAACAGATTGCATTAAAAGCTTATTTTCTGTTCTCCAAGTAATTATCATTATCAAAATACGGTGTATCACACTTTTTATGTGAAAAGTTCTGATGCATAAATTTCTGTGGGTTTTATTTCAAAGAATGATTGGTTTTGGCTTTCTTGGCTATTGATCCATTTAAGCCTAGGTTGGTGACCTCACACCACTGTGCACAGCATCCGGGGCGGTACGGTCGTTATGGTCGGTACATTGGCCGTCATCGGCCGTCGCGTCGAACGGCAGCATCGATGATATGATGACATGCTACTTATTTTATAATTATTGCTGCTCTGTCTGTTGTCGAGTTATATTTAAGTTTTCAGATTTCTTATCATAGCTGTTTTTATGTATTGATTTAGTATTTCAACGCTTCGATGATAACATCTCCACTATGAATGTGACCTCCTTTCGTGTTTCGTTGTTGCTGTTGTTGTGTAGAACGATGATAATTATAATATTTTCGCTGTACAGAATAAAAAGATAGAAAAATCTTTATACTATATATAGGCGCCAATAATAAATAAAATAAATAAAAAAAACTTTGGGGAAATAACGAAACCTTTACACTTTGTAGATATACTATATGTACAAGTATATTCAAAAGATTAAGAGCGCTTGCATAAGAAATACTTAACTTTGCTCCCTAATGTAATTAAATCAATCACGTGTATATTATAACTTGGATGTTCAACTTTAATGTAAAATTTTTTAAGCAAAAACAACACATCCTCATTGATACATTTTTTGCTGACAACGTTCAAGTATTTGGAAAAATTATATATGGCCTTTCCTAAATTTGCTCTAGTAGCTCTCCCGAATTATTTTATTTGAGTCCTACATTAACCATATGACAACATCTTGCCAATTGGGATCGGAGAGCATCTGCGGTTGATATTGAAAGTAAATATTTTCTGCAGAGGGTTTCTAAATTAGAAAGCAAAGAAAACTAATCCATATCCTTCATGCAAAGATAAGGTGAACTATCGAATAAAAAACTACTTCAGTTTAATATATTATATTTATTGATAATTTAGTCCAGAATGATTACTGATTACTATTGTCTACAAAAATGATGAAAACATCACCTTCATCATCTGTACTTAAAAATAATGTATTTAACATCACAATAGTATGTACTTGTTACGATAGGTTATCGATGTTGATTGATGTGATTGATTTCCCACTCCCTTTGTATTTCCAAACTAGATTCTTTTTAGATTATATTGTTGCTGCTCTGATCCTGTTAATAGACATCCAAGCCTTAATTAATCAATCAGCTTACATAGAAATGCTCCTAATCTGCCATCCTTACTGGAATAATCTGTGTACTTATTGTTAATCACAACTCATTTCTCTTTCAATTGCAGTCATACTCAAAGATGTCAGTTACAACATCATGTGCGAGCTGCTGGAGTTCATGTACCAGGGTGTGGTGAATGTGAAGCACACGGAGCTGCAGTCTTTCATGAAAATTGGCCAACTGCTTCAGATCAAGGGTCTGGCCACCAACTCAACCTCCTCGCCCGGTTCCAGTTCGTCCGAGAAGTCAACTAGTCAAGCGCATGGTGCCGGGGATGATGAGCCGCATCTGAACAGCAGCAGCCACAACAACAACAACAACAGCACTAGCAGCAGCAACAACAATAATAGCGGAGTCGTGAGCAAAACAGAGTCGGACCACAACGAGCCGCAGACCAGCAGCAAGGCTGGCCCGCCCAGTAATTTGCGCAGCTCAACCGCCTCGCCTGGGGCGGGGGTGGGCGGCAACTACAGTAAGGGCGCCAGCGATCATCAAATGTATACAGTGAGTAAGCGGCCAACGGAGTTTGGAAACGACTCACTGTCCATTTACCCGCGCAAACATCGGCGCCGATCGCTGTCAGATCATGCCGGCAGTGGCGGAGGCGCAGGTCCAGAGAGCAACGAAAATACCGATGCCGCCATGGATGCACTCAACAGTGAGGAGTTCTTTCTGCCGCCCATACCACACATATCGATGGTGGAGTCGCGATACGATATTGGCGGTCTAAAACGCGAGAGCGATCATCATGGCTCGAGCGCCTCTTCTTCCTCTGCTTCGTCCTCGGCTGCAGCGGCCGCTGTTGCTTCGCTGCGCAATTCTTTTCCGCCGGCCTTTAATTTGGACTACAACTTTTACAAACCCGGAAATACTGGCGGAGCGGGCGGTGGCAGCAACAATAACAACAACAATGGCAACGCAGGCGTCGGCATTGGCTCCAATCCGGGACAAGAATATCCCAATGAGCTCTACATGCCCAACGATTATTCCAAGAACTTTGGCAATCACATGGACATTCCGCCAAGTAGGTCTAACTCCAAAATATTCTCCTTGCATGCAGGTATCATTTGCATATATGTATATTTGTTTGTTTTTATGTTTGGCTGCTCATTCAGCTTGTTTTGTTGCATTTACCCAGACCATTTGTATATACTGGACATCTCCAAACCGGATAGAAAATATACATACGTAACTCGATTGTATTTTTATTCTCGAATTTTATCACGCCCGATTATTTTACCTCATCGCCAATTTGGTGAAGGTTTTAAATCGAATTTCATGATAATAACTTTGGCTATCTGCACCCACACTTCATGAGTTTTCCCGCAATTCACGATCACGCACGTGATCCTGCTTTCCAGCGGAGTAGATGCTTAAAAAATAGATCTGTCCCAAGCATGATAAGAGAAAACGTTTATTTTATTTACAAACGTAAGTCTTTGACGACAAAAACGAATGCTATAAATGTCTTAAGGATATTAAACAATGTAAGGAGATTTTCGGGAGTCGATTTTTCCACGAATTATCTTGGGTTCTGGGATTCTTTGGGAGTATATTAAGTTTGCGCAAAGTGACAAATGTAACAGGCAGGAGGAGGCGTGGCAGATTCCACAAAGTATATATGTATATTCTTGACCACCATGAGAAGACGAGTTGATTTAGCCATGTCTGCATCTGTCCGTATGAACACCTAGATCTCAGAGCTAGCTAGAGACACCAAATGTTGTACACAGATACCTTTTACATACATATAGTATGTATGTGTACGCAGTACGAGTTCATTTTTATTTTTTGATGCACAGTCTACTCCTCCGTTCCCAGTGATTTTCAATAGCTCCTGTCGTAAAAACATCTAAATCTTATAAAAGCTGAAGACACCACATTTTGCACACAGTTACCTAATAAGTATAAGAACATCTATTCGAACCGTGGTCTCTGGTTTGGATTAGGGTTGGGATCGAAGAAAGAGGTAATATTTTAGCTTTGTGTAAATATATTGTTTTTAGTTTAGTTCTTTCTAAAGATCTTAATTTAAAATATGAAATAAAATCGGTTTTCAGATAACCGCAGTATTTATTAGTGCTTGATAAATAATAATATATTTAGTTTTTTACTTTCTATATTATTAATTTATATAGGTATATAGTATTCACTGTAAAAAATCAAATCGAGTGAGTTATGTTTTGTCTATCCGGAACTGACATTAGATTTAGTTGATAACATAATTAAGACATTTTCATTAACACCTTCTGCACCCAGAGTTAGTAATAAGCAGGAAGAGAGTTACATAAATTATTTTAATAAAATAACTGACGAACTAAATTCCTTTAAATGTAATGTAAAGCCTACATACTTTGACTATGTACTTTAAATCAACTCTTTCCTGCTTATGTCTATAGAACTAAACTTAATGTAGTGGAGATGTGGGTAGAGGATTAGCTATGTGTTTTGCATTTTTTATTTTAGAATTCATTTGGTTGCCCGCTGCACTTCATCCTTTTAAAATCACATTAGCCAAGTGGCTACTAATCCTTTAATATACAGCCCGGCTCTATATACATATGTATGTATATATGGACCACCACTAATAATAATAGCCGTGCTTGAATTCCTGCACACTCGCTTTGATTTGCAGCTTTTCCCTTGTTTCTTGTAAATAACTTACCACCCAAGCAAAGATAAAAAGACACAACCCGTTACTGGCAACTAATGTTCCATCATTATATTTGATCCCGATCTATCATGGCTAACGATAACCGGATCAGACGGTAGCAACATGGTAATGCTGTCTACGACATCCCTGCTCCACGGCAACTGCGTTTTCAATCGGAACAACACCGTCGCCACGCAGCAGGGCATGAAGACCTACTGGTTGTGCAAGTCGTACCGGATTAGCATGTGCCGAGCGCGCTGCATTACCCACCTGGGGCGAATCATCTCTGCAACTGGAGTGCACAATCACACGCCTCATATGCGGGGCAACAGTGCCGCTGGCGTGACTGCCGGTGGTGGCGGCGGCAGCAACGCGTCTTCGACCGTCACACCCAATCCCAATCCGAATCAAACGGGTGCCTTAACCTATGGCGGAGCAACCGATGTCGGCATGAGCAATGCACACTTAGTTCCCTCGACCAGCGGGCCCAACGTGGATATGAATCATACGCCATCGTCGGGCAGCGGCTTGAGCGGAGCGTGCACACGACTTGTCCCGAGCGGCAATATGTTTGCCACGCAGACACCTCCACCGACAGCGCCGCCACCTCAGCCTAGCACGCAGGCGCCGCATCACTATCATGCCCATCATCACCACCACTCTCATTTGGCGCAATCGCTGCCCAATCTACTGGTGCAACAACACGGCGTTGACCTTATGTCCAGCCCCAATCAGATGCATCTGCCAATGCAGCATCAGCAACACCCACATCACCAACAGCAACAGCAGAGTCAACACTCGCCACATCCAGCCCACCATCCGCAGCAGCAACACCATATGGAACTGGGTGGCGGAAATCCTGCATTGCTGCCTGTGTCGCCGGTCTCGCATATGCAGCAGAGTCCACAGTCGAATCGCAGCAGTCACTCCCTGCACGGAGCGACGGAGTCGCCTGGTGTGGGCATGAAGAGCCCGCCACCGCTACCACCGCAATCGGGCTCACACATTGAGGGAGAGCAGCACGTGCTTGACCATAATGCTGATCTCTCGCCAGCCGACCTCAATTCAAATACTGCCGGATCGGCGGAGGCTGCGCCGCAGGCACAGGTTATAGACTCCATAACGATATCGCCGGGTAATGGCCATAATTTCAAAATCGAGAACATGTAAGGAGAACATTTAAGGCAGCTGAGGACGATATTCGTTTAGTTTGTAAGCCCGAATGGTTTTTATTTATTTTGGAGCCAGCGCCATCCTAGAGCCGGAAGCGGCGATATCGTGGCAGCCGTTTAGTTAGTACTTGTAGTTGAAATTTACGACTCTTTATGTACTGTGAGATGCATATTTGATAAACTAATTGAAACAAAACTGATACATATCTTTAATTATGGTAGCATACACTTACACACACTGACACCACACCCACAAATTCACACACACATTTTAGATATAAACGAATTGAAGTAACAAATGATGTAAGGATTGTTGATATCAATGTATTGTGATTTGAAAAATCGTCAAAAATATCAAATTATCAGCAATCCTGAATATTAAAATGGGCAGGTAAGTTATTGGGACTGCATGACAAATTATAAAATATAAATTAGGCTAGATCTTAAGTTCATTTGTGTGCGTCCTGGCATTATGAGCATAACCTCATCATCCACATCAGCATTCAAGCATAAAGCAACCAACGTGTAAACTCCTATTCAATGCTGTCCAAATCGATCGATGCTTACCATTCTGTACCCCTGTATATTGTATTGTAGTCGCACCTGGGGAGCACTGGTTCCAAGGCAAGCTGGAGTTTATGCTGAGCCAGCGCGGCAAGCCGCTACTCGTGCACGACGGTCACACATTTGGCATTCAGTACGTGCGCAAGGACAAAAAGTATTGGCAGTGCAATTTGTCGCGCAAATTCAACTGCAAGGCTCGGGTGACCACCACCGACACCGGCGAGATAATTGTTACCAACAACGAGCATTGCCACACTGAGATACGACAGCACCTCCGAAAGGACTATCAAAGGAACAAGGTTATGATGAATGCACTGCTTAATTTAAGTGCAAATCGATATGCGGACCTAAACTTGAGGCGTCATAGTCTTGTCAGTTTGGCCGGACTGGCGCCTCTCTCGGTAGTGCCGCCAGCATTGTCACAGGGGTCCCCCATTGAAGACGTCGTTCAGAATTTGCACGACTTTGCCAACAAAAGCAGTGGGCCGGATTCCAGTGGCACCGCCAATCAGCTGCAACAAGATCGTGTCATTTCCTCAATTAGACACGACCATGATGAACCATTGGATTGTGGGTTGCGTAGCTCAATGGCGCTGGAGGACGTTGCTCGCAATTTTATAGCAAACAAGATAGCAAACAATGAGAGTAACAACGACTTGACCAAGGAGGAGCAAGAGTGGAAGTCTAAAAACGATAGTCCCAATGTCCATTAAGTTTGCGCAGCGTTGCTAATTCGATTAAAATGGAGTGGGCAGCCCTGGTAGAAGCTCCACCTGGCGCCAATCTATTATGCCTGGCGGGTCCTAATACTGATTTAAACTTAACTTTCAGACAAGGGCAGGGGCCTTCAACTTCGAAAATGACAAATAAGTACAAAAAGAAAGCTTGGAATAATACTCAAACGACAACGGAAAAACCAAAAGAATTCCAAAGAATTTAGATATTAAATAAAACTTACATCCACACTTTTATTAGCGAATTTAAGCAAAACTGTTGAATCGTGAATTTTTATCGTTTTATATTGTACGTGTTATATTTACGCAGTAGTTGTTACAATTAAAGTTGAATTTTAATAAATTTTACATGTTTTGGGTAAATGAAATTTGTTTCTCAATGAATTCAAGCTCCTGCTCAAATATTTATCACACGACTGAGCTTCTGAATGCGATTGAGTAGCAGATCGCCCTGCTTTATGGTGGCCTGGTACTGCCAATTCTTGTTATCTGGTCGATTTGTCTCTACAATGCCGCCCACACGATCCACCTTTGCATGCAACCGACCTGCGGCAATGAAACGAGCCAACTCCTGGTCAATGTAGTCGACAGTGACGCCGAAAGACTCGGCCATGTACTGCAGCGTGAGAGATCTGTAAGATTCCAGCAGTTGTGTGTAGCCAAGAATGCGCATCTCCCGCACGTAGTAGCGATAGTGTGGATGTATTAGATAGTCCCTGCGCAGTTGCGTCTCCACCTCGGCCAAATGAACGTAGAATTGCTCGTATTGGCAGTTGTAGAGGGAGAAGAGGAATTGCTTTACGCTAGAGAGGCCATGTAAGACCTCCTGAATTTCGGCGCCCTTGATTACTTTATCGCGCAACTCGTTGCGCGGCAGAGCAATCATAGACACATAGACAGTATAACGCACAAATGTGGGATAGTCCATCAGTTCGTAGGAGGTGAAGGTGCTGACGGTGTCTAAAAAGAAGGTGGCCGCCGCCTTGAAATCACGGACAGCCACTGAATAGACGCCTTGGTAGACTTTCAAGCGATTACGGCGGTCCCAGTCGCCGCCCTCCTCGATTAGATATTTGGCCTTGTCGATGTTGCGTGTGATTAGATCGTGATCCAAGTAGAACAAGCCAAGACGAATAAGGTGAAACACAATGTCTAGACGATGACCAAGCGAAACAGTTTTCTCGTATGTCTTGCGAAATGCCGTCTCGGCCGCGACCTTGTCCCCAATGCGACATAAATACTCAGACTTCTTTAGGTTCGCCTCACGCACTTCCATTTCGCCCAAATTTTTTTCGGCATCCTCGATGGCGGCGTCCAGCTGTTCAATCTGAATGCGATTTTGTTCGCGCATACGCGCTAGTATGTCCTTATCCATAGTCCAGTTGAGTTCCGTGCAGATGTGCTCGTACCAAGGAGCCATGTTGTCCGCCTGAATGGCTTCGAGAAGCTTTGATTTTAAGGCCACATCTTGTTTATACTCGGAAAGAGTGAGCAGGAATTTGGTTTGGGCCAACTCCAAGTTTGGGTTCTTCTCTAAGCCTTGTTCTTCGAGGTTTTCAGTCGGCATTTTGTTTTCTTTTTCAAATAGCAATAAAATTGAACTTATTTACTGTCGCAAAATGAATTTTGTTTTTGCTCAAAGCCGCAGAGTCATGTACAAGTTAAAGTTGGCTGCGCTTGAAGCACTCTAGTGGTAGCTCTGTCTGTACGCTGATGATAGCGCTGCCACTTGCAACAGGGTGTATCGATATGTTCACGGGATCCCTGGCATGAAAAAGGGGAGTGCGATTGATTTTTTATTGGACGAAAATTGACAGTAGGCTCCAATTTTCTGTAAAAACTTGGGTGTTCGGAGCTTGCTGTGATTGTTGCAGATAGCTGATACTCACACGATAACGTCGCGAGAAGGAAGCGCACAAAATGATTGGCGGCTTATTCGTTTACAATCACAAGGGCGAGGTGCTTATCTCGCGAGTCTATCGTGATGATATTGGACGCAATGCAGTGGACGCCTTCAGGGTAAACGTCATCCATGCGCGCCAGCAGGTGCGCTCGCCAGTGACCAACATAGCGCGCACCAGCTTCTTCCACATTAAGGTACTTACTTATTGGCCTGCCACGTCAGCCGGAAGTTGTGATTAAATATGCCTTTTGGTGCTCTTTGCAGCGTGCCAATATTTGGCTGGCGGCGGTCACGAAGCAAAATGTCAATGCCGCCATGGTCTTTGAGTTCTTGTTAAAAATAATTGAGGTGATGCAGTCTTACTTTGGTAAGATATCCGAGGAAAATATCAAGAACAACTTTGTGCTTATCTATGAGCTGCTGGACGAGATTCTGGATTTCGGATATCCGCAAAACACGGACTCGGGCACGCTGAAAACGTTCATAACGCAGCAGGGCATTAAGTCGGCCACCAAGGAGGAGCAGATGCAGATAACGTCGCAGGTAACTGGACAGATCGGCTGGCGACGTGAGGGCATCAAATATCGACGCAACGAATTGTTCTTGGATGTGCTGGAGTATGTGAATCTGCTGATGAGTCCACAGGGCCAGGTGCTGTCAGCACATGTTGCCGGCAAGGTTGTTATGAAGTCGTACTTGTCAGGTAAGTACAATTCGTATTTATTCTTCTTAAATTACTTAATGGCGTCAACCTTGTAATAGGCATGCCCGAGTGCAAGTTTGGAATTAATGATAAAATCGTGATGGAGTCCAAGGGGCGCGGTTTGTCTGGAAATTCTGAAGCAGAAACCTCGAGGTCCGGTAAGCCAGTGGTTGTTATTGATGATTGCCAATTCCATCAGTGCGTTAAGTTGAGCAAATTCGAGACAGAGCACTCAATAAGCTTTATACCGCCCGATGGAGAATTCGAGCTAATGCGCTATCGCACCACAAAAGACATTTCGTTGCCATTCCGTGTTATACCCCTGGTACGTGAGGTCGGCCGCACCAAAATGGAGGTGAAAGTTGTGTTGAAATCTAACTTTAAGCCATCGCTGCTCGGTCAGAAGATTGAAGTGAAAATTCCGACTCCGCTGAACACATCGGGGGTCCAGTTGATTTGCCTGAAGGGCAAGGCAAAGTACAAGGCTAGCGAGAATGCTATTGTATGGAAAATTAAGCGCATGGCTGGTATGAAGGAGACTCAATTGTCGGCAGAAATCGAGTTGCTTGAGACGGACACGAAGAAGAAATGGACGCGTCCGCCCATTTCGATGAACTTTGAGGTGCCGTTCGCGCCATCCGGCTTTAAGGTGCGCTACCTGAAGGTGTTCGAGCCCAAGCTCAACTATTCCGATCATGATGTGGTGAAGTGGGTGCGCTATATAGGACGTAGCGGGCTCTACGAGACACGCTGCTAAGATATGGCGGCACATACAATCAAGCAATCGAGCAAGAGTATCACATGCCGGCAAAATATTAAGTGTTGAATTTAAAAGTGTAATCGCATCCTATTGGTATTTCCTCAATCAAATTGAACGATTCGTTGTTGTATTCCAAAATTAGTTCCAATCGATGCAGCGTAATTAGCCTGCACACAAACACGTACATATACATACATATTTACCTACGCCATGTGAATATTTAGAATGTGCAACAGACTTGCGCAGCCAGACATGCGGACTAGGCGGTGAGTCTACGCACAGCTACATATATACCATATATACATACACAAATACTATTATATACCAACTATTATTTACATCTTTTATATCATGTAGATTTTTTTTATTTTATTCCTTTGCGCTTTTTAGCAATGCTAATCTCACAGACTAAATTATTAATTGTATTATTTCTATAAATTAATATTACATGTTTCATTAATTGTTTTTGAAAACAATTTGTGGCTTGTATGGCGCAGAAATGGAAATGAACAAATTCAATTCAACTCGTGTGGTTCCACAAAAATCCACTCATGTATTTAGTAGACCAAATCCTGTCTGTCAACACTATTATATAATATTGATATTCAAGTGTTAATATGATAATATTCGAATTGTTTAATAAATAAAAATCAGCATACTTATATAATACACATACATATGTATGTATTTGAATACTATCTTTTGTTTATTTGTAACCATTTCACGAGCCTCAAACTTTTAACTATGGTATGACGAATCACATGCTAGTGACGAAGTTTTGCTCAAGTGGAGTTTGTCCGGGCCGAACCGGGCCATCGATCGGATCGTCCAAGATTAGTTGCTTCAGCTTCTCTAGTAAGCTATTGCGATCATTGAATTTTAATAGGCTTGCAGACGAAAAGTATTTGGAATGGTATGGGATCCTCCCATAACTATGAGAGAACTAAAAGAGCAAATGAGCTGAAGAATTGAACTATGTATATCGTTTTAAAAAGGGAACAAAACGACCGACCGAAATAAACGTATGATTAGTTTGTTCCGCGGATATGGAACTACGGAACTCTAACCGATTTAAAGAGACCTGAATGTGTTTCTTCAGACAGATCGAAAGAGAATTGAACGAATAAACCAAATTATGGGAAATTTGGTTCCTGTTGTCGTAAAGCGGTCAGCACTTTTTATTGATTACGACCCCCTTCTAACTTTGGTTTATGGTTCTATCGGAAAGTTTTTATTTGTCAGTATATGACGCTTACGTGCAATCATCTAATCACAGACTGGAGCATGGATTGCCCAGCTTATTGGTAGATAGAAAACGGCTGAAACTTTGTATTCGTCTTTCGCTGCTTTATTGATTTAGCAGTAAATTGTTTAGCAAACAATCCATATTGCCCCTATGACAGTTCTAAGTATTTTCTGTACGAGTATACATTCACAAGTGGGGGTACGTACGTGAGAGACAACCATAACCAAGCGCCCATATACGTACAATTTGTAGATAAACTTTCCAACGGCTGTGGTGGCGTTCAAAGTTCACTTGTGGCCTAAACTGATTCATAAAATTAGCCAAAGTAATGATGAAACACAGAAATAATAAACGGGTACATGTTTCTGTTTAAAAAATTGAAAAAATCGGATTCTCAATGTGTATCAAAATAGAAAACTTAATTTAAATAGTGGCAATCACCCGTGCATTATTAGTAAGATTTGGCCTTGAAATCAACTATGTACAATTGTCATATTCTAAATTGAAGTAATGTACGGAGATATAATATTCATTTGAATTTATCATGAGTTACACGGAATACAGCATGAACGATATTGTGCCCGATGTGGTGGACGTTGTACCGCCTGGCAAGCTGATGGCCATTTATGCGGAAGATATAACCGTTAAGCCTGGAAATAAGTTGACCCCCACTCAGGTGAAGGATCCGCCTCACATCAGCTGGATAGAGGACGATGATGGAACCTCACTGCATACACTGCTCATGGTAGATCCGGACGCGCCGTCGCCTGAAGATCCCAAGTTTCGCGAAGTCTTGCATTGGTTTGTAATCAACATACCAGGGCAGTTGGTGGAGGATGGCCAAATAGTGGCCGAGTATGTTGGCGCGGGACCTCCCAAAGAAACCGGGTTGCATCGCTACGTTTTCCTAGTTTTTAAGCAGAGTCGTGAGATCAAGGAAGAACTCTATATAGACAAATTGTAGGTTTTTCGGGAACCCAAATATTTATTAAAATTCTCATCTCATCACTCTCACCCTTGAAGCACGGGCAGTGGTCGCCTGAACTTTAATACGCGGGTCTATGCGAATCAATACGACTTGGGGTTTCCTATAGCCGGAAACTACTTCCTTGCTCAGTACGATGACTATGTTCCCATTCGTAATGCCCAATTCGTTGGCTAGCCATAATCTTGTTAATCATGCTATGTACAAGTATGTATATGCAGACTTTTTAACACTGATGCGTTCTATTAAAGCATTGCTATTCCAATCGACCGTTATCAGCGACGAGTCTTGCCATTATCGCTATCTACCTAAGTGGGTATTAGGCCAAAAGTGCACACACATGATTACACACACGAGTGACTTGCCGGTGTCGATAAATAGCGTACGTTGTGCGCTTGAGGCAGAAGTCGACGCGCTGACACCTAAGCAAACACAACATGGACACCAGCGGCATTATTCCCGACATTATTGATGTTAAGCCTGCGGCCAAGGCACAGGTTTCATATCCATCCGGCGTGCAGGTCGACTTGGGCAAGGAGCTGACGCCTACGCAGGTGAAAGATCAGCCCACAGTTACTTGGGATGCGGAGGCAGGTGCCCTATACACACTCTTAATGGTGGATCCCGATGCGCCCAGCCGTGCAGATCCTAAGTTCCGTGAGATTCTCCACTGGGCTGTTATCAACATACCAGGCAATAAAGTGGCCGATGGTCAAGTCCTAGCCGAATATATTGGCTCCGGTCCACCAGAGGGCTCTGGACTGCATCGCTATGTGTTTTTGGTGTTCAAGCAAAACGAAAAAATTACCACGGACAAATTCATTCCCAAGACGTGAGTACAATATTAAACAATTGGGTCGAAATTAAAATGATAATAAATTCCTTTATCTGGCTAGTCATAATTGCTTATCTAATTTATATTTATTATTACAGACAACGTGAAGGTCGCGTTAGTGTCAAGACCAGGGACTATGTGACCAAATACAAGTTTGGCGCCCCCGTGGCTGGCAACTTCTACCAGGCACAGTATGATGACTATGTTCCTATTCTCAGAGGGCAGATTCAATAATCAAGCACTACCAAAAAACGGTTTTACAGTAAAATAAATGCCATAAGGAAGACTATGTAGTTAAATTGCTATATATATCTTTATTCGATTCTAAAATATCACATGCTTTCTAATTGGATCTGAAGAATTCGGCCACCAGTTTGTTGAAATCCTCTGCATAACGTAAATGAATATTATGCTTACCTTCGGGAAATTCGTGGTATTTCGCCTGTGGTAGCTGTTTCCGCAACCAAGGCACATGCTCGGCTGCTATCATGGGATCCTTCTTGCCATGTAGAATGAAAATGGGTGCACGTAACTGTGTCACTTCCTGCTGACAAAAGTCGCCGTCACACAGCTTATAGATATCGCAAGCGGCATCCACCCATTCTCCCCAGAGCTGAGCGAATCGCTCGGGACCGTACACCTGCTCCATGGGAGCGCGCATGCGTGGTGACCATTTCTCTACATCGCGTATGTCGCGCAGCATCTTCACCTCTGCCTCGTTCAAATATGCACCAGCACCCCAAATCGCCAGCTTCTCGACAGCATCAGCGTTTCGACCGGCCATAATGAGCGCAGTTATACCGCCGTCGCTCCAACCAAGAATGGAGAATTTTGGCCTATTGAGTGTGCGCATCAGCTCAACGGCCGCTTGTGCGTCCTCGCGAAAGAAGTCAAGCCCAAATTTGCGCTTCGGTGGCACAGACTTTCCATAGCCCGGTGGGTCCCAAGCAATAATTGTGTGATCGGGCAGCAGTGCCGGCAGCTGTTCGATTTGTGGCTTGAAGTCCGTCCAGGCAGAGCCAAGTGCACCAGGCATGAGTAAAAGACTATGGGGTCCGTTGCCGCTTTCCACAATGTTTAAATCGATTCCATGCACCTCCACTTTACGTTCAGTGTGGGATGCGCGGCAGGCTTGGAATTGCAGTCGTCGGGCCAACCGACCAATTTTGGTGAGCAGTGGCGTCATTACGTAAGAACAATAGTTTATTCTTTCAAAGCTGCAGCTATGTGTACATATGTACATATATCCAAACGTTGACGGAGATCTTTGACAATCTGTTTGTTGTTTGCTGTTATCAATGCTTTGCTTGTAAGTGGCTGATGTCGACAGCCAGCTGATGTAAGCGAAAACGATAGCATATGTATGTCCATCGATGAAAGCAAAAGCTGCTGTCGATATTGGCTTTCAGAACATGTATCACCCTGTGGACATTTTATTAGGCGCGCGCGCAGCGAAGCTTTGAATGGCTTTGACACAACTTTTTCTTTTAAATCTGCAGCATATTTATGTGCTATTTGGGAATCGCAAAACACAAACGTGTAGTTATTTACATTTATGATTTAACGGTAAATCTAAAAATTATGCAATTTTTGTTAGCCTTCATTGAGATTTTGTGGCTTTCTCTAATGTCCTTTGCGTGCTTTGAGTGCGAAACGTAGTTGGCTATACAGCTACATGTGTTTAAATGGCCTTGCTGCGCTTGTCAGGGTACTTGTATATTTGTACAATGCATACACATTAGACGTTTTGTCATGGACGAAGTAACAGAAACGCAAACTTTTAGCGACATCCAATGCACATGCAAATCGAATTGAAATGACGCCGACTTGTCGAAGCTGTGTGTAGAGTTAGTAGTTACATTGTGCACAACAAATGTCAAGGCATTTACATGGGTCAGTCATGTGTGTGAGGGTTGCGCTTGTCTTGTCCCATCTAATACGGTTCGAGTGGAGCAGGTTATGAACCTGCGTGCTGCGCATATTACGCATATGTGTGAATGTTGGTATATGTGTGTTTGTGTGTGTAGCTGTAGTACGCATATGCATGCCTCGTGCAGAGGGAGCTTTTAATTTTTGGCATTTCTGTACTCTACACCTAAAAGAACTGGCCAATTTCGTAGCATACTTTTTTGGGCTCAATAGAAGAGGAAACTGTGGAAACGTTTGTTTGAGGAAGGAGTTGCTCTGCACATAACAAATCCACAATCATATTGTTGCACACACAATTGCTTGAAAATTAAAATTGTTTTATGGCTGCTAACGGATAAGAAGCGCGTTGGCAGAGTCGCCTAAGCCGCGTGCTCCCATTCCGTGAATAAGCTGTCGGAGCTTTTGTTATCCATTGGAACCACTGCGAAGAAATTAAGTTTCAAATTGCAGTTCAGTCTTGTCGTGGATGCAGCGCGGATCGATATTAAAACTTCGAGGAGCGGAAGTGCTGTGAAAAAATTTCGACACAAAATTTTTCTACTCCCTGCTTGAGAAAAAATCAAACTACTATTTCTTATACAGCGCTGCCTGGCTAACTAAAGCGTGTCCTTCATAATTCGATAAATAAATTCATCTATGGCAATATGCAATAAATGTTTAAAGATTAATTGGGTGATAAAAGTGCTTGAAAAGTTAACAAAATAGAAAAGGAATTGTGTAAGCCAAACGTACGAGACAAGTAGTCTAGCCAATAAAACAATAAATCAATTGAAATAATGATTAAACGTAAATAAAATTGAGCGCTAGATTCGTTTTGCCACCTGAGAAGAGATAAAATCAATTAAAGTAATCGTAAAATGTTATTCATGGCGCGTTTAAAATTCGCCTACGTACAGTGAAAATTTTTTCCGATTTTTAGTATGTACATGTACGTTGGAGCGCTCGTGGGCGCCACAGCAATAGCAGCAGCACCACCACCACCAGCAACAACAGCAGCAGCATCGGGTGGCAGGGGCGACTCACGAGCTTTTGCCCCCACCTTCATATCCACATCGCTAACGTTTGTGTGACACGTCAATGGCCACAGCTAGTTCAAGTGCCAACACAACCCCCAACAAGAAAAGCAGCAACAACACATTGTAATCAAGATGTGTGTGCATGTGAGAAATTTGCAGGTCAATATGCTAATTAAATGTACAAAATTTCAAAAACTCAAGTGCTATAATAATAACAATTGCAAATCAGGGCAAAATTAATAAAAAAAAAAGAAAAAGTGAAGCGATTTAACATCCGCAGCCAACTTCGCGTATGCGAGCTTTTGACGCAAGCTCTCTGACGCGCTCTCTCATGCTCACCACGACGAAAGCGGCGACAATAGCAACAACAACAACATTGAGGAGTGAAAATAAAAAGTTCAATGAAAAATACACGCACGGATAAAATTCCAAAGTGTCGAGTAGTAATAGTACGCACCAATACAAGGACACGTTGAAAAGCTGCTGTGAGTGTAAGTGTGAGCGTGCGCTTGCCTATTTATTGGCTGTCAGTCATATGTGCGCAAAGCTTCAAGGACTGGAATACGCTGAGGCATTTTACGTTTACGCGCGCAACTTGCGTGTGTGCGTGCACGTGTGTGCGTGAATGAACGTGCAAAGTGCGCGCAACGCAGCTCCAACATATCACAGGACATATTCGTTGTCATCTAACAAGCTGTGAGACTATGTGCTTTGCACCATGACCCCACTGCTGAGAAAACGCGTGCAGAGCGCTGAAAAAATGACCACGGGAAATCAAGAGCCATCGCCATCGCCACTGACCACCAGCTTTAGCACCACCATGAGAACAACATTGCTGCCAAGCCAGCAACATGTTAGGAAAGCCCACAAGGCCACAGCCACAGCTACAGCCACCGACAACCACAATGAAGAGAAGGATGACATGCATTTGCTATTCAACAAGGCGCGTCGACGCCGAAGAGATGCAAATCAGGACGAGAGACGACTGCGTCAGATGAGGCAACCCATACAAGTGGAGTACAGACGCTCCTATCGCGTGCTCATTGTAACCGCGCTGCTGGTCAGCCTGGCCGCCTCCTTCGTGACGCTCACCGCCGGCTTTCAGCTGGATGGTTCGCAAAGCTCGTTTGCCACCTTCCGTAAGTGGTACACCGGCCTCAATGGCACATTGGAACTGGAGTTCAAAACGGAACAGCCCAACGGACTGGTGTTGTACACCGACGACGGCGGCACCTATGATTTCTTTGAGCTCAAGCTTGTGGAGGGAGCATTGAGACTGCGCTACAATCTAGGTGGCGGTGCCCAAATAATAACTGTTGGTCGCGAGCTCCATGACGGACACTGGCATAAGGTGCAGGTGCTGCGCAACGATGACCAGACATCGTTAATTGTCGACGGGGTCTCGCAACAGCGCTCCACCAAGGGCAAGGAGTTTCAATTCGGCAAGTTTGCAACTAACTCGGATGTTTATGTAGGCGGTATGCCCAACTGGTACAGCAGCAAGCTGGCGCTGCTGGCCCTTCCTAGCGTCATTTTTGAGCCCCGTTTCCGCGGCGCTATACGCAATCTTGTTTATGCGGACCAGCCGGGCGGCTCAACGCGACGACAGGAGATGAAGCAGCCGCGTGACATTAAATGCGGCGACGGACCTTGCGATCATAGTGAGATGCCAGCCCGCGAGAAGGTGGCAAGGGTAAGTCATCCACTCTTCTTCCTCTCTCTCAACAAACTATTACTACGAGAACAAAGTCAATAATTATTTATCGTAGATGGTAGAACAGAGTAGGTGTCCAAACCAAGAAACCCAATCTTGAGTTAAAATGAGCTTAAGAGTGAGACGCCGAAATGGAGCGAAAATATAAATAAACCAATCAAATATATATTAATTTCTTACAACTTGTAGACAGTAGAAATAATTTTTCTCAATAGATTTTGTTTAGTGTCAATCCTTTTAAGTTCCCTTAATTGCAATCTTTGGAGTTTCTAGGATTTGTTTTTTAATCTGCTGCTTAAATTCACTGCAATATCTTCATGAAAAAAAGAAGCATCGAAGTACAATGTATTTATATTGAAACCATTTTTTTGTTTAATGTCCCTGTTTGAATGCTCCTTATTTTAATATCGGTGTTTACAAAATTGGTGAAAACTTATAGATATTATTTTAATTGTTCTGATATAGAAATGGTGGTCTAGTATTTGACTCTGAATCTTTATTATAATTTTAATAGGATATTAGTTGTTAATGATCTACTGAAAGAAATTTTAAGAAGTGGTTTCGTTAATGTAATTGGTATTATATTGATAAATTAAGCGTCCATTTGCCCCCACAATTAGAGTATATGCAAATGCCAGAAATAACTCCTTCTTAATTCGGCACTACTCTGTAGCTGATTTATAGAATAAATAATGTGTGAAAAACTGCAATGCAAAGGATTACCTTTGCAAACCTTTTTTTCTTTTTCTATTTTTTTTGCTCTTGTTCTTGATGAAGCATCATGTCAGCATGTCATTATAATTGATGACAATATATTGTATACCTTAATGGTTTCATGGTGCATTAAAAAATTTTTAAATAGTTTATGTGTCGATGTTTAGTTTAGTCTAATTCTTGGGTAATGGTACACCTTTCGCAGGGAGTGCGCGGTAATACATCGGACGCATGCGAGCGCCATGATCCCTGCCAGCATGGCGGCATCTGCATATCCACTGATTCCGGTCCAATTTGTGAGTGTCGCAATCTCGAGTACGATGGCCAATATTGCGAGAAGGAGAAGGCGCCATCGGAAGCAACGTTCCGCGGTACACAGTTCCTCTCATACGATCTAGGCCAGACGGGCGCCGAGCCCATTGTCAGTGCCCAGGACGCCATCTCGTTCTACTTTCGAACGCGACAGCCCAACGGACTGCTCTTTTATACAGGTCACGGCACTGACTATCTGAATTTAGCGTTGCGCGATGGTGGCGTCTCCTTAACCATGGGTTTAGCAAATGGCAAACAGGAGATGCACATAAAGCCGTCGAAGGTACGTTTCGATGACCATCAGTGGCACAAGGTTACCGTGCATCGCCGCATCCAGGAGATCTCGTCCATAACCAGCTTCTGTCGGGTGAGTGCAACTCTATTAGCGCATATAAGCAGTAGTGTATAATTTTTGGGGATCGCCTAAATATTAGTTTAATTTTGAAGACCGTGATTGAATCTGCGCCATAATTGCTGCGCGTATGGCAGTAAAATAATGTTTTGTTGTTCACTTAGGTCAAGTTTTTGAAGCTCGAACTATGTGGCGTATGCGTTATAAATTGTTATATGTACTCGTGCTCTGTCCACAGCTGGTCACCGTTGTCGACGATGTCTACACGGATCACTCACACATAGCGGGTAAGTTCACCATGCTGTCCTCCTCCCGCGTCTATGTGGGAGGAGCGGTGAATCCTCGCGCCCTGCTCGGCGCACGAGTGCACAATAACTTCGTGGGTTGTCTACGCAAGGTGGAGTTCTCGGCGGACACATTGAATTTGAATCTAATAGATCTGGCCAAGAGTGGCTCCAAGCTCATACAGGTGGCGGGTAATGTGGAGTATCAGTGTCCCAGTGGCGATCCACAGGACCCGGTTACATTCACGACGCGCGAATCACACTTAGTGCTGCCACCCTGGGAGACGGGAAAACAGAGCTCCATTAGCTTCAAATTTCGCACCAAGGAGCCGAACGGCATCATTATACTGGCCACTGGCTCCAAACAGCCGCGAGCTAAGAATGTAAGTAATACGGGCTTAGATATTACCTAATCTAAGAGCATCGCCCTAATCGACCCCTCCCCCACAGCCCGTGCTTATAGCCATTGAGTTGCTGAATGGCCATATCTACATACACCTGGATTTGGGATCTGGCGCATCAAAGATTCGCGCGTCGCGTCGCCGCGTCGATGACGGTGACTGGCATGACCTGATCCTCCGGCGTAATGGGCGCGATGCGAAAGTGAGCGTGGATGGGGTCTGGAACGACTTTCGCACGCCAGGCGATGGCACCATCCTCGAGTTAGACGGCCACATGTATGTGGGGGGAGTAGGGCCCGCCTATAACAACATTGCCTGGCCGCCGGCCATTTGGACGGCCACGCTGCGCCAAGGCTTCGTCGGTTGTTTGCGTGACCTGGTGTTGAGCGGCAAGGCGATCGATATAGCGGCCTTTGCACGCGTGCAGGACTCGGGTGAGTACTCGCCCGGCCCAATCATGGTCTGATTTTAGCTGATAATCCGTTTGCTGTGCGCAGCTTCGGTGAAACCTTCGTGTCATGTGCAGGGAAACGTGTGCAATGGCAACCCCTGCCTTAATGGTGGCACATGCCTGGAGGGCTGGAATAGACCTATTTGTGACTGCACGGCAACACTCTACGGCGGTCCGACCTGCGGCCGCGAGCTGGCCACTCTGGCCTTCAACGGCAGCCAGCACATGACCATTTGGCTGGGCAATGGACAGGGCAGCAAGACACAAACGGAGGAGTTGGTAATACGGTTCAAGACATCGAGGCCGGCTGGCCTGTTATTGCTCACCAGTGCGGAGTCAAACTCACCGGATCGGTTGGAAATTGCTTTAGTAGCGGGGCGCGTTCGTGCCAGCGTCCGGCTCAGCGATCGCGAAAAGGTAGGCTCGGTCGCAGGGTGAAGGCTGAAAATATAACTTTATACGTACTATATGTTTCTTTGCAGAACCTCCTCGCTGGCCAGTCGGTGCTTAATGACAACAATTGGCACACCATACGCTTCTCGCGTCGTGCCTCCAATCTGCGTCTACAAGTTGACGGGGCTCCCCCTGTCAGGGGTATGTTATGTATGTATCAACAGCACATCTATTGCCCTACTACGTGTCGTGCCGTGTCGTTTTTTTAAGAAACTCCCGAATCTCAGGTCTCCCGAGCATAAGTTTTGAGCCAACGTGCTCCTGCCAGGACAGTTCTGATTCCAATTGAATTCATTTTCAAAGTTTAGTCCCATATCCCACTGAAGCAATGAAAATACTTTCAGCATTCACTATTCAGACTGCCATGTCTTCTGCTCAGTGTTGACCAATCACCCGCCCCTTTATCCATGTGTTAAGATGTGTCAGGGTGCGTGTGAAGGTGCTAGTTGCCACAACCTTTAGACAAACCCATGGATAAAAACAGACAATTGAAAGTGCAGTCGGCAACAGTTTTTCATTTTCTTTTTCTTTCGATTCTTACGTTTTGGAATTTTCATTTATTTTATTTTCCACATACTCACATACACATACACATCCACACCGACACAAACAGACACACACACACAAATCCAAAAGATCTATATGATACAAAGCAACATGAAAAGTATTTAGCGAGTTAAGTTTTTATTTTGAAACTCATTATTCATTCTACGTTTTTCGTAAATTTTTAATGATGAACGAATTTGAGCTCCCACTCTTTTTCTCTCTCTATATATATACCTTAACTTTCACTGTCTTTAAATTTTGAAATTTACGCATCTATGAAATAGTTTTGAACATCACCCGAACACACTTTCACAAACTGACGAGTACATCGAGTCGCTTCCAATCACCCGTATACATACTATGTTTGTTTCGTTTTACCCCACATGCTGCTCCAGTCGATTAAACATCATTTCATTTTCAGTTGTTCGAAAATATTCGTAAATATTTTTGCAATCATTAGTTTGATCATTTGATTAGCTATTCCATAGCTCATTGGGTTCATCCATAAGCTTTATTTCTCAAATTGTTAGTTCAAATAAGAATTTTTGAAACATCTCGATGTTGTGTTATAATTTATGATACTGAACCCTTAACTTTCGTATAGTTTGTTTGATTTTTAAATGAATTTCCAATTTAAAATCAAGAAGTGTGCCAGAAACAGTCAAAAACATGAGACAAATAAGAGAGACACACACAATCATAAATCAGCGCTCGTACCAAAGACAATGCCAGCGGAGGCTGCTCTATAAATATCAATCAATGTTATAAATATTAAATTGATTGTCTTGTAAATTGTTTTGTCCTTAAAGCAATATGGAAAGCCCACATACTTGTATGTGCTTAAGTTTTGTTCTTGTTTCGTTTCTGTTAATTGTAAATTATAATTCAATTCGGATAATTGTATATTTTAGTTGTGGTGGCTTGAATTTGAGTGCAGAGCAATGGAAGCGATAGTCTGTAATAACATAAAATTATTTTGTTAAGTGCTAAAATATGAGTTACTTAAAGACTACTTATTCCTTGTACGTAACATTATTTATTGTACTAGTTTCGGATTTCTGGAAAATATTCGAAATTCCTTGTGTTGATAGAATTTCTCAGTCTCTTTTTAAATCCGATAAATATTTCAATTGAATTTAATGTTATCTCCTAAAGCTTCTCAGTCAGTTTGCATTGAATGTGTGTCTTCCTCAAGCATTATCGAATGCTCTCGCTGAATTCCATTCAGAACTTGCCTCAAATCAAACAAAACCACAAACTATGAGTTATGAAGAAGTAAAAGATTGTTTAGTTGTTGTGTAATTTACATTATTTTCATGTAAATAAAAAAGATTTTACAGGCATAATATAATCTTAAAAATAATCATAATTCAAAATATTGCTGTAACATAAACTAAACAACAACAATCAACACGTGCGACATGTTTATAAACTACAAGTATAATTGAGGCGTATGTGTAAAAACAATGAGACAATTTTAAGAGCAACAACAACTACATCTTCAAGTTAATAGTACGTTGTGAAAAAGGCAAATGTGAAATGCAATTTTCAAATCACACAATGTGATCTAAATGACCTTTTTCCAAAAAGAAAAATGAGAGAAAAAAACGAAACGAAAAAGGCAAATTGCAACCTAAATAATTTCAATTTTTTTTAGGCGAGAGAAAAAATCGACACGCAAGAACTCGGTGGAACATTTTTTTGCCCCAATCGCTCGATAGCAGTCGCACACGCGTTGGCGCGACTAAAAACGCGACCGGCAGCCGAACGACCTATTGAGACGAGAAGGCAAAACAATGTTTGGAAGCGCCCAGGGCTGTAATTTTGCACCATTTAATATGTAATTAGTTTTGTGTTAAGTAAAGTAAACAAAACAAAACAAAACCAAACCAAACAAGAATTGCAACTAACTATCAGTAAATAAACGTGACTCAGTTCTCATTGTGTAAGTGTACAAGAAAATACATGGCCAGAACGGCATGGGGCCAACATACGAGCTCGCGAGTGCGCGAGTTCGGCGCGGCTTTTCGCTGTGTGGGAGCTCGTGGCCCGCGGGCTGTCAGTACACTCACACACAAGCAGACTCGCACATATACTTGTACACCTATAGAAGACATACACACATACAAACGCACTGGCACACACAGAGCTGCACAACGGTGTTATCTACGCGCACGCAACGCACACACATACATACGCATAAACATACATACATACATACGCATAGAAAGTATGTATGTGTGTAGGCACACGTCAACGTTTGCATGTGCGCACCAAACTAAAATGAAGTTATAAAGCATATTAAAATGAAAACAATTAAGTAAAAATCGCATGACTTATTGTCTCTGCTACGCTGTAATTCTCGCTCTAGTCTCTAGCCTCTAGCTCGGTCTCGCTCTCTCTCTCTCTCTCGCTTTTATCAATTCTCCCTCTTTCTCTCTACTCGAATTTATACAATACAAGTATAGTATATGTATGAAGTAAAATGTATATATGTATTGCAAAGCAAGTGAAGTGTACGAATAAATAAATATAAATGGGCCTAATTATTGTGTACGACCGCACTTAGTTAACGGCGAACGTGCGCCATTTTGCACCACGAACTGACACAACAACAGCAACAACCATGCCATGTTTGTAACGCCATTTGCTCGCTCGCCCGGTAGCCCCCGTCTCAGTCTATTCTCATACTCAGTTCTAGCTCCAATTACAATCACAATTACAATTTTTGCCATTTGCATGTGTATGCACAATCAAGTTGTCAATCGTGAACGCGATATGGCCATGCAACACCTGCGCTCGTTAAGTCAAATGCACCGTAGTCATACACACATATACATAGTATACTCGTACATACATATATACATACATATACATGTGCCATACCGCAGGACCCGGTTATCGAAATCAAGCCAGCAACGATTACAACGAAATCATCGATCAAAACTTGTTCAACATCGGCATAAAGACACACACTCACGGAAACATACAAGCAGACACGGCCACACAGAGAGACCAGTCGATGTTTAGTTTCAATGTCGTTTGACTGTCGTTACCAACACTTACATACACATGTACATCGTTTGACGTATTGCGTTGAGCTAACGGTATCTTGAGCTCTCTTCAGTTCTCCTTACTGTCGTAGGTCTTTATTCTGTCACTTCATTATAGTTTTAGTTTCTCTTTAGTTCTCAAATAGCCTTTTATTTTATTTCTTGTCTTTTTTGCGAGCAATGCACCTAAACGAAAAGTCACCGCCACGTAAAAAATGTAACACACACACACACACTTTGACACCCACACCAACTACTAATCAAGTAATCAACAAAATGGAAGCATTATTTGTGTACTATATATTCGTATATCGAATCTAAACAAATGCGCACCCTAAAACTTATCTTAGCGTACTACTATTTTTGCAGCATTTGTTTTCTTGTTTTCTTTTTCTCATTTAATTTGCGCAGCTGGCGTTGCTAACGCATATAATACCACATAAGTACAAACATACATGCATACATATGTACATATGTATAAGTATGTTTGTATGCGGTATTTGATAGTGCTGCTCAAAAGCTTGCAACGACAGATCTCGATTTCAATTTCAATTTCGATTTCAATTTCGATTTCAATTTCGATTTCAATTTCGATTTCAATTTCGATTTAATTTTTTCTTACTTTTTCAAGTTAAGCTACTTAACATACATAATTACTTATATTGTAAACTGCACCTTTCTATAGTATTTATCAAGCTGCAAGTACTTTTAAGTACAAATACTATTGCAACAACAACAACTACAACAAAATCCTAACAACTCTAACAATCAGTCACCACAGACAGCAATATTTATATTGCTAACAACAACAGCAACTGCTTGAATTCTTTTGAAACAACCTTAGCTACTATATGTCTACTAAAAAGCATACATACCTACCTAATTATATAATCGTACTCTACTAAATACTATTACAACTATTTGAATACATATGTATACGTATGTGCTTCTTGTAACTAAAGAACAATCGTTTGTCACCTATACTCTATATCAATCAATATATGTATACCAATATATGAATATATATACATATATATTTATGCCATATAATAACGGTACTTACTACCAACTATGCCTTACATAATTATTAGAGCCTAGGCGTAGGCTGTGCACCCGCAACCAAGAGCCCCTTGAGTTTTTATCACCCTTGTTGTTAATTTTTTGCACAGCTGAGACAATATTGGGCCGCCACAGCACCATGGAGATACGCTCCATACACCTAGGCGGTCTGTTCCATGCCGAGGAGGAGATACAAATGACGTCGACCATGCCTAACTTTGTGGGTCAAATGCAGGGCTTTGTGTTCAATGGGCAGCGGTAAGCAGAACTTAAAATTAAAAATCAATATTATCTCTAGGCCATATATTAATGTCTTATAAAATATTGCATTGATTGTGAGCAACATCCAATCAATGCGGCAATGCAACAAACAAGTATCAGATTTCATTAAAAGAGTTCTTCATCTTTCAAAATAATATACTGTTAATCATTTTAATTACTCAAAGTCCTGTTTAAAAGCCAGACTGTAAAATGTGTGGATAACAGAGACAGGAAGAGAAACACTCCGCATACAAAGAAATTCAAATTATTATTTCAAAAGCGATATCATCGTTAGATAGCAGAAGGTGATAATATTCTAACTTTGCGAATTGAGTTTTAAAATGGGAGAAATCTAACTTTTGTAATTGCAAATATTTTCCTCAATAATCCAATTACAAGGACTAAATCAATTGCTCAAATTTAAAAGTACGATTAAAAAACAAACAATCAACGCATACTTTTTATTTATGCAATTCAAATATAATATATTTGTTTGCTCCAAAGGTATCTGGACATTGTGAAATCACTGGGTCCGGAGTTATCGGCCTTGCCCAGTGCCACCTTTAAGCTGACGGCGCGATTCGTCAACTCACCACCAGGACAACCATATCATGCCGCGACCTTTCGTTCCAAGCATTCCTACGTGGGCCTGGCCATGCTCAAGGCCTACTCCAGCATATCGATAGACTTTCGCTTCAAGACCGTTGAGCCCAATGGACTGCTCATCTTCAATGGGGGACGTCGTAATGACTTTGTCGCAGTGGAGCTGGTTAATGGACACATACACTACACCTTTGATCTGGGCGATGGGCCGGTGACAATGCGAGATAAGTCCCGGATACACATGAACGACAATCGCTGGCATCAAGTCAGCATTCGTCGACCGGGCCCCAAGACGCACACGTTGACCGTGGACGATTCGTTTGAGATCATCACGCTGACGGGCAATAACATGCATCTCGAGCTGGCTGGCATTCTGTACATAGGCGGTGTGTTCAAGGACATGTACGCCAAGCTGCCGGCGTCCATATCCTCGCGCTCCGGCTTCGAAGGCTGCCTGGCCTCGCTCGATTTGGGAGACACCTCGCCTTCGCTAACAAACGATGCCGTAGTGCCCAGCTCGCTGGTCGTTAGCGGCTGTGAGGGACCCACCAAGTGCAGTCAGAATGCGTGCGCCAATCGCGGTGTGTGTGTGCAGCAGTGGAATGCCTATGCTTGCGAGTGTGACATGACCTCCTACACGGGGCCAACCTGTTACGACGGTGCGTATACAAGTAACTCATACAAAAATCAGAAAGTACAAATGTCGCATTTGAAAGCTTAATACGCGGTAGAATAAGATGAAGCGCTGTTGAAGGACTCTCCAAACTTTCTATCAAAAATTAAGTGGCATGTACTCCACCTGAAACGTCTTATGAGTCTGAAACGAGCACTGATCAAAAATCTATCTCCCATGATTCAATTGGGTTGATTTGCTTGTCGAGATCCACAAAAGAGTTCCTAGTGATCTTTGAATAATTGCAAATGATGCCAAGTGATCGCTATAACCACAGACCTTTGAGGATTTAATGTTACCTTTTTGAACTGCTCTTATCACACTATGCAGCATTATGTTGTCTACCCAGATAGTCGAATTCGGTACATTTTTCCAAATCTTGGGTCACTCTGATTTGTGTGTATTTGTTTCTACTCATTGCAGAGTCCATTGCGTATGAGTTTGGAAACAATAAGGGAATAGTGCAGTACAATTTTCCAGAGAGCATGCAGGCCGACACTGAGGAAGACAACATCGCGTTGGGCTTCATTACCACTAAGACAGACGCAGTGCTGCTGCGTATAGAGAGCGCGACCACACAGGACTATATGGAGCTGGAGATTGTGGAGGGCAATATCTTCATGGTGTATAACATTGGCAGCGTTGATTTGCCCTTGGGCGAGATTGGCACAAAGGTCAACGACAATACCTATCACGTGGTCCGCTTTACGCGCAAGGGCGGCAATGGAACGCTCCAGCTGGATGACTATAATGTGCAGACGCTCAATCCGCAGGGTGAGTACACAGTGGTGATATACACAGTTGCCTTCCTCTCTATGTGCTATATCTTGACTTTGTCTGTAGGCCATCACTCGACGGTGTTCAACACCATGTCCAATATTCAAGTCGGCGGCAAATTCAGTCGCACTGGCCGGACGCGGATCGAACGACCCTTTGCGGGCGTCATAGCCGGTTTGTCAGTAAACAAGTTGCGAATTTTGGATCTGGCCGTCGAGCGCGATCCCCACATCACTATACGAGGAGATGTTCAATTGGTAACTGGAGTATTAGATAGAAATGATCTGCAGAGAATGCAGCAGGTTAGGGAATTTATTTGAAATTTTATTTGAATTCCTCTCAACTTTCAACTTTCCAAGTATTTTTCTCATCGTATTCAACAAAAAAAAAAAAAAAAAAATTAAAGTTTATTCGAAATTCTTTCTTTAAAACCAATACTAAACCAAATACATATGTAATAAGCTTAATGCGTTGTAACCAATATACATATATGCGTTGTGAACCCCCTTTCCCAGCCGATTTGATCGCACTGAATGCTGTACAGTTTTTCGACTATTTCCATAACCAGCTCAAATCACAAGTCCTGTCCGACTTAGTTCAGTTAACATTGCGTTCAAGTAGCGTTCAATACAAACAAAACTGCCATTTATCTTTCAAATTGAGGAAACTGGGTTCAAAGCCCCAACTGCTATATGTTTAACATTGAAACCTAAAGTATTAGCTGATAAATGTATAAATTACTTGTATTAGAAACGCAGCATAACTATTACCCTTTTTCTTTTTCTTTCGTTCGATTTTGTTTTTCTGCCAGCGCTGCCACAGTCCCTGCTGATTGGGGGGCGTGGCTAGTTTTGTACCGCTTTTAAACGCACTTATCCAGTTTGCCACTAACACGCTATAACTTTTGATTTGTTGATCTTTGGATGCACAGCATAACAACATAATACATATGTATCTATAATTGTGAATATAACTACTATATAACAACCACCAAGTATATATGTAGTATATACAGATATGTATATAACATATATGATTTCTTTTTGCACTGTACTACTTGTAATTAAGCCAATTGGCCGCAATAACGCTGCATGACTCTACATAATCACACACACCCACATATACACATATACACACACAACTCAATACTAATCTGAACACTCACCACATAATCACAGAATGGCCAAAACTATGTATGTAGGACCCAGGTTTTTCCCTAGCGGATTTGAAAAGCATTCCCCATATCTGCTGGCAAATGGGAGGATAAGGAATAGAAAAATCTTCTGAAGGAAGGATAACTTTTATAGATTTCAAAAAATATAGTTTTATAAATTGCTTTAAACTAAATAAAATATATGATTAATATTAAACTTCAAATCAATAATAATAATAACAATAATAATGTTAATCGTAGAAATATATTTTTTCGACCATTGATTCCTTTTATATTGTAATTTGTTTGATTAAGCTGTGAATGGAATTTTGTCATGAGTACCAATAGAATGCACCTGTAATGCAATCGGTGATCTTTCAGGGGCTTTCTGAGGGCTTGAACATTTTTCAAAAGGATAGATTTATAAGCAATAGACGGTCCTACATACTGCTTACACACATGCACACAACTTACATACAAGTATATACTATACACGCCATACAAATATGTACCGCACTTACTTCAGTAACCACTTTGAAACAGTAACCACTTTGCCAGCTCGGCGCCAGATCAACTGAAGTAAAATTAGACTTTGAACTCTACTCGACAGACGCCAGCGAGTGGGTATCCGGGTGCCATAGATGATCTGATCTTCTCCGGTGCCGGCTCTGGGTGTCGCGGCGATGACGAGGACGAGTGCACGCCGCCCTTCGAGTCGGGCAGCGGCGATGATCTGATCACACCAGTCTATGTCCCACCTACCAAGCAGACGACTACCTCACAGCAGCAGGGGAACGTGAGTACCGATCGCAACAACAACACCAATGGAACAGAGCGTGCTTGTGATGATGAGGATTGCCTGCACGGCTCCGGCGACTATGGCGAGACTACAGAGCAGTTTACATCAACCAGCACTGCTAAGGGCGCAGGTGAGTTGAGCTTTTCATTTTGTTTAGCTTTAGTTAATTGACTCAGAGACGAAATTGCTTTTGATTTTGGCCAGTGTGCTGTCATTCTGTCATTGGCATTGAAATCACGAAAATACAAACATACACACACAGACGCACACACACGCGCGCACATCATTAAACATTAGCTAGAAATTCTTGTAAATATTTAAAACTTGTAACGAGTTAGCATAAGCTCTGGGAATATACTTATTTACATATGTACATATATAGTTTTGAAGTTGCTCTTTTACGATATATACTACACACACACACACACACACAGTAACACACTAGTACAGAAACACAGTTATGTTATGGGTAAGGCTTGCGCGCCTTAAACTATGCTACGCTTTTTGTACGCTTCCATTAGCAAAGCTCAAAAAAAAAAAACATACGTAATACCTATATACATACGTTGAAACCTTTACTGTACATACAGTTATACTTAATATTGAACTAGCATTAAGTAAAAGCACTCTCGCAACGCCTCAGCCACAACCATTGACAACATCACAATTCAATCAAGAACCAACCAACCAACCAATCTACCAACCAAATACGCTCGCTCAGTTCAATTCAGTTCAGTTCAATTCAGTTCAGCTCAGCTCAATCTCTATCAACCCCCCCCCCAAATTCAGTATCAATCTCAATCTCGGATCAGATCAGATCAATTCAGTTTCAGTAACGCATCATTCCACTCGCGTCATCTTCAGCGCCAACGTCGTCTCATCTGGTACTTTGTGCCAAATATATTTTCGAACAACTCGTACTTTCGTATCACCCACTACTACTCTGTTGTTGATGATGATGATGATGATATGATGATGCTTGTAATTTGAACTGACATGAGTACGCCTTATGTGTCTCTTTCAGAATGTGAACACGTCTTCATATTTCTGACTGTGATTGCGCCTTGGATACTCTGTAAATTTCCATAAAATACGTGTACTGTAGTAGCCAAAAATGCACATAAGTAGCACGACTAACTACTAAGCTCTCCTATAATTAACTAACTACTTATATACGATATCAGCAACATGCATACATATGTCTACTAATTTGTTTAGTATGTGTGTATAAAACAAATTGAAAGAAGCAAGCAATTATGAAAATACAAATACACGCTCATGCGCAACTACAACCATCAACTACTACAACAACAACAACAACAGCAATATCAACAAGCAACAAAAACAAGAACAACAAGAACAACATCTATTATGACTACTACAACAAGAACTACAACAACAAGAACAACAAGAACTACCACACCCATCAGTAGCGTGTGCACCCAAATACTATAAAAGGGGGGGCGGGCGTGTGGTCTATTATACATTCACACATACATGCATATATGTCTATGTGTGCGTATGTGTGTCTGTTTGTGAATATGTATTTATATGCAATATACATATTCGTATGTACATATGTACTTAGCAAGTAAGAGCGTATGAGCACTGAGGAGCGACGATAGCGAAAGGATCCCAAAGACACATACACAGAAGTACAGAAGTATTTCTTCCTATTAGTTATCTTTTATCCAATTGTACATATCAGCCGAGCAATACACAAACACATACATATACTCAGACACTGTGAAACAGCATATCTATCTATATACTTACATACAAGCATACGTAACTGAATTATACAAGTCGTTTGTTTTGGATGGAAAGAGCAAAGCTCCCACATTTTTTATTTTTGTTCTGAAAATCAATTGCAATTGAACCCATCCATGTGAAAGATCCCGATACTATGTATGATCTCGTGCAGTATGTATAGGGAGGAGAGGACGATAGTATACATTGTGTTAAGTCACCAAAAAGAGAGGACTAATTGAGAAAACTAAAATACGCCTGAGAAGAATTTATAGAAATGAATAACAATTTAAAAATGTTTGCTCTAAAATTTGTCCCCTAGTCTGACAAACTTGTTCAATATTTATTTTATTACATTCAATTTGTATAATTATGGCTAGTTCAGGCGGGATTGTGAGAATACACTTGAATATTTGATTTATATTCTTATTTGATAATTTGATATAAAAACAGAATCTGCGGCTCATTTCTGAGGAGATTGTGAGAATGGGCTTGAATGCTGTAACGAAAATGTTTGATTTATTTTGTTTTTTCATATCCTATGTGACTCTTTTGTCTCTTTTTATCTAAGACAAAGGACTAATATCTATAAATTATCTTGTCTATCTAACTTGTGACTTTAAGACGATGCGTCAAACTGTTGAATAAATTTTGAAACCAACCCGAATGTGTGTAGAATGTTTTTGGCGGGCGGTTAGTACTTAACATGGGAAACACAAAACTCAAAGCAAAAATAGTTTTTTAACATTGATGTGTCGTTTATATTGGCAACAGCAGTATCTCTTACACACAGCACACACTAATCACACACTCACCTTTACATACGCACACATACACAGAGAGATTTTCGCTTGAAGCATAACACTAAAAACAGCCTGCTCCCCACTTACAGAGTCCAATAACGAGCTGGTAACCGCCTCGACTACGGATGGAGCACCGCGTCGCAACGACCTCACCACGGAGCAGCAACGGAGCAGCAGCAGCATTAGCGTTGGTTCTGGATCAGGCAGCAGCACCGTTACCCAGAGCTCGTACGTGACCACCTCGGCAAGTGCCACCAGCACCCAAGAACAGCCCAGCAGCACCAGTGGTGCTCACACTACGTCCACACAACGCGCCACAACGACAAGTCGCACGACCAGCAGCACTACAACAACAACTACGACTACCACACAGGCCACTCCGCCACCAGAGATACGTAGCACTGTCACGGAACGCGAAACCACTCCCTATGACGTGTATATAGCAGGTGGTGGCGGTGGTGGAGGCAGCGATCGCGATCACGAGCGTATGTCACTGCCAGATGAACACCCGATGCCGTTGCCGCCACCGATGCCACCACAGCCAGACCCGCCGCCATATGGCGTGCCACCTTACGGGGGCACCAACTATAACACCAATGTGAATAGCTATCGACCCAAAGGCAAGGGCGGACGCATCAACTCGATCGAGGAGGAACGCACAGCGATGATCATTGGAATTGTGGCGGGCATACTGATCGCCGTCATACTGGTCATCCTGCTGGTGCTCTGGCTCAAGTCCAACGGCGACCGTGGGTACAAGACCGAGAGCGAGAAGGCAGCCGCCTACGGCTCCCACAATCCGAATGCCGCGCTCTTGGGCAACACGAGCACCAACGGCTCGTACCATCAGCAGCGGCAGCACCACCAGGCAGCGGGTGGCTCGCACCATGGCCAGCAGCAGGCCCAGCACCACAATGGACACAACGGTGGTGGTGGTGCTGCTGCTGGAGCTACAGCTAGTGGCATGATGTCCAGCGGCAGCGGCTCGCTCGGCTACGGCAGTGATGGGCGACCTCAGATGGCGGGTCTAGTGCAGCCAAAGGCTAAGAAACGGGACTCGAAAGACGTCAAGGAGTGGTATGTGTAAGTGTGTGGGAGGAGATGGAGGTGAAGAACAACAACAAAAACAAATAGGGTCAAATTAGCAATACAAAGTAATAGCGATGAAGAGGCAAGCAAAAATATAGTTACCAATACTCGATCTATATTTATACATACCTACCAACATACCTAAAGACAAACCTACAGACATACATACATATTAGTTAATGCAGTCAAGAACAATAACATTAAGTGTACAAAAATACAACAACTTCAAACACAACAACACATTTATGATGCAATGATAATAAGCGGCCGCGCACAAAACGCGAGACGTGTACAGGCGCGCGACTAAAAACGCGCCGATTAGGGTTTGTTGCAATAACATTTAGAATGAAACACATAACCAACCAATTACATACAGACATACATACATTCGTACAATATTTTAGCTGGAAAAGTATAATGTATAATGTTTTACAGCTGATGTGAACAAATTCTTATCAGATCACTGGAAAAGAAATTAAAGCAAATTAATTAAGCCTAAGAATTATAGCTTCAACTCAAGACTTGCTAAGGAGAAAATCCAAAAAAAAAATTTAAAAAAAACCAAAAGCATAATATTTACGTAAATATATACAAACAAATATACATATATCACTATGTTATACCAAAATGAAAATGAAAAAAAAAGAAATTATGCCCACTAGCCAATCAAATTATTGTGTAAAATATTTCGCCGCCATGCTACATAGAAAAAAGTGAAAGAAATGAAAAGAGGCCAGCAGCTTAGCGGACGGCAATTAATCTTAAATGCATTGCAAAATATATAGTATATATATAATTACGTTTAAAGCAAAGGAAACTATTAAATTATGCGAAAACACAATTTAGCGAAATTAAATCTTAATATACTATTATCTATGTATGTATAATTAATTAAACACGATATGAATGAGATGTCATTAAGTTAATGAACAAGTTCTGTTTGCGTGAACAGCGTGTAAAGTTATAAAATGTGGTGCTGTAATGAATTAGATCCCTCTGCCACGCCCCCAACTGTGGGCAAGCAGCGTAACGTTAAATACAATAATACTTATAATAATAACGCGATACGAAAGATGCAAGTATTAATGCTAATGAAAATGACAACAAAAACGTAAATGTTTGTTAAATTGAAACCGGCTTTAATTAGTTAAATTATAAGCGCAACAACAAAACCACAATCCCTTCGATTTAGTTAACCCACATTCGTGTGTAGGTATGTATGTATGTACTTCCCATTCGACTGTTTTGTTTGCGTGCAGCTCTTTTATGAATGAAGAATATACTTGTACACGTACATACATACCACTAGTATATAAATATATATACATAGATATAGTAGGTGAAGTGCAGCGGCTTGATTTTGAGTTGACCTCCAGCTTTCTCCTCCACACTCATTCCTATAGTGCCCGCACACACATACATACTTTTGATATGTAAGTTTACGTGTATGTAATTGAGACTATATATTGACATAGAAGACTTTATGTCGTATGAACTCGGACATATCAAGTAAGAAGACAACAAAAACAACATCTGTACACTCACACACACGCACACTTACACGCCACACTGAAGCGAACCTACCTAGCTTTTTTAACGAATATTTGAGTGGAAACGAATGTGAACAAAAATTACTTTACAGCTGATTATCAAAGTAATTGTATTTGAAACAACAGCTTTATGCGTATTTTTCAAGGCACACGCGACGTATACACAATCAGCAGCAACAAGGAACATACACACACGCACACCACACACACACACATACCACAAACACTTGTCCGCCATTGTGTTTCCTTATCAAAGTAAATATATAAAAATATTACATATATCATTTTGATGCGCTATTTAAAACTTGCCTATACATATATAGTATACATATACATATATACAAAAATTAGCAAATCAATTCTCTTTGTTTATTTACAACATCAGTGGACACTTTCGTACATTCATACCCATTTATACATTACTTAGCAAAATTACTTACTGACACTTAACTCTTCTTAACTTCTTGCAAAAAGGGATACACAAACACATGCATGCATATACATATACTCGAATTGATCTATATGTACATACAAATGTATGGGTGAATGATGGTATGCTGTATACAAATACCTAGAACGAGTCTATATAAATACATACATTAACACTAAATACATACATATATATTGCATTTCAACCAATTTTTGATATATTTTCGAGTTTTTTAAAACTTAATCTTGTATACAAGAGGAACTCAAAGAACTACAACAAAAACAAATACACAAAACTAGCAAATCAAGCAAAGGACACCTAGGACAATTACATGAACACAATACATACATATATACAAGACATACATATACTATTTATATACATGTATACAACATAAACGATATAATGATTATTATGATTATTATGTACTTATTATGCCCGTTCGATTTGATAATAAAAACAAAATGAAAACTTTAAACAATTACATACGATGATGATGCTGTTGATAAAAACGTAAGCAACTTTCCCACTAAATATGAAACACTCTCTCCAAAGGCTACAAAACTTTTTCTCTTTCACAATGTTAATGCTGCACAAGGAAATCTCTGCATTTAAAATAAACCTTAAAGTTTATTCATTTCTAATTTGACAAAAAAAAAAAAAAACAAAAAACACAAAACAAATATAATCCTTTTGCCTTGCGATTTTAAAATGCACACCCAAGAAAGAAACGAGTTGGAAAACCCAAATTCAAAATCCATATTCCTCACAAATTCTTATATTTAACCAATTGTTTAATTGATAAATATTAAAAAAAAACAACAACAAAAATCAACCAAATAAACGAAGGCAATGTTATGATGTATGATATATATAGTAAATGGAAAGTACAGTTAGTTGTATGAGTAAAATAGGTAAAGAAAGTAACTAAAAATCTAGTTGAATGGCCATAAGAACAGGATAATGGGAAAAGCTAAGTATCAATACCAAATATACATCTATTTAGGCTTAATATCATTGTTATCTAATATATACATATATATATATATATATATATAGATATATATAGACACACATACCAGAACAGACACAAAACAGTCAGTATATATATGCATGAACAGGAAAAATGTAAATGAACATGTAATGGCAGCGTAAAGCACAATTGCAGTTATATATATAACAAATTGTAATGTGTATGTAGAGGCAGTGATTGTTAAAGAATTTGCTTTGTTTTGTGTTAGATTTTATAATTTATCAGAAAAAAATGGTAAAAATGCATAAAAATACAGAATGACTGATAAAACACAGAATTATAGCATTGCATATAATAAATATAATAAAAATATAATTAAAAAGGAACTGAGTTTTTCTTACCATTCAAATTTTAAAATTTCTTCACAACGCGGATAAATTCAACAGTTCAACGATCTGGCAGCGCTGCGCTTAAACGTGTTGCATTCTTATTCCCTAGACCTATAGCAGTGATAACTATTAAAGGCAAGACATGCTGATGCAAGTAAAACCAAAAATTATATTGTTCGTTTTCTACAGTTCAATCTACATTCTAGTGGTAAGAGTTTCCATTAATATGTGTATATTAGTGGCAACTTTTCTCGGTGTATCGATAGTTATCGATGCGTTGACACACTAGTATCGTCCGCAGCAACATTTGCGTGTGACTTTAAGAAATATAGCTTTTTTAAATTATCACGTTAGGTAAAGGCACAGGTAATGGCTTCCAATGCTAGCAACGCTGGAAAACCAGAGACGGTCGACCTGGTAAAGCTGAGTCCTGAGCAGTTATTGCAGATCAAGCAAGAATTCGAGCAGGTGAGTCGCATGGGTGTGTTGGTTGTCGTGCATCGCATCGCGGAGGGGGGATTGGGGCATTGGTGATGCATGGCTGTGGAACTTTTCTCAAACAAGCCTAAAATGTTTCCGCACGTGTAGGAAATGACCAACATACAAGAGTCGTTATCCACCTTACATGGCTGTAAGGCCAAATACGCTGGCTCGAAAGAAGCACTGGAGTCCTTTCAATCCAATTGGCAGGACCGCCATATACTTGTGCCCCTTACTAGCAGTATGTACGTGCCCGGTCGGATCAAGGACCTAAACAATTTCATAATAGACATTGGCACCGGCTATTTCATCGAAAAGGTGAGAGATTATTAAACATTACTATAGATCTGGGCAGTCATGGCAGTTTTTTGAATTGCAGGATTTGGAAGGCTCCAAGGACTACTTTAAGCGTCGCGTAGATTACGTGCAGGAGCAGATCGAGAAAATCGAAAAGATACATATGCAAAAGACGCGATTCCTCAACTCTGTGATGAGCGTGCTCGATCTAAAGCAGGAGGCGGCTCTAAAATTGCACCAACAACAGCAACAAAAGTCCGAACAGACTGCCTAGGCATAACGCAGGAATCGATTACAGTTAGTCGAGTGGGCGACGCAGAACAAAGATTAAATTATTGAACTTTAAACAATATTTTTGCATTTAATTAACATAGTTCATTAAATTGTTTAACTATTTTTTGGCCTGATCTAATGCGTGGCTTAAAACGTTCACCTTTTGCTCGTAGGTCGCCTTTAAATCCTGTGAAGAAATATGATTAGTAAGCTAAGATTGTGAACTGGTAATAGTTGTACCTTAAATATTCTAGACTGTGTGTCGTACTCGGCGCGTAACTTGTCGTACACAGCCTTTGAAATGGCTAGCTTTTTCTCTGTTAGTGCGCTCTTTTCCTGTTCAGCTTTGATCCATAACTGTGATTTCCCCAGACGTGCCTCTGTGTGCTCGCATTCGGTGGTCTTCAGAGCTAGCATGTCTTTCGTTACCTGTAGCACATCTTTTATGGTATCAACCTGGTGCTTGAGCATTGCAATCGTTTGTTCCTGCTGCTTGTTCACTTTTGTCTTCTCAAAGAGCAAGGTTTTGGCTTTAAGTAGCAGTTCTTCCTGCTCCTGCCGTGACTTCGGCGCCTCCGTGCCGCCCAGCATAACAGATTGCTTTAGGGATTGCTCCAGCTGCGTCACCCGTCGTTTCAGTCGTTCATTTTCAGTGCTAACATTCTATGAATGATTTCATTTAATATGATTTTCCGACGTTGATATACAAGTGGCATGCTAAACTAACCTCAAAATCTTTTCGTAGCGCTCCAATTCGTTTACGCGATTCCTCTACCAGCGCTTGTTTTTCACTCTCCAGCGTGAAAACCATATCGAGCAGCTCATTTTGTGGCTGCAGCTCCGTTGGTTGCTCCAACACTCCATTTTCATTATTCAGTTCCATTATCGCGTCATTGTTGTTATTAACATCGCCACCGATGGCACCTTCTTCAGTTGCTGACATTTTAGTTAAGTTTCCAACAATTTACTGAGAACTTCGGGCAATGTGCGCGATATTTTCCTAACCAATATTTTTTCCTCTTATTTATAGACGATTTGGATGCAGTCGTCTATAAATAGCAACCGATTGATACTCACGCACGCTCTTCTGTTCGCTTCGCGAGAGAGATCATATGAAAAACATAAACAATAGTACTCTGGTTTTTCGGTTTGAAATACGCCGCAGCATATTTAAAAGTTCCATTTATTATGCATTATGTGTGGATGAGGCAATTTAGTTTTTGTGGGGTGATGTTAATACAAATATTAAAGAGCAAAACAATCAAATTGTTTTTACAATTAAATGGTTGGGGACAGTTTAGCGTGAGTGAAGTGATATTTAATAGTAAATGCCTAAACAAGTAGAAGAAATGTTTGACCTAACCGTCCAGCTCGCCGGCGGCGCACGCATCGGCATAGCTCTTGCCTCCTTTCTCCTCTGGATTTAGCTTAATCATGTCGTCGATACGCAAAATGGTTATGGCCGCTTCTGTGGCAAACTTCAGCGATTTTATCTTTGACATAGCTGGCTCCAGAACACCGCATTTTTTGTTGTCGCGCACAACGCCCTCGATGAGATCCAGGCCGGTCCACTTGAGTGCAGCATGTTCTGACTTGGTCTGACTGGAGTTATGATAGGCGCGCAGTTTGGCCACCAGATCTGTGGCATCCTTTGCTGCATTCACTGACAACGTTTTGGGAATGACCAAAAGTGACTTGGCGAACTCGGCAATAGCCAATTGTTCACGAGATGCTAGCGATGTGGCAAAGTTCTCAAGATAAATAGACAGCGCAGCTTCTACGCAGCCACCGCCAGCAACGACTTTTTTGCTTTCCAGCACGCGCTTAACGACACATAGGGCGTCATGCACAGAGCGTTCCATTTCATCACAGTAAAAGTCATTGGGACCACGCAGAATGATCGAAGCAGCAGCGCTAGGTGAGAGTAGAGATTATTTTTACAGATATAGCTCAGTTACCACATTCCTAAGCATGTTTTATCGCAATAAGAGAGTGCAGTTTGTAGTTTGTGAACTTACCGTGCTTTGGTGCCTTTAATGAGTATCAACTCATCATCGCATATGAGTTCCTGGGCCACTTCAGCCGCCTCGCCCACCATTGAGGCGTCAAAGCTTTCCTCGCCATCCATATTTGTTAGCGAAGTAAGGAAGGCAGCGCCTGTGGCCTTGGCAATAATCTTTAAGTCGCTTTTCTTAACGCGGCGCACAGCCATGGCACCGGCCTCGACGAAGTATTTCATGCAAAGATCATCGACACCACCACTAACGAGCACCACATTAACGCCCGTACCTAAGATCATGTTAATGCGCTCCTTTGTAATGTCCAGCTCTCGTGCGCGAATAGCTTCCAATTTGTCAGGATCATTGATGAGTACCTGCACTCCCATTTTCATCTTTGTCTTTTGCAACGAAAAGTCCAAGCAGGCAATCTTGGCATTCAATATTTTCTTGGGCATTTGCTGTGATGCAATAGTGCAGTTCAAAGCATAGCCAGGTATCAGCAACGATTCGCGTGCCGACTTGCCGTGCGCCTTTAGCACATTAATGGCTTTGATCGAGTAGGCCGGATGACCTTTAAGGTCAGTTATCTTCACTGCCTGAACTGCATCCACGACCATGGTGGAGAAAAAATCGGCATCGGCTCCAATAATTTTTGAGCTCATTGAAGTTTTGGCTATGTTTATGAGCGATTCACGGCCTAATTCGTCGACCGGTGCAGTCAAGTGTTCCGAAATGTACTTGCAAGCTTCTTTGCAGGCAATACGGTAGCCGGAAATGATCGAAGTGGGATGGATTTTCTGCTTAACCAATTCGTCGGCGTTCTTCAGTAGCTCTGCGGCCAATATGACAACGGATGTGGTGCCATCGCCGACCTCCTCATCCTGGAGCTGCGCCAGCTCAACAAGCACTCTGTGAAATAGTCAGTTAGTAAAACTTCTTGTTAGTTGGTTTGTCAACTTACTTGGCAGCCGGATGTTCGACTTCTAGCAAGCGCAATATAGTTGCGCCGTCATTCGTAACTGTGACATCGCCAATATCGTCCACCAACATTTTATCCAATCCCACCGGTCCCAGAGAGCTCTTGACAATGTTTGATATGGAAAGAGCGGCCATAACTGCAAGGGAGATAAATATACGTATAACCATAACCTCAATTTTCTGTGCCGTTGATTATCTACTGTTCTGCTTCCCAAATTTGGTGCCTTAAAACAGTTCATATGGAATCGCAGCACTTAATAAATTTTAAGTTCTTTCATTGTTCTCGAATTCTCTTCACTAGTCACAAGCAACGTGCTCGGCCCCCGGCGACTGCACCCATCTGCAGCTGTTTGAAAAATTAGCAATTTCTTACCGTTTTGTGTGCGCACTGAGGCACCAGACTGCCGCGTTCCAGCAATCGATAGAGGACTTGCAAGTGTCGACATTTTAAACTATTTTAACGCGATTGCTACCAACAAATTGATTAAACGAAATACTGTTAAAAATTGCCGCACGCTATAAACCGCCTGACTCAGAGTTAGATATGTCACGGCCATCGATAAGTCAAATACATCGGATGCCGATGCCAAAGAAAAAACGATGTTGCGATACTTTTTTAAATGCTTGGGCTGACACTTGGGGTATTCCTGCAATCGATTTCAGGCTATGTTTACTTGCCAAATAGCCACTGCAAAATTACAAAGGGTATATGTATGTTCACTAACCTGAATTTGTTTATTCATGTTTTAGAGCTGTTTTTAAATTCGTCTACCCCAACGCTTTTAATCATTAAACCTTTCATAAAAGTATCTATGTTTGTGTGAAACTGGACGAAATTCGAAAACACAAAGTAGGCTTACGAATTAAATTAGTAGGTGTTGATATTACTTTTTAACTTTTCAACAATTACAAAGTGTTAATAAATCAGTGTAGAACACAGCGTTGAAGTGAAAGGATATTCATGAATACACAGTAGATCAAAATTGTATACGTAATTTAAAAAAAATATACAGCCCTCCCATATACATTAAGCATTTAGTTTCTGTCTACAGTTATTAACAGTGATGACAACACGACCCAAACGTCCCCTTTCGTCGTATATGCAATGGTTTATTACGTGTGGCCGACAACATATGAAGAAACAATATCCTAACTTCAAAGTTACTCAAATTGCTAAAAAATGCGGCGAGGAGTGGGCCAATATGAAAGAGGCGGACAAGTTGGTCTGGCAGTCACGCGCAACTTTGGCCATGAAGAAGTACAAGCAACACATGAAAGATTTGAAGGCGCAACAGTCAAGCATTGTGAAGTCCGATTGTACACATCTTGGCTCACCAAAGCGGGAAACCAAAAATGAACTTCGAAGCACTCGCTCGCGCCTAACGCAGAGCCATCCAATGCCAGACTCGGCAGACACAAATCATCGCTACAATGGCTTATACAATTGACGTTGTTTTACTTAAATACAAATATCACTCGAAAAAGAGTCGCACAGCCATTTTAGATAAAAGAAAACAATAAGAAAAAGAAGTAAGCCTTGACAACCCTGTGCAAGTAAATGTAACGAAGCCACAAGTGCTCATATACTTGAAAGCTTTCTCATTTTGTGTGTGTTTATGGGTCTGCGTCATGGCAAGCTAAAAGCCAAATTAGCTTTTTCTTCATTGCCTGTCGCAGCCGCCAGTGAATTGTCGTAGGTTGTTGTTCTTGTTGTTGCTTCATGTTTTGTTTGCAGCGAAGTGTGACGATTCCTTGCAATTAAAATTGTTGCTGTCGGCATTGGTGAGGCTAGTGTGGGTGGCTGAAGCAGTCAGTGGTTGTGCCTGCATTCAAGTAGAGACAATTTGTCGTCTCGGCGTGCTTACGCACACATCCTCGTATAAGTTATAGTTTTACACGCAGCTGATAATTGCAATTTCAGTAGCATTGGCTAGCCTGTCGACTGCAATGAAAATCACACAATGACGACAGCATAGGACAAATTGCTCTTGGTCTATGTGCGTACACATAAAAAAACCCTTCGTGTAGATATTACAAATAATATAGTAGGCTAGTCCACAGAACGGTGGCAGCCCTAAACCAAATGCAACAACACTCCATTACTCTTCTTTGAAGACCTGGACATTCTGGTGTATCAAAGCAAAACGAGTCCCCAAACTTCTCACACATTTTAAGGATTTTTTTTGCTTTATTATGTTAGCAGATCCTCTGGATGGCACCATCTTATTTTCCTTTCTCTCAAAGTTAGACGCTCCGCTCGCGCATTTGGGCGATAATCAAGTGCACAAGGAACTATGTATGTCCTGGTGTCTTCTTGGTGGACCTTGCTGTTGGAGCAACTCACAGAGAAGAAATGAGTTGGCTGCTAACCATCAAAAAGATAGCGATTTGGCTGGCAGGTATACGGAATTGCCGCAAAGTCAAAACTATACTGTTTCCATGGCAGTTTTCAAAATTTTAGTGCGATTGAAGGAATTTTTTTTCTGAGTGTGTTTGCGTGAATGCCGAGGTGGGTGGTGGATGGGTGTGTGTGTCGTGGAGAAAGAGGTTCTTTTGATTGATGTGCTTTGCAGCGGATATGTGTCGGGACAATTGTTGAATTCAATTTACTGTGAATGTGTTGGTAGTTTTGTTTTAGCTGCTGCCGTTCATTACTATTAACGGTAACGCGCACGCAATGGTCCGCGTTTTTACTGATAAAGGCGCTAAATGACTAACTGATTGGCTGACTCACTGACAGAATGACAGACTCACCGACTGGCCCGACTGTCGTCCAAATGTTGGAGCCTGTGTCAACTCGATGCTTGGTCTCGCCTGCTTGGCTATACAGAAATAAATTCGGCTTAGGCATGACATCTAATTGCCATGCCGCTCAGCTGTTGAACACCGCGTCTCGTTGCTCTTGGCGTGGCATGTTACATACATATACATATGTATGTGTGTGTGTGTATTGTATGTATATATGTGAGAGTGTTAGTTAGTGTTGCTGTGGTTGCTGTGTGGGATTTATGTTTGTTGTACATGCATGTCGTACAAACAATTTAATTGTAACTGTAACGTGAGGCCGCTATAGCCACCCAACGCACTCACGCACACGTACAGACGCACACACATGAGCTATGCTGCGTGCTTTACGAGCGTCGTGCAAACAACACAGCAGCAACCTCCATTTAACACCAAACGTGTCATTTGTGACCATTTGCGGTTATGTTTGTTTGTATGCTTGCGTGTTGTTCTCTTCCGTTGTGCGGTTCGTTGGTGCCTGTGTGCTTTACGAGGTCTTAGCAGCTTTTGTGGTCTATTAAGTGGCTCGGCACACTAAACAAAGAATGTCATAATCTTTATGCGCTTCTGCAGCCGCCGACAACAACAAGCGAGAGACACTTTTATTGACATATGTACATCCACCCATAACATACAAATAAATAAATAAGCGCAAACGTTTGACGTGAATTTCGAACAAGCAACAAGCGGTATGGGCTTCATAAACTTGAACTGCAAAAGTAGCGAGGACCTGGTCAACAGAATGTCTTGTTATAAAGTGAAGTTCATTATAAATACAGAACACAAAAAAAAAGCAGCAAGCAAGCACGACAGCGTAAACGATGAACTGAACGAAGGAGCAGAACATGATGACGTTGGTGGCTGAACTTAGCTATGCAAAAGCAAGGGATTCAACGGCAGGAGCAGCTTCAACTGACTTACACGCAGGCTGTCGTCTACGCAGAGATAACAACACGAAAAACTTTGCCGTGGACAAGCCCGGGCTCGAGCAGTCCCATACATACACACATACATAGGTAACGATGCAGAAAGTTGTCAGTAGGCTTGTCTGACCGACCGTCCTTTTATCCCCGCCTTGTGTGTGTGTGTGTGTGTGTGTGTGTCTATTAAACGCACATAAGAAAACAGCGCTTAGCAACAACAACAGCAATAAGGAGATGAAGACACGCAAACAAGCAATGCACAAATAAACAAATTAATAAAAACCAAATAAAAGACGGCACAGAAAGGAGTCATAAATTAAATAGAAACAGCGAAAATTACTTACCACAGAGCAACAAATTTGTTGTCAATTTTTCGTTGCATACACACAGGCGCGTCGTGTCAATTGCCAAAGGCTCAACAGCGAACAGTGAAAATGTTTTGTCAAGCCGCGCGAATGAGTGGGTGGCGGTGGGGAAAGAGGGAAGAATGGTGTGTGTGTGTGTGTGTGTTGGTGAGCGTTGTATACGAAATGTCTACTAGCGATTTATTTGTTGTTGTTGCTTTTGTTGCTGTCTCGTTGTTATTTTTGTAACTTCTTTTCATATTTTTCTCATATTCAACTAATGGTTGAGTTGTTGGCTCAGTGGGGCAGCCACGTTAACTTGGCTCGTGCTTTTCCAGCTCGTTGTCGTCTTCAGCTTCGTCCTCATTGTCGTCAATGTCGTCGTCGGTTATATCGTAACGGCCGCTGCTCGTGCGCCACAGTCGTGCGTTGTCCTTTGCTCCTATCGGTTGTGTACGCGCACGAACCTCGCCCGACCTTACACCGCTGCCAATTTTGTCGAGTGGAGCGCACACCTGTGTGCCGCGTCTAGGCAACGTTGACTTTTCCTACCTTCTAGCATCGCATTATTCACTAAGTAAGCAAATTTTCGCGTAAATTGCGCCAAATTATCAATGCAGAAAAAATTGCCAACTGAAATCTGTGCGCGTGTTTCGTGTTAGTGTGAAAACAAAAAGATTTAATAATAGAAAGGAAACAAAAACAACGCACAGAGTAAGAAAAGATTGCGCTAAGTGTTTTACAACTCGGCGTGTTAAGTTGCTTTCCTTGGCGCGTCTGCAGGCGAGTCGTCCAAATCTCAAAGGACAACAACAGCAGCGCCAACAAATCCGTGTAAGCTTCTGCCTCTATAGCCTTAAGGGATGCCTTATGCCTCCCCAATCTTATTTTGCTCTCAACGCAGTGTCAAAGCCTCGCCGCGCTTCATTTTCCCTACTGGTCCGTCTCTGGCTTATTGAATTTTCATGATCAGCGCCGTGGTCTCTGCCCCTGCCTGGCCACAGGAATAACAATTTCGGCAGTTAGCACATTCGCTGGCGCCGACAACATTGTCATGCAGCCACTTGCTAAGCATTATGTGGTTTTTCTGTGTGTGAGTATGTGTGTGTGTATAAAAGCTGGCCAGCAAGCCCATTGGTAATAAAGTGGAATTTGTGGCCAAACAATTTATGTCGTTTCGACCATGCATCGAACTTGTGCATTATTAATTGGGTATTAATGAATTGCGTTCATTAATTTTGTATCCTGGCATGTCAATGCACAAAGAATGTTGAAGTCTAATTGTGTGGTCAACTTAAAAAAACGTATTAAATTAAAATTAATCCGAGCCGCATGCAGTCAACAGCCACTACAGTGGCTGAAACGTTCGTGCAGGACGGATATTTTTTTAACTTTTGTTAGCTTTTGCTGTTTTTCCAGATGCTATATAAAGGCTATAATTCGTATCAATTCGTAATATACATTTATTTGGTTA